GGGCGCGAGGGCATCGTTGAATGGCTTTAAAAGTTCATGGATAAGACCCTGCGGCGTTCCGTCGCCCACGATCGTTTCCTTTTTAGACGCCACGGCTTCGAAAATCGGCCGCCCGAACCGCTCGTATGACTGCTCAAGCTCATCTTGACGCAGCGCTCTTGGCGGTGGGTCATGTCGCTGGTCCAGCATAACGTCTGCTGCGTTGTTCTGGTCGTACTCGACTGTGATGACTGTCTGCGAGTAATCCTGGAAGAGCACGTAGATGGTGCGAGTGACTTGAGAGCCCGATGTCAAATCGACCGTCTCATAGTAAAGGTCTCTTCTGCCCTGGAACACTGGGGGCACCGTCTTATCCTGGCGCCACCATCCGCTCTGTTTGGCCAGGTCAACGTCATTAGCGATGAAGCCGGACTCTGCAGATGTGGACGGCCTGTGCACATCCATGGAGCGCCGCTGTGACATGGAAGCTCGGGAGAGGTCCATAGACTGACGGGCCCGGCCTCCAGGTGGGGCAGGAGGCGGAACTCTGGACTGCGGAGGCGACGCCAAAGGCGGAGTATCTTGTTGGAAATATTCTTCTTCCTCAATCTTCGGTGCTCGCTGAGAGTAAGGGACCTTCGGGGAAGCATAGTTATAAGGGTCATACTCGTCATCGTCTTTGGCCGGCGGGGGAGGCGGCGGCGCTGCGCGCGGGACGTCCATAGAGCGGCGCTTTTCGGATGGCGGCGGCTGCATGGGTACCGGGGGTGGAGCGGCTCTAGGTGGAGGGCCAGTTGGGATGGGCGGTGGTAGGGTCGGGGGACCGTCAGAAACCGGTGACATGACTGATGTGGTGTCATCGAGACTGGAGTCACGCGCATGAGACTTGAGTGCATCTTTATGGGGGACCGAGGAAGCAATGTCGGTATCGTAGTCACCCTCATACTCGGTCACTTCATCTTCGTCCTCACCCTGGGGGCGGGGTCTGATCGGAGGAGAAATGGGCGAAGCCATGTGCATGTCCTGCGTTGACTGGCGGCTCAGGGTGCCTCCAGGAGGCGGGGGAGGGGGCGGTCGCGACTGGGATGTGGGGATTGGAGGAGCAGCTCCAGGAATAGGGGGCGGCATCCTGCTCATCCGCTTGTTCGTAGAACTTGTAGGTGAACTTGGGGAGAACTCCGAGCCAGGGATAGGCGGCGGCGAGCGAGCAGAGGTTGCAACCGGTGGCAACGGTGGAGGCGCGCGTCCTTCTTCGGCCTTGGGAATGTCCTGGGCGCCGCCTGACAGCTCATCGTCTGATTCGGAACCTTCGCTGGGCGACTTAAGCCCAGAGACAGGAGGGACGGGTGGGGGTCGGGCTGGATTCTTATAAGCCATTGTTGGCACTAGGGCAGGTCGAACACTCACATTCAGCAGGCACAGGAGGCGGTGCAGGCCATGATCCAGGGACGGGGGGTGCCCCCGAAGGCTCACGGGCAGGGACTGTTGCGATTAGCAGGGAACTTCAATATGGCCATCGACAACTTACGACTAGGAGGGGGGGCAGTAACGGGCTCGTCCTCGACATTGTTCTCCTCAACGGTTCGCGGAGGAGGAGGCGGCGCTCTCGGTGATGTGGGGGGCTCAGGCTCATCGGCGGCAGCTGGCTCCTCTTGACGCCGGGGCACGCCCATTCCTGGCAAAGCCATCATACCCGGCACAGGGACACGGCTAACAGGCGACGTCATTTCCTCTTCGCGCTCCTCCCTCGCCGAGGTTTCCACTGGCCTGTCGGCTGTCTTCTTCTTTTTCGGAATGGCTGGGGCACCCATCGGGATTCCAAACATGCCGTGCATACCCATACCGCCACTCATCTTAGCCATCCTTGCTCGGAGTTCCTCCTTTCGGCGAACCTCAGGGTCAATATCGTCATCTTCCTCCTCTTCCTCGGCCTCTTCTGCGGCTCGTTCGTCTTCCTTGCTTGCCCCAACGGGTGATGCGACTCGGGGTCGAGGAACCGGACGCGGGGCGGCATCACTGTCGTCGCGTTCGGTAAGATCCTCTGGCCCTTCGGTGTCACCAGCACCAGACATATCGGCTTCGTTCCCATCGTGGTAAGTCTCGGTAGCAGGTCCCCGAGAAGATTTGCGACGAGGCACAGGCGGCAAACGTGGGGAGTCCACAGAGCTCCTACCCGCTGCCTCATCCGTGTCGGCCTCAGGCGCAGGAACAGGGACAGGAGCAGCAGCGCCGGCATCCTCGAACACCTCCTGGCTGTCGGTGCGCTTCTTGGGTGGAGGTCGCTTAGCCTTCTCCTTCTTTGCAGCGGCCTCTGCGTGACGCTGCGCCTGCTCCTGTTGCTGCCTCTGCAGAAGGGCGATGCGCTCCTTCAGGCTGGTTGGCTTGGGTGCATCTTCGCCCTCCTCGCCGGTGGATCCAGGGACCGTGCCAGCCTTCTCGGCGCTCTCTTGGTTCTCTGCCTCTCTTTCCAGAATCTCGGGGTCTTCGTCTCTGCGGTAGACCTTGGCAACGGGAACCTGCGAAGGCGGGGGAACGTATGCATTACGACTGGGAGGTGGAGCGACGAAGGGCTTCTTGATGTGGTACGATCCCTGAGCCAGACCGGTCGGTTTAAAGGGCGCGATCGGGGCGGCCGAGGCCTTGTTGAATGCAGCGATACGATCTTTGAATGTATTACTGGAAGGCTTGGGCGGCGGACCAGGCTTCGCGGGAGTTGGCGATGCCTTCGCGATGGGAGGCGACGTAACTGCAGGTGGGTCACTGGCCTTGTTGGCCGGAGGTGCTGGGACCGGTTCAGGAACTGGCTCGGGTGCCTTCACGGGCTCGGGCTCGGGTTCGGCAGCTGCGTCGGGTGAGGTAGGGAGGGCAGCTGGGGCGGGCGGCTCGGGATGCTCGACCTCGTAGTGGGCTTCTTGCGCAGGCTGGGGATCGAGGTGAGGAATTGGTGGCGCCTCGGATGCTGGGGATGTGACCTCGGCTTCCTTCTTGGGACGGGTCCTGGTCGGGCGAGGCGGGGCCTGGGGCTCGATCTTCTCGACAAAATTGCGAGGAAAGATGCCTTCGTGCTTGACGCCTGCATCGTCTAGATACTCCCCGCTATACCAGTCGGCATCCTCCTCGTCGGTGACGGTGATGACGGCGCCGGCAGGGAATTGAAGGTCATCCTCGTGAGGGGAGGAGTATTCGAAGAGGGCCTTGACCCTGAAGGGGGCGGTCGACATGGCCGGCAAGGATCGAATCGGATGGTTCCGTCGTCTCCGTCGCTGTCGTCGTTGTCGGTTGGAGTCGTCGTGAGATGTGCGTTTGGGTTGGAACACTGGAAAGGTGCTAGGTAATCGAAAGAGGAGTCGGGCAGGTCAGGGCGATGGGAGCTGCAGCAGTTGGGCGTGTGGGGCAACGGAATCGGAATCGCCGTCAGCAGCTTGGACCTTGCGTCGGCTGTTGTTGGTTACGGGAGCGACTGCCTTGGCAGAGCGAGCAGCAAGGTCGCAAACTCGGGGGTGAACAACAGCGGAACGGAAATGCAGGACGATGCTGTAGGAAGACGGTGATACGAATGGTGCGCAGGCTAGGTATGTTTGCAAATATCCCGACGGTTTCTTCCTCAAAGCGGCCAAGGGGGGCTCGTTACTATGGGAAAGCGGGAGGGGGGGGGGGGGGGGGGGGGGTAACAGAGGGCAGTCCGTCTGTCGGAGAAGGAGGCTGTGAGTATGGAAGCGACCGGGGTGGGAGGGATCTACAAGCTGGCGTGTCGACGTCAGCGCATGAACTTGTAACCCTCTTAGCCCAGTGTTCGGGGCAATTGAGGGCCCTGGCCTAGGAGTACACCCTATGCGAACACACAGAGTCATGTATGCCCCGGACACTGCACCGGGCCTTGACAAATGTTCTTTTCTCTCCGGGTTTCGGCAGTCTATCCGTACCACAGTGATGCTCTGGTCGCGTCGCATAGGTAGGTGAACTGAACGTAAACTGGGGAGGTATACGGATATACAGTAATTATTCCGGGGAGAGCCGCAATGCGGGTGAGATGCGTCTGCCTAGAACACACTGCAACCGTGGATTCGTTCCACACCTGAACGTTGCTCTTTTTTCGGGATTCGATTTTGATTTTGATTGTACGGAATTCTGCCCCTATATTGCTCCCTCCTCTTGCCGTCTGCACTGCTTTCATTCCTCTCTAGCATTCGGATATTCTAGCTGCATAGGTACCCTACCGTGGAGAGAATAGTAGTAAGATAGAGACGCTGACTGACAATGCTAAGGGCAGGGGTTCCCACAATACACCTGTCGTCCCAAGAGTGGGCAGAGGATCTTATCTTTCATCATGTCGCTGCACTTTGCCGTCGTCAACTGATTAGGTAACCAGTAACATCGTGTCACTGCAATGCTTCGCCTCACTTCAGACCCTATTGCCTCTTACCGTCATGAACGGCAGTAGCGGCAAGGCTAAAATACATCTGGTGCAGGAGGGACAACCAGGCACAACCTCATTGCGGTTGCGATTAGCTGAGAATGACCTACGAATACGTGGTCCAAGGTAGATCACTGTCCAAGGAACAGCCGGCCAAACCGAAGCAATCAGTCGACAAGGTCAGTCAGTCGTGGCGCAGAGCAACCGGATCAACATAGGTACGGTCAGGCAGTGTTGAGGTGGGAAACCAAAGAAGCATGCGCTTCGATGCGCTACACATTCTTCAGCCGCCTAGGCCAACGGAACCCCCGTCGAGGGGCAAAGCAAGGCGACAAGGAGACAATGAGGAAGAAAAGGATGGGTTCTCCGTGCCAGCCAAGCTACCCGAGCACCCCGAGCTACAGACCAGACGTGCCTGAGTGTAGCGCGGCTTGGCCCCCAATCGTCATCGTGGTGGCGCCCGTCACTTCGCGCCAAACATCCATCCCCACATGATTCGATGCCTATGGAAAGACTCATTAGGTAAGTTCAGGTACGTACCTCTCCAAGGACCGAAATGCGCTTCGGGCATTTGTTAGTGTAAACGGAGAAGTGGGGTTGAACAATTCAAAGGAAGCAACAGCGCGAATCGAACCTTCTCCAACTGGACTGCTTAACAATTTTCCAGCACTCGCACCTTCAACGCCAGCCCTTCCATCGGTACCCGAACTTTCACCAGCCTCAAACCTTTGCTTATTCGAGATACTCAGTTCGCTTGCCGCAGGCACCTCCTGCATAACCATAGACTAGAACAACGTCCTTTGCGATTTGGCAGTGGAGCCCCGCCCGACGCCTCACATCGCACCATCCTCTCCCTCGCAAACTACGAAACCACCCATCATGGCCACCGATGGCCGGCCACTGAAGGGCATTCTCAAAAAGCCAGCCGGTGTCTCCGGCAACAGCAACTCTGGCGCCGCTGCCGCTGTACTCAACCCGCGAAAGCAGGATCCCCGCGAAATCGCGCTACAACACGCACGCATCATCCAACAGCGCAAGGACCTCGAGATCGAGATCCTCGAGAGCTTGGCCCTGCTGTCCGAGTACCCCACCGAGCGCGGCAGCCGCCTCTACTCGGCCGCGAACCCCTCACCCCGCGACGTCGCCGACTTCAAGGCCAACGTCCGCCTCTTCCAGCCCTCCGACTACGACGACCTCATCGAGGAGCGTAACGTCAACGGGCTGTGCGGCTATACCCTCTGCGCCCAACCCAAGCCGGCCGCCTCCAAAGGTGGCGAATGGCGTCTCGTCAACTTTGGCACATCGAATTTCGACATTGTTAACCGCAAGGAGTCGGAGAAGTGGTGTTCCAAGGACTGTCAGCGCAGGGCGCTCTACGTCAAGGTCCAGCTTAACGAGACGGCCGCCTGGGAGCGCGCGGGAATCCCGGATATCGAGATTGAGCTGCTCGGCGAGGACAGGTCGGCAAGGGTGGACCCCGCTGCACAAGCGACGCATGACCTCGCGAACCTGAAGCTGGAGGAGAGCAGGAGGGCGGCTGATGAATCCGCGACGCTGGCTTTGGAGAGGGGCGAGGTGCGGCAGGCGGGTGGCCAGTCGGGCAAGACGTTTACGCTTGCGATCAGGGAGAGAGATGCCAAGCCGCCAGTCGATAACGGTATCTTTGCGGAACCGGACGATGCGCATCTGATGGTGGAAGGACACAGACCGGGCGCTGGGAAGGCGCACGCTCGGGCCGAGGCTCTCCAGGCTGAAGCTCGATTTAGGAAGGAAAACGAATGATGTGAAAATTTCACGGGCAGAAGGGAATTTAACACTGTTCTTTGGAGTGCGGCGTAGTCGGCTCGGCCTGGCGACAGGAGCTGGTTGCTGTATATATATAGACTTGATACCCAGGATAGCAACCAGTCATTTCATCACAGTAGGGCCTTTGGGTGCTTGCGAGACGAAAAGAACTAGAGGCTCCACGCTACGTCAAACCCTCACAATGTCAGAGGGACAGCATCACGACGCAAAATGGGAAGGGGGACGAATATTGGCAGTCAAGCGTCATCTCCGGAATTACCCTAGAGAATCGGCGACACCTCGTGTGGGAAAACAGAACTTTTCTTGCAGTTCTAAGTTTGTGAACTCACTACCGTCCCGTGAGACGCCTTTGGTAGCATGGGTGAGTGATATCATCATATGCCGTTTTCCGTAAGCCCGTTAAAACCAATCCATTTTCCTTTCGCCTGAGCCGAATCAGAGATAATTTAGTCGCGACGAGGAGGGCGGTCGCCGAAGCGGCGGCCACCACGCTCCTGGACCTGAGCCTGGGCGACGGGGGTAACGTTGACGGGGATAGAGTCGAACTGTTCAGAACATCTTGTTAGCATACAAGCCGCATCCGTTGGTGCAAATCGCGGGGCGACACTGGAAAGAAGAGGTGTGTACGTACGCCGAGGTGCTTAAGCAGGTCCTTGGTCTCGACGTCGACCTCGAGCTGGCCGCTCTCGGTGTTCTGGGTGAAGTCGAGGGCGGAGATCTCGGGGACGTATTGGTCCTTGCGCTCACGCTCCTCCTCCTGGAGCTTGAAGGAAATACCGCGGACGGGGCCACGCTGGATACGCTTCATCAAGTGCGTGGTGTATCCGGCAATCTGTTGAGAGGAATTTCCGTCAGCACAAACTTGGCTCCCCTTCTGTTTCCCGCATGCCCGACATCCATTCCGCGGCTGCATCGGTCGTGGTCGGTGGGCGTGTGCTCACCTTGTTGCGGAGGCGCTTGGAGGCGATGATGGCGATCTCATCGCAAATGCGCTTGTTGGTCTCGAAGTCCAGGGTGAGCTTGGGGTAGTACCGCTCAATGATGACCTTGGAGGACTTCTTAACGGTCTTGGTGCGAACGCGACCCATTTTGGCGGTACTGGCTCAGTTGGCGGGGGAGGGAGGGATTTGCTGGAAAGAGGAGGTTGTCGGTTAGTGCTTTCGAGATGTTCTCACGAGAGGTCTAGCTCGAAATAATTTGTTTGCCTTTCGAATTTCCTAGCAGTTGTGGGCCGAGGGCAGGAGCATGGGGAGAGCACGTGATCTGGTGGCTGGTCGTGTGGGGTCTGGAGCCCAGGTCCCTGTCCAGGCCCGAATAGGAACTTGAATGTGGGTCAGAGCCGGAGACGCGACATTTCGCATGATGCCCGAAACATTCAGCGCGGCTAGGGATTCTTGCAGAGTGGAAACAGCATGGAAATCGCATTACCAAGAACGTACCCAACAGTTTGTGGGAATCCTCTCAGCACGCGATCTCAGGTAGTACCTTATTATTGATACTCAGGCAGCCATAAAGCCAATAAAACAATTTGTAGACTAGGGCTGCTTGCTTATTGATAATCTCTATGACTTTGAGAAATACCGAAATCGGGCTGTATTCTTCTTAGTTTACAATACCATACATAGTACACTCGGCCCGCTTGCCAATGCCATACAGAGATCTATATCCCCAGACTGGTCTTCCTCCCCCATTTGGGCTTCGCTCCTGCCTCAAATATGATGACCGAAAGCGACTCCACGTCGTCAACGTTCATCATAACGCTCACGAGTCTAGACCGTAGGTCTGCGTGCTGCCTGCAACTGTCTTGTCGTTCTGCTTGTTTGTCCGCATCGTTCGGATAAGCGGTCTGCGTTCTTGTCCCGACGGACGCTCAGTCTTGGTTTTGTTGTTGTAGATCTGGACCTTGCCGACTATCTCCCTTGAAACAAGCTGTGCCTCTTCGTTGGCCTCGGTAACGGTGATCTGGATCATGCCGGAAGAGTCCATGCGAGCAGAAGTAGGCTGAACGTAAGCCTTGGCGCCGCCCTTGATATCAGGATCAAACGAGGCAATACCAGCGATGCCAGCCTTACGACCGAGGAAGGATCTCTGGTTAAAGGCAGTGTCACCCTGAGGCGTCTCGGTGATGAAACCACCAACGCCCAGCTTCGCGCTGGTAGGTCCCGATCTCGGTGCGATGATACGGGCCAAGACTGGCGTCTGGTGCGCCTGGGGACCGTAGACAGGGTGATTCTCGGCGAAGGCCGCAGTGCGGAGGTACGAAATACCGCCGGAGGGGTGGGAAATGGGAGGGCCGTTCTCGGCGTACAGACTGGGACGCTTCGTCACTTCGACAGATCTGCCAAGGTCCGCCATGGAGCTGGGCGGGTTCAAGGGCGCAAGGTCCAGGAACTCGCTCACCAGCGAGTACAGTGTGATGCGGTCGGATCGCAGCTTGCGGAGGTACTCGATCACCTGCTGCCCGGTGACATCCCGGACACAGATCTGCCGAGGAATGCTCTGGCCGGCGTCCAGAGCCTTCTGATGCGCCGCAGCCGTCAGCGCGGTGGCGATGCGCGCTTTCAAGAAAGTGCGGAAGTCATCGCGCTTGTTGCGGACGCTCTTGCGCAAGAAGCGGTTGAACTCGCCCTCGGTGAGACCGGCCAGCCAAGGACCCTTGAACTTCCACCTCTTCTCCTCGTTTCCTAGACCAGGCTCCATGTAGGTAAAGTCGCCATCATCCTCAAAGACGGACTTCGTACCAACGTTGAGGCCTCCGAGGCGTGATCGGCTGTTTCCGGGGAGGGTGACGGGTAGGTTGAGCTCCTGGAACTTCTGGAGAGAGAGGGTGTGGTCGGCGGCAGAAGAGTAGTCAGTGACGTTCTCGAAGCAGTCGATCTGCTTGATACGAACAACGGGGGTCGAAGTCTTAGTCGTGGGTCGGAGCGGGAGAGAACGTTTGAAGCCCCAGTCACCAAGTACTCTCGATGATTCGGTCGTGGTGATGGATTGGTGTGTAGGAAAGGGCGCGGTCGCCGTCGGTGATCCGAATCGTGCAATCGCAGCGGCTTCGCCTCCTGGCTTTGGGAGCGGTTTGGGAACGGAGAACATCCGCGATGATCTCAGAAGCGCCCCTCCTGGGGACAATCGGGCAGACATGGCGGCTGTCGAAGCTCTCTGCTGAGCTCAGTCATCAGTCGTTGCGTGTATCGCAAAATGGCATATAACCGCAGTGTTTGCGTGAGAAATTTCAATTGGAGTAACGGAAGAAGCCGGTTATGCCTGATTGGTGGATGAAAGCTACCCCTGGCGTTTCCATGCGCCGTGGCACACCTACAAATTCAGGTGCTCAAGTACATCAATTAGAACATCAAGAACCAGGCTTTCAACTGAAGCAACCACAAGAAGTCTTGTTTCTCGCAGGCACATGCACTCTCTTACCTGTCATGAATGTTGCCTTGAATTTTCTTATGTCGCTGTGTTAGCTTGGCGTGATTATTATGACACCCTTGCGGAGCCGTGCCTCGAAGCAAAGGTTACCGATGGCAACAGACGTGTCTCGAAGAGAAAGCATCTGGGGAGGGCTTGCAGACCAGCATTAGAGGAAGCCTGAAGAGAACTCTCAACGATAATAGCGAGTGCATGAGCTTTTCACAACGCAACTTATAGCAAGAATGACAGAAAAGAGGCATGTATGGCGAGGTAGGACTGGAGCAGTATGCAGAAAGAGAGCACCGACACGAAAGACAGCGGCCCCACCTAAGCCATCAGGAAGGCGCATAGCTCTTAGCGCCTGCGATTTTGGAGGAGTGCATTGTGAACCACACTCAAGACTTCTCCCACTTTCGTCCACTTTCATAGCCAGCAGGCCGTGGATTACCTACATGACTGCTTATGTGGACGGTCAAAAAGATGGCGTCAAGTAACATCGGCTCCTCGGCCGCTCTCACGTTTGAGCTTGTTGCTCGTTGCTCCGTGAGTCGCCCACATGAAGAACCCCCACCATTGTTATGTGAGGCGCGATGCTTACGGTTTAGGCTAGACGACAAGAGCTCGCGCATCCATCTTGACGCTTCCCCACGGCCCGGTGCAGCTCCCCATTTTCATGCCCGTCGCGACGCAAGCTTCTCTCAAAGGCTTGACTCCCGAGCAGCTCGAGGAAACCAGCTGCCGCTTGTGCCTTAACAACACTTACCATCTTGGGTTGAAGCCTGGGCAAGACGTACTCGACGCTATTGGAGGCGCACACAAGCTCCAAGGATGGAAGTATAACATTCTGACAGATAGCGGAGGGTGAGATCTTCATAGACCCGACGCGACCAGAGGGTCGAAAGCTGACAATATCCAGCTTCCAGATGGTCAGTCTCCTCAAGCTGGCGAAAATTACAGAAGAAGGTGTGCGCTTCCTCAGCCCCCACGACGGCTCCCCGATGCTTCTCACTCCTGAGCACTCCATGTCGCTACAGAATTCGATCGGCAGCGACATTATGATGCAGCTCGACGACGTTTTGGTCACCACGTCCCCCGACGCTGCCCGTATGCGTGAAGCCATGGAGCGCAGCGTGAGGTGGCTCGACCGCTGCATCGCTGCGCACAAGAACCCCACCACACAGAACCTTTTCTGCATCATTCAGGGTGGCCTTGACCTCGAAATGCGACGAGAATGTACCCGAGAGATGCTGGCGCGTGACACACCCGGAATCGCCATAGGTGGCCTGAGCGGCGGTGAGGCCAAGGCGGATTATTGTCGTGTTGTTGAGACTTGCACAGAACTTCTGCCCGACCTCAAGCCTCGGTACGTCATGGGCATTGGATACCCAGAGGACTTGGTCGTGAGCGTCGCTCTCGGAGCCGACATGTTCGACTGCGTTTGGCCGACAAGGACGGCGCGATTCGGAAACGCAATCACTAGAAACGGTGTCATCAACGTTCGGAACTGGCGGTATGAAAACGACTTCGGACCTATTGAGGAAGGATGTGGCTGCCTCTGTTGTCGTAAGGGGGATGGTGGCTTGGGCGTCACCAGAGCTTTCATCAACCACAATGCTGGCAAGGAGACGGTAGCCGCTCATTTGCTAAGCATACACAACGTATGGTACCAGCTGAATTTGATGAAGGGGATACGGCAAGCCATTATCGAGGACCGATTCCCTGCCTTTATCAGGCAATTTTTTGGTGATTTATACGACGACAAGTCCAAGTACCCTGGATGGGCTGTAGATTCTCTGAAAAGAGTCGGCGTCGACTTGATAAACGAGTAAACCCCATTTTTGCTGATTCTAGAGGTTGAATGTCTTCCGTTGGCTTGAATATCATTTGGGTGCCGGTGACCGACGACGTTGCTTCAAGCACGATCTACGATGCTTTGTCGAGTTTGGGAATGCTTTTGCAGCCAGGTGCCACCACTCTTTTTTCTCAAATTGTACGCAGAGATCACACTATTTATTCCCCGGCCGGTATCCTACATCCGTCGGCTCAAGGGATGCATTTCTCTCCTTGAGAGAGCGGGTACCATGTCTCCAGTAATCCCATACCGAATCAGCAGTTATGTATTTTTGTTGAACGCATGACTGACGGCGTGTACTATGGTTAAAACTGTGCTGAATTTGGCCTGGTATACCGGCTCATGATGACATTGTGACACTCTAGGATTGTTTGCGTGACCCTGTTATCTCGCCCATTCTACCAAGACATCTGCTTTAATCAAACATATTTATTCAAGCATTATTCAAGTCAGTGCGTTCTTATACCAGACGTCTCCAGGACGCGCTCTATACAAATGGTCAATACTGGAAAGGGAGGGTCCTGCCGACTGTGAAACGCGATTGTGGTATTCGTAAGCTAAGTCTGGGAAATGAATTCGTGAAGCGCGTCAGCTGCCCATCGCATTTTGTGTCCAGAAGCGAAAATGCACATTATGTATTATTGATTAAGGAAAACAAGTGAAAATGCTTCAAAGCAAGAACGAAACAAACGATTTCACCGTCCTTTCGCCCTGGTTCTTTAGTCTTGGTTCTCATCCTCCTCGTTGCTTTCACTCATACAAACGCATGGAGCACCAAGCTCTAATCCAAGAAGCCAAAACAGTAGGAAGAGTGGGTGCAGAACAGTAATCGCCCATGTTTGAAGTTACATGTCTGCTTTGGGACATTGCCCTCGTAGCCCTATGGAAGGAAAGTCGAGTGGTTTCTCGGTCAAGGCCACTGTCGCCTGCGTCATGACAAATCTCAAACCATTCCACAAGCCTATTGCCACTGCAATCTTTATAGAAATAGAGCCATGAGCCAGCGAAAGCAAAACTTATTGAGAGAAAGGGATCTAGGAGTGAGTGGTTGCTGAATATGCAGGCTTGTCTAATGCCATGTCTAAAGAGGCTGTTGCTGCTATCGCTGAAAGCTGCCTTATCACCTGATACCTTCATGTCCAGACGGGAGGAGAACAGGTCCAAAATACCACACCCCAGGTACCCGAACGCTTGACGATGAAACAATACCGCATCACGTCTACCCGACTCGTGTCAAAAATTCGATGACTATAGCGAGAAAAGCCATGGATGTGGTTCAAGATACGATATCAATAGCGCATGAGGCAAGTTGGACGACGACTTGTGTCCACCAGAAATAGGACCATGAAGGAACAGAGCTGCGAGGCTTGAACATACCATCGGGCGCTTGTGGAAATGTGAAAAACATAAATAAGGCTGGCAGAAAGCGGCATGAAGAACTATGTAAGAATAGCCTCGATAGATAGACATCATAACAGCCCACACCCGCAAGCCATGGTTGGTGGGAAACTTCGCTGAACAAGCGAGGATGCCAGTTCAATTTCGTCTCCAAATTGCCCGGTCCTTCTCCTCCCACCAGGGACGACAGGTGTTACGTGCCCAATATTGAAAAGCTGGACGGCGAGTAAGGCAAAGTAAGCTGCCGATAAGATGAATCAATTTCGGCGTGGACTCGATGAAAACCCTTCTGCACGGATCAGGGATCATGAGAAGCTGACAGAGGCGGTATCCTGCAGTCGCCGAGTGTTGCTAGCTAGTTTTATTGCCACCATGAGTAGCCCCTGACCCCAAATCTCATCACATTTCTTTTCGTGTTCCCCAGAAGACGACATCGACCTGAGACTGCGGTCGATGAGCTGTGCTGATTTCACTCACTCACTTCCTCATGAAGAGGCGTCGCAGGCGAAGCTCATGAAGAGAATTGCGCTGTATACGAGAAAACAATTAACACCGAGGTCGCTCGCATTGAAGGTGTGACGATCTTCGGCTCACGGACCCGTCTAAACACCCCGCTAAGATTTAGCGCCTGCATTACATCCAGCCAAGCGGGACAAGGCCGAATGCCCCGCGCATCCCCTATTTGCTGGCATACCACGTGATCGCAATTATGCATCTTATGACGAGTGTTATGTACACAAAAGCAGACGCGACGATGTGCTAGTCCCCTGCCACTTCGCCTTGCACCTTGTCGGCAGCTGAAAGTTGCCAGCAACAGCAACACACTGTCTGATACCTTTTCTTCCAATATTTCGTCTGAACTGTTTCTGCACTTTGTTTTCAGACAAACGCAACTTTCTCCAACACCTGGTAAACATCTCATGGGTCTTGCGCCTGTGCTATGGCCTCTCCACTCGACAGGGCGCCATCGCGGCGCCAGTCGATGCTGAATACACACAATGACGGCGATAAGGATCTTGCGCATTCGCTCAGGCAGCTGTCGCTCTCGGCCTCTCCCGCTGGCAACTCGCCCCGCACCCCGAGCGTACTCTCACCGTTGAGACCGGCTGTGAATCGGAACTCTCCAGCACCGAGTCCTCGAGTACCGTCCCGAAGCCCCTCCTTTGTGAGAGAACTCTCCCGATCCCGATCCTCGACCCCAACACTACAGCGATCCTCCACGCCAACACTCCAGCGCAAAACGTCTACGAGCTCTCTGCACTCGGTGGCCGGATCCTCGAGTAGGACGCCGAGCAGAGCTCCTTCGCGGCGGACCAGCCTGGCGCACACATCCTCTCCCAGCATCAAATCGCCTCTGCGACCGAGCCCCCCTGAATATATCAAGCCCCCACCTACAGCAAACACGATTGCTCGCGACTACTTCAAGGCCGAGCTGGACGTGCATCATTCTCCTACTTCGACTCGCCCAACCGAGGCTTTGGTCGTACTACACGATGCCTGCTACGGACACCGATTCTCCCGCCCCAAGACCTCCCGAGCTGCCCTCAGCACCATCGTCGAACGACCCGAGAGAATCAAGGCCGGTGTACTGGGAGTCGCCATGGCGTACGTGCGACTTGGCGAGCGACATTGTGACGGCGCATACTCAGTGCACCCGAGCCTGGATCCGTTGTCAATTCCGACTATTCCGTTTCGCATTTATAAGACCGATCGGAAGCTGCCCCTGACATCGCCGGCCGTCACCAACGTGCATGGTACCAAGTGGATGGAGGAGCTCAAGATGATGTGCGACGTGGCTGAGATGAAATTGGCAACGGGCGGAAAGGAGCTTCAGCGACCAGAGATGAATCGAGGTGCAGAGGGACCTCCCGCTAAGTTCCACGAAGGCGACTTGTACCTTTGCTCAGAGTCACTCGAGGCCTTTGAGGGTGCGCTGGGTGCCGTCTGCGAGGCCGTGGACAGGGTCTTCACTTCTGGTTCTCGTCGAGCGTTTGTCGCAGTACGCCCGCCGGGGCATCATTGCTCAGCTTCGTACCCGTCTGGGTTTTGCTGGATCAACAACGTTCATGTGGGAATCATGCATTCCATTCTCAACCACGGCTTGACTCACGCGGCCATTATCGACTTTGACCTTCATCACGGAGACGGCTCACAGGCTATCACGTGGGCACACAACGCGCGCGGAGTCAACGCTGCCAAGAACACTGCTGCTTGGAAAAAGGCATCCATCGGCTACTTCAGCCTTCATGATATCAACTCCTATCCCTGTGAAATGGGAGATGAAGAAAAGGTCAAAAATGCGAGTTTGTGTATTGACAATGCTCACGGCCAGAACGTCTATAACGTCCATCTGGAGTCATATGGCTCTGAGAAGGAGTTTTGGGAGCTGTACGAATCCAGATACTCTGTCATCCTGGAGAAGACGCGCAAATACCTAAAGACGCAAGCAGCTCGCTTGAGCTCCCTCAATCTCCCGCCGAAGGCTGCCATTTTCTTCTCGGCAGGATTCGATGCCAGCGAGTGGGAGACGAAGGGCATGCAGCGTCATAATGTGAACGTTCCCACCGAGTTCTATGCCCGCATCGCTCAGGATGTTGTCAAAATCGCCTCGGAGGAAGGCTTAGGAGTAGACGGACGGGTGATCAGTGTGCTCGAAGGTGGTTACAGTGACCGTGCTCTGTACTCTGGTATCTTTAGCCATTTGAGTGGGCTTTCAGGGAACCAGATTTCAGAAGAACCGACTCGTGGTCGTTCGTCGTTTGGCCACGAGACGGGGCAGAAGGCCGGGGCAACCTACAATGGCCAAAGCATTCCACAGGGCCCATCTTCGGCCTCTCTACACCCATACAACCCGGCTTGGTGGTCGAGCTCTGAGTTGGACGAGCTCGAGGTGGCCATAGGCAACCGGCCGCCAAGCCCCAAGGCCGTCCGGCACTCAACACCGCCGACTTACTGTACCCCGACTCAGGCGTCGATCGGTAAGGCTGTAGACCCTGCCAGGATGAGACGGATAGCGTCCGGTCTGTCGAACGGAATAACGTATGCTCGGCCACCGACACCGCCCCCTCCGGACGTTCACTGGACTGTTGCAGCTCATGAGCTGAGTAGGCTACTAATTCCCTCAGATCGTCAAGTCGACAGCTGCAAACCCGAGGATCTCAACGCGGAAGCAACTAGGGCTCGGAGGGATATGCAGTCGATCCTCAACCCTGACCTCGTACCACCAGCGCCTGCACCTGCACCTGCCCCGGTCAGCAGGCCAACCTCGCGTATGTCGCTGAGAGAGCGCAAACCAACGAAACCGGGCATGTACGTCGACGCAGATGAGGATGACGACAAACCGTCCAAGAACCGACGGAAAACGGTAGCGGGGCCGTCTGCACTCTCTTCGGACAAGGTTGGCGGCATTGTGCAAAATCTTCTGGTGACCCAGGCTAACACGATGACTAGGCTGCCGCTCGAGGCATCACGTCTGATACGAACGGAGCAGCCAAGAGGCCCGGCCGTCGCCTTAGCGCGGTGTCACTGGTGGCCTCAAATGCTTCAGAGATGGTCCAGGGGGCTAACGGGGTTGCGGGGCCCCGACCGGATACCTCGATGAGCGTCCGACCAGATTCGGCCATGAGTGTGAGGACGCAGGGTGGTCCATCTCTGACTGTGAAGAAAACAAGGATGCCCACTGCCAAGAAGGATGCCCCCAAGACAACGAGGACAGTCAAGAAGCCGACCGCGCCGGCGAAGCCGTCTCCTCCGCAGCAGAGCCAACCGTTCCAAGCCCCTCAACGGAAGTCAAGCCCAGCCGCTGCTTCAGAAGACGATATGGACAGGCTGACGGCCGGCATGAAGAAGATCAAGATCAACCTGATCACCAAGACACAGAAGGAAGAGCGCGCTAAAGCAGCGCAAGCCAAAGCAGCAACGCCACTTGCGGCCACAGAGGCGAAATTTTCTCTGGGCGAGACCGCGACTCCCACTGCATCCCCGCCCGTGGCACACCCGACCGTCACTCCTCCGCAAGAAGAGGCCTTCACTGCACCACTGGCGCAGCCCCCGGCGTTCGAGGACCGATCCTTGCCGGCTGCTCCGACTGCCTGGCCCGAAGTCTCAACCCCGGTAACGGAGCAAATGCCCGTAACCGTCACACCCGACCCCCGTCAATTTGAGCTCCCCGCCAGTTCGCCAGTCACATCGCCGACGGTAGCAACGCCGTCAGGCTCGGACGTGTTCATCAACTATCAACCGGGGGGGCCGGCCGCCGTATCCATCACGCCGCAAGAACCCCTCAAGTGGCTGCCGCCGAACACGAACACGCCGGTCAAGACTTCTCCGTCCAGGCCGTCGCCCGTCAAATCATTGCCGAACAAGAAGTCGCCGGCCAAGATAGCGCGCGCAGATCTACCGGTGTTCACGTCAACCTATACAATCCCGTTCGCGTCGCAGAAGCTCAGTGGCATGCCGCAGGTGGAACAGGAACCAGGCGTGAAGGCGGATCCGGAGGAACCGGCAAAGTCAGTCCGGGAAATCCCCGAGACTCCGCAAAAGTGATTTGCGTTTTGGATAGACAAGGTTGTACTGGAATGTTGGGTTGGCGAGGAAGAAACCGGTTTTGTCTTGTTTGGCTGTGGTCATCAGCTCCTTTTGTTATATAGACCCCGTTGTGCTTTTCTACGGTTCTGGCTTTGCGAGCCATGGGCTTAGAGCCTGCCGTCATGATACCCTCCTGCCCGAGTTGGCCTCTTAATTCTTTAATTCATTCGGCCTCGTCCTCTAATGTCTGCTCACTTTCCCTGTACATACGTTTTGGTCCTCGTGTCGCGGAAGCAATTGGCGAGTCTCGCGAAAGGGCCGCGGACGTGCGTGAACTGCCGCCTTCCTCAAAGACATGTCGGACCCGAGGCTATGGGATCCGCGGGTGTGCGAACCTTGGCATGCGGAGTGAGTGGTGCAATCCATCATCCATGCGAGTCAACGTGGATAAATCAACGCCGGCGATTTGCCGGCCACTGCGGCCACTGCGGCCACCCGTCGGGCCCGAAATTTCTGAGGGTGGTGGGGGAACTGCAGCGCTGGGGGTGGAGGGGCACATGGTTGCATTCCAAGGCGCGTTTCGTTATCATCCAGTACCTAAACTACCTTGTTGAGATACACGCCCGCTATCTCTGCTACCTATCTTGTGTGTTGAGAATTTTGCATCTCATAAGGTGTGCATTCATTGACACCAGCAGTCGACTGTTTAGACTTGTGAGACTCGATCGCCGCCCCCCTGCGTCGGACAACTCTGCTGGACGACGTCACTCACTCATCCGCTTAGGCCATCGCGCCCTGACTCACCTCCTCTAGTTCATCTCATCTCACAACTCAATAACTTCATCTCGGATTATTGCCAACACACGCATCGCCCGCCATGGCGTTCACGATGCACTCCCATTCGGGGCAATTCTGCCCCGGCCACGCAAAAGACCGGCTCGAGGCCATCATCCAGCATGCCATCAGCATAGGCTACAAGACCATGGGCCTGACGGAACACATGCCCCGTCTCGATATCACAGATCTCTACCCTGAAGAAGTACGGCCCTCTCAATTCCATGCCCTTCGGTATCCAACAGGCTTACCCTAATCTCCCCAGCTCGAAGAGGGCGATCCCGAGGCCTCCCTTTCCGTTCTCGCGCCCCGGCACGAAGCCTACCTCGTCGAGGCCCAGCGTCTGCGCGAGAAGTATGCCTCCCAGATCGACCTGCTCATCGGCTTCGAGGGGGAATGGTACCGGCCCGCCTACGGCCCTTTCATCGAGTCCCTCGCCGCCCACCCGGCCGTCGACTATTTCATCGGCTCGCTGCACCACGTCAACGCCGTGCCCATCGACTACAGCCGCGAGATGTACGTCGACGCGATGAAGACGGCGGGCGGCAACGAAGAGAGCATGTACGAGCGGTACTATGATCAGCAGCACGAGATGCTGACGGCGCTGCGGCCGCGTGTCGTGGGCCACTTCGACCTCGTGAGGCTCATGAGCGAGGACCCCGGGCGGGACGTCAGGAAATGGAAGGGCGTATGGGAGAGGATCATGAGGAATCTGGCGGTCGTGAAGGAGTACGGTGGTCTGTTGGAGTGTAACAGCAGCGCGCTGAGGAAGGGTCTCGATGAGCCTTATCCCTGTCGGCTTATTGCCGAGGTGAGCTTCTCCCTCCCCCCCTCTCCCCTCTTCGCTTTCTGTCTCTCAGTACTCGTAGTCGAGGAGTCGTGTTGCGATCCGGGGACCTGCTGACGTTCACGACCCACAGGCTTGGCTCGAGATGGGAGGACGGTTCACATTCTCCGACGACAGCCACGGCATCGCGCAGGTCGCAACCAATTACAAGCGCAACCTGGACTACCTCGAGAGCTTGGGCGTCACGGAGGTGTACACCTTTGAGCGCGGGCCCGTCGAGGGCGTCAATGGGCATGCGAAAGCCGTGTTGCGGGAGAAGGGTGTTGCGTTAGGGGTGTTTCGGGAGAACTTCAATTAGAGAGATAATTGAGGATAGACCGCTACATATGCTACAATAGACATAGACGAATGAGAACGATTCTGTATGAATTACAAAGACGAAATATAGTCTGTTGCGTTGAGAGCGTCGGAAGGCGTTTGTTTCTTCTTCCTTTTTTTTTTTCTTCCGTTTGTAAGGTAAAAACACTAACAAGATGTTATCGCGAACACCATAAGCTAGAAGGGATGGTCTATAATCAGTAGTAATAATAGCCCGCTCAGGCCCAATTGGACTTATCGAGGTGGATAACAGTGACTCCAGTTGAGCCGAACCCCTCGCGATGGGTAACGGTCACGCGAGCCTGGCCAGATCTATTGCGATAGAACCGTCTGGGCCCGGCTGGGTTAGCATTACTGTTGCCCATAGCATTAATTACAGACTATATCCCTTCTATCTCGTGGTGTTCGCGATAACATCTTGTTAGTGTTTCTAATGCACAGACCAAAAAAATGACTTTCTCATGCCAACGCAATAGATCGTAATGTGGCGCTCAAAGTCCGGCTCATGGGATCGCCTCAGCTCAATTGTTATGTTGGAATCGAAACCCAACGCCAATAGCTTGAGAATTTCTGTTTCATTGACCTCTGCAGACTTAAAATCTCAAAGGATTGCACATGATGATTGCGGATGCTTACTATTATCTTATATGATTGGGTGATGGGAGGGCTGTCAGAAATCAAACTCACGCAAACTCACGCACACTCTGCGATGGTTGAACGCGACTTTGGAATAGTGATTCTGGCTCTTGCCCCATGCCCCAGCATATCGAAAAGACTTAAGAACACGGAAAACTCACAGCTCACTGGTTGAAAACGATAACTCACGGCAGTGAATACTCTCATACTACAGACGCCAAATTTCACACCAATTCAGCTCTGTACACATTAAGCGCGCGTGTCTAGGCAGGCGCGAGCAGCCTCAACCAGGTGGTCACCCTCTCGTGCAGCGTTGCTGCCAGAATTCACATATCATCACCAACCGATCTCAACACCACGAATCATCACCAATCGATAAAGAAGCCTGAATGATTTCACAGGCACCAAAAAGTTGACCCCCACCCGATTTGAACGGATAACCTTTCGATCTGGAGTCGAACGCGCTACCGTTGCGCCAGAGGGCCGATGTGTTAGCGTTCCGAGTCCGGACACGCTCAGTTGACGATCGAGCGGTGGAGCAGGCTTATGAATGATTCAAGGTGAGTCAGTGGGGCGCATGAGGTGAGAAAGTGGGTCTTTCGTCTTACCAGGGGCACCACAAAGTATAATTCCTGCGAGGGGAGATGAGATGTGGCGCCTTATAAGGTTGTGGGCTTTGGCAAGCCTTTGCAGAACAAAGGCTCTTCCCGAGTGAGGCCTATTCATTTATATTGAGTGCAAGATGCTACACACCTTCATGGAGGCTGATAGCGAGCTGCAGTGTTCCAATCGGGGTCGGTGTGATTAGGCCTGAGATTGCCATCATCGACGTTGCGACCCCGCTCGTTCGCTGTTGGCGGGGTTGCCCCAAGGGCACCCGCCATTCAGAAAGAGTGCCCGTACAGCTGAGAAATGCATCGCATCTGCAATTCTATTGTTTGTATAGGAAGGCTGGCGCTCGGCTGACTTGAGAGACTTGCGCTGGGTGAGGTATTCAACTGGCAGATGCAACCGCAACTCAGTGTCTGTCTGCTGTGGCAGCGCTAGAGGTGGTGTATCCCAAGACACCTCAACTAGTGCTATGAGAGACCTGAATCTAATTTGTAGGCCGTCAAGGTTGATAGCAGAACCAAGTGTGATTTCGTCTCTCATCAGGTATTCATTCAGTCGTTGGAGAGACGACTGCATTCCGAGCAAGAAAAGCACCAATCAAACCCACGCTTTTATGTGAAAACCGATGCGTGTCTTTGCTACTGCTGGCGGTCGGAGGGGAATACCTTGCTAGATTCGGCGGGCATCGGCTCTTACTTGGCCGGCGTTTCGTGGCCACAACTCAACCGCGCATCTGCATCGAGGGGACGAAAAATACAACCAGCAGCGCTCGCAACCTGGAACATGAATCAGCGTCGTCGTCCCGTCTTTTATGGCTTATACTCTGAGACCTGATGAAGTCAAACTTCATCATGACACTCCTCAACTGCTTTTCACTTGCGGGCCTTCTTTTCCTTGCCGGGGTTATTGCCGCCTAAGGACTATGGGAGGGAGATACCGATCCTTTTGTCTCTGTTTGTGCAGAATGTCCCCCTGACTTAGGAGTGAGGCCTGCCTCGGAAGTTAGGACCCATGTTTTCGCATCGCGAGGCTAGGCTATTGACTTCTTGACATGGGGGTTATCACGGAGCGGGCCGTTCTGGAGAGCCAGCCGCAGAGGGAAGGTTATCCCGGCGCTCGGCTCGTACCTCATGTTGACGAGCATCGATGGTTTTGATGTGCTTAGCTACATACGGCGACTCAACATCTCCAACTTCTCTGTTATCGTCCTCTCAGTCTCAGGGACGGTAATCAGTCCGGTGTTGGAGGTCTGGGCATCTGGCAAGCCTTTGATTCCCGCAACCCTGCTGCGGTTGTGGCCCGCACGGAAGGTCTGACGCAGGCCCTGACATACATCCCTGGTTTGAATGTAGGTGGTGTTCTTACGGTCAGCACGGTGTAAGTGTCTTAGTATTCGTGTATGGCCGTATTCAAGCGGCTTATACCGGACCAGCGCTGCGAGCGCTTTCACCACGATAGATACTCTTAGAAAGCAGATAAACTTTACTGTGGAATACACCGTCGGTTCCGACGGTAAACACAGCGTATGTGACAAATATTTTCGAAAACCTTGGCGCTAACGCCGAGATCAGGTTGCCTGTGTCCGTCACTGATGCATTTGGCCAAGTCGGGGGGAGGGGGGGGTATATGTACATGAAAACTGGGGGCGTACGGCGACTACTCAGACTTCACCCTCCCGGGAACCATCTTCACTCGAGGCGGGGCGCCGATGCCCATTATCTCTCTCTCTCTCTCCGAAGTCGTTCCCTAGTATTTGCCGAACATCGAAGGCTTCATCTGGCCTGGGAGGAATGCCACCAACGGTTTCAACCTGGCCTCTTACAAAGTAACAGCTAAGGACCGAACCGCCGACGTCTGATGGCATCGTCCCACCTCCGCAGTCCGAGGACGACAGACGTGTAGTTCTAGTCAACCAGGCCACCCTATTCTTCCACCAGAAACTCCACGAGTCCTCTTGGACCGCGTAACCGAGCCCCTTTGCGAACTGCAACCAAGCTATGCGGGCATCGATGAGCTCCTCATCGACGGGAGTCTCGGGGGAGAAACAAACGGTAAACCCCATCCGCCCCTTGATCATTCCCGAGCGTCAAGTGGTTTTCATCATGGTCTACGAAGCTTCCTTGGACGCAAAGTACAACTGGGTCAACGGCACGAACCCTTTCGACACCGCCCAGTCCCCGGCCCAGGGCAACATCCTCTTCCCCTGGATCCCCGACAGCGAGTTCGACCTGACGGCCGACAAAGCCTTCAATCTTGCCATGTACTGCAAAGGGATCGTCGGCTCCTCGTGACCCGCCTGTCTTGCCTGCGCGAAGATCCGGAGTAGTCTGAAAAGATTGGGACTTGAGCTACCAGGCGAGTGTTAAGAGTGCTTCCGGTGCCACTGCTGGAACGGCTCCGTTGCCACTCGCACAGCCATGACGAGGGATCCCAACCCTAAGCTGCGGCTTGATCCGGGTACGTCATGTACGGAGTGGAATAAGACGTATTGGAGCAGCCAGACGAGCACGGATGCAAGGGGTGGAGTCAGTGGCTCTGCAGGCGGTAATTCGGGAGGGTTAGAAGCTTTGCCTTCATCCTCGCTGGATCCATCCAGAGCCTCGACGACAGCTGGAATCAAAAGAGCTGCGGCTGCTTTGACTGTAGCTTCTATCATCGCCCTCAAAGAGGTGTTTTGGAATGGGCCTCTTAAAGGAATAGATGTTACTACCACAGGCCTTGCTAAGGGCCAAAAGAAACGTTGTATCTATGCGGCTGCAGTGTTCCAGGGGCGAACGGCCCGTACTCCCCGTCTTTCTGCTCTATACCAAGGACGTCTGCAAATGTTTCCCTTGCTTGTGAGACCAAGACGGGAATATTACTCAAGAGGCCCTGGGCAAGGTGCATCCAGTCGGTGACGCCCGAGAGCTTGATGCGGAGAACCTAGCGAGGGAGTGTTGGGTCAGCTCTGCGGTAGTAGGAGTGAAACGTCTCATATCGCTCACCTCGAGTTGATCTCTCACGTCCTGGTCCTCTTCTAACGGTCTCGAGAGCCGGATTGTTCTCTGTGTGTGCACGACGTATTTGGCAATCTTGTAGAGCTTTGAGCAGCCATCCAACACGCTCCGTACATCGCACCCTTCCTGTTCGGCTCCCGCCAGGAACTGGACAAACTGCCCCATTATCCTGACGTTGAGATAGGCATGCGGCCCCGTAGGTTCTTCGAGCGAAGACCAAAGAAGTATAAGGCTTGCCGTTACTGGGTAGCAGAGCATAGCCCTGTGAAAATAAGAATCAGCAACCGGTTCATATCGCTCGCAGGAATACTCACCATATGTGCACATAGGGCTGCGATGGTATCAGCCGCAAAATATCAATGGTCGCCCGAGCTGCCGATGTACACTTGGCATAGGACTGCTCTATCGTAGGCAAAGACTCGCTGCTCAACCACGCGCTATACAACGGAGACGACGGATGCAACCTCGACGCGTTTTTAATCCGAGCCAGAGCCATGTGAGTCTTGATCAAAGCATTGAAGTATACTAGATGCAACAGAGCTACCGGCATCTCTAGCTCTTCAGTCGTAAGAAGGGCGGTGGGATCAGGCTGCAAATCTTCAGGGAGCGAGCTCCTCCATTCTTCAAGCTCGTGGTTGCATGCCATAACGATTGCGTGGTGATCTGTGCCCGACTGGAGTTGGAGACTGTGCTGCGAAAACTGCTCGTGAATCCGCAGTTGGATTCGAGAGAGCTGCGCCATACTTGTGACGAAGTTTAGTGGTTGTGTAGCTGGGTCGCCAACGACAATGAATTCCTCGGCGGGGTATTCGATTGTTTCACCATGTCGAAATGATGTAGGTAGTCCGAACTTGACCATCATATCCGTGTTTAGGATGTGTGCCGCCCAGAAAACTCGCTTGCGCCGCTCTCTCTCTACGGCATTGAAGTTGATGTAGGCCTCTTTCTTATCCAGCCCCAAGATCTGTAGTGTGCGAGCTGCCGCAGAAGCCAGCTGGGAGGTTGTACGGGCATCGGTTGTTCCTAGCGAGAATGTAGCCATAGCTAGCAGCGCTTCGCAGGCTGATATGTCGTTTCCCCGGGCTATGAGTTCCGGGAAGATTGCATACGCGTTCTTGAAGTAGCACCAACTACTCACACCCATCCTCTCGAAAGAGTCGTTTGTCTTCCTCCATCGCATCGCAGTTCCGAAAAGGACGTTAACAATGGCAAACCTCGCTGGGCTATCATTGCTGTTGCCGGGACCGGCCGCATACTGTGCATCAACGAGTCCCAAGAAGTGACTGCTGGTAATAGACGGACAAAAAAGTTGCACCTCTTCGATTAAAGTCTGCTCCATGTCGAGGAGGTATTCCTTTGGAGGGAGTCTCGCGAAGCTCTGTCTTTGGAACGGTCTCTGGTCCATTTCCGCCTCGAGCTGACTTCGTACATTGCGAAGCCTAGCCAAAAAGGCAGCGCGTAGTACGGCGTCATCTGGGAGGAGTAGAATGTCAAAGGGCACTCTTCCCTCAGCATCGACCGAGTGTGGTTGATCAGTTGGACCACTGTGCCTTTCCTGTTCTGAACTATCCGGAACTGTTGGTGAAAGTATTGAGCTTGTGATTGACTGAGATTCCGGTGTGTTTCTTCGCGGACTTGTACGCCGGGCCTGGTCTTCAAGCCCACCTGCGTTCGCAATGTGATCCTCCTTCACGTTGAGTAGGCACATCTGCTTCAAAGACGCTTCGACACCCTGAGACTTCGGCCCACAGCCGCTCGATGTCTTGTTTCTATTCATACATGTAAGTATCGTATTAATCATTACCGATAGGTGTTGGGCTCAGACTTCCGCCCTGGACCTCTCTTCCTTCGTTGTGTGTAGACACAAGGCACATCCAGCCGTGAGCAGAGCCCGCAGACAGGCTCATACCCATCACAACGCCGTTTTCTTGCTTTGCAGTTTTGACATGCCTGGAGAACATGGTCAGAACGCATTGCTCTAAGGACCTTGAGGTCACTTACACTATAGATCCGCTTCTTGTGAGGCTTCTCCCCATTGTCATCATTGGACTCTACACTTTCCGCAACACTAACCATGGTCAGGATATAAGATCGATGAGTGACGGCGGCATGAGTGAGATAAGAGTTTGTATCCGCGACAGGATTGAAGAAGAAGTCATGCGCCCTGAAAAGCTGACCTGCCGTTGGGGGTTGGACGCAGAAGATAGGGTGGATATTAATAAGCATCCGCGCTTATGTACTAACGCGGGTGCAGCGGCGGATGTTTCTGCGGATGCAAACAGGGATTAATAATAATAAATCTAAACAGCATCCGTAGTGGCACACCACTCAAAGAGGAAATTCGAGACATCGCCCGCCCTTGGCGGATAGAGAATCTACACCCGCCAAATTATCGCCTTAGCGGTGTGTTCATGATCCCGCTTCTTGGCTGTCGCGTCTCGACAAATCACTCCAGATGTATCGGACACAGCAAAGAAAGTCATGAGCCGCTCGCAGCTGAATAATTATCAACTACGTGGCTTTGAGTGCGAGAAGGGAGTGCGTGATATTATCGAGGAAAGACGATGGTAAAGTGTATATAACAACCCCCACTGACCAGACTTGATATCGTGTCGGACAACCAGCGCCTCAACCACGACAATCACTGCATAAAACCACACATCTGAACGTGAAGTCACAGACTTTTGCCTTGCATCGCCAATATGAGCACTTTCATCAACGTCGCCCTCCTCGGTGTAAGTCCCGCCTCTGCCTTTACTTACTATAGCGTTGGTAGTAACTATTTCGCAGAAAGGATACCTTGGATCTGCTATCCTCACGGAGCTTGTCAACGCTGGCTTCAATGTCACCGTCCTCGGCCGCTCCAATTCAGCCAAGGAAGGACTTCCCGCCGGCGTCAGGTTCAAAGCCGTCGACTACGCCTCTATTGACAGCCTTGCCCCCGCTCTTCAAGGCCAGGATGTGGTTGTCTCGACTGTGAGCAAGGGCGGCCTGATCACGCAGTCTACCACCATCGACGCCTGCATCAAGGCCGGCGTCAAGCGCTACATTCCATCCGACTGGGGATCCTTCACGACTGACCCAAAGGCACATAGCGAGCTGGCCGCCGTCCTCGGCCTAATGTTTGACACCCAAAAATACGTCATCGAAAAGGCCCGCACCGGCGAGATTGAGTACACCATCTTCTCCGTCGGCTGCTTCATTGATTATCTTGCAAACCTGCCCATCGCTTTCGACTTTGCCAATAAGACTGCAGAGCTGTTCGACGACGGCAAGCACAGCTTCAGCTCCACCAGTATCACGGGCATCGGAAAGGCCGTCGTCGGCGCCCTCAAGAATCCCGGGGCCACCAAAAACCGCAACCTCAAAATTCACGAGCTCGTAGTCTCTCAAGAACAGCTGCTGGCGCTGGCTAAGAAGCACTCGCCGCCGGGAGCTCAGTGGAAGGAGACCAAACTGGACGGCAAGGCCGAGTTCGACAAGGCTTTGAAGGCTGCTCTGGAGGACCCTTCCAACGAGCACAAGATACTGCAAGTCATAAAGACTGCTCTCCTCGGCGGACGCTACGCAAGTGTGTATGACGAAGTTGACAACGAGCTGGTCGGCGTTCCTCTTCTTACCGAGAAAGATCTAGAGGTGAGAATGACGGCTGCCTTCAGTTCTTAGAATATGCATGAAGAGACTGGTCGTGGCAAGTTTTAATGGCGTAGTATATTCAGAAGTGTTCATGCACTTCTTATGTATGCTGTAGAGTTCAAGCTGTTGTGGGATATAACTCATGTGGATTATGTTGGTCAAGTTAGAGCATGTGCCTGTTATGCAACATGGCAATTCATATTTACGAGTTGTTATGACTTCGTCATCCTCAGACCCCTTATGAGACAGTATTTCTATAAAGTGTTTCATGTGGAAAGTGTTTGTAGCTCAGTCCGTGAAGTTAGTCCTATGAAGAAAACTGGTTTAGATGCAGTGTTAAGTAGCATCGGCTTGCGTTAGGGACGCAAGTAAAATCTCTAGTTTTTTTTAGTTTTTTTTTCAAAGAAGAGTCTAGTTCCACTATAAATGTGCGTCAGTCTGGCAAGCTCTTCTGGCTTCTTGTCTGTTCTGTGTTTTGAGTATCTTGCGTGATAGACTGGCAACCCTTAAAGCTGTCGGGCAGCGGGTTGGAACTAGAATTGCGCAAGAGTGAAAGCAGAAGACTGAATTAGAAAGGATTGTTCCCACTTCGTTAAAGTTAACGGTGTAATGAAATCGGGAATTGAGGGAAATGAAGACAACTCGGGGCGATTCAGTCTCAACAACGTCCGTCAGCCGAATATTCAATAGCTTCCCCCACCCAACAGTCTCCCGGATTCTCACTGCAACAGATCCGCAGACACCCCTATTGCAGAAGGTTCCTAAGTATGACCAGTCTTTTGTTGTCTCAGAAGGTTCAAAGTTCGAGTCTAATGACATCTCGCTCTTTACTACTGACGTAGACGCGCCGAACGGCGAGGTTCCCGTTTCCCCACATGTCTCACTTTCCTGATATTATTCTGAACTAAGATGTTTAACCCCATGGTGCTTGTATAGCTAAAAATTAGCAGGGGAGCTACAAAAGCCGGTCGGATCGAGATGAAATTTGCTGTCTCGAATGTACAAGTCGCCGCAGGGGGGGATGTCCTCTCCACATCCGCTGAAACGGTCAACAATGCCAAGGGGCCAGCTACTCTAGATTATACTTCCCTTTTTGCCCCATGTTCCCTTTGCCAAGAGGTCGAGAATTCCTGGAATCTCTCGCTGCTATAACCGGCAACACAGAGGGGAATATCTTGGAGTTACCCGTTGGGGAAGGTATTGTATATCAGGGAGGTAGATAATAGGTGCTAGACGTTCCGTGCCGAGACAACCGCCTAGTCGTTCAAGCGTGTGTCATGGAGGCGCGCGCAATCTGCTGACATTGCCGACTCGCCAAGATGTGGCGGGCGGACGAACCGATGTTCTTGGTGAACAGCCCCATGGCGGTTATGACTTGCTACATCATGACTCGGGCGCCTGCCTGTGATCATCAGATTATGCATCCAGGCTAGGTCTGGAACGCCCGAAAGCAAGGTTGACTTGGCACCCACGCTAACGGACGCTGGCCCCCCTGCCCAGCGTGGCTAATCCCTTGCAAATACTCCGCGGTTGGCGTTCGACAGCGAACTAGGCCCCGCGTCCCGCGTGCGTCATCGGTTTAATCTTTGGGCTAATTCACAAGGTTGTCGTTCGGGGCGACCTATTCACTAGTGGTTGGGAGTATGGCGAGTGCGCCTTTGGCATGTTGAGACTTTGGGTGATGAAATTCAGTCGTAGGTGGGGTGCGAGTCGGCCCCGATGAGCAGCGACACCATAGGAAACTAGACCGCGATAGGCTAGCCAATGAAGTTGAGCCTCGGTTGCCGTTCTCGGAAGAAGCAGTTTTTGGCACCCCGGCTGCTTGTCGAGGCCGGATAAAACGCCGGGACCCAGCGGGTAAGCGAATACGGTGCGGAACGGGCTGCATGCGGGGCCGAAGAGCGGCCCCGGGACCGTGCCACTCTTCCGGGCAACGACTGCCCATTAGTGCTCTCACTGATTGCTTTGCCATACACTAAACACGGCCCCCTTTCTCGACCTGTCATCTCAACCCGTGCCTCGTGCTGTAAAGCACTTCTTGCGAGAAGTTCCTACAATGCACAGTGAAACTTCTCTCCCTCTTTGATAATAGATACCTACCTAGCCGGCAATGATTGGGGTCAGCACCAAGAGCTGCTTAAGCTTGCTATCCCCTATTGCAAGCATGAGGTGACACGACACAGCCCCGCCGCCGTTACCACCCCATTGCTGTCTACCTGGGCTTCTAGATAAGCCAGCTCGCCATCTTTCCCAACCAACGCTGTTTGCGCGTATCCTTGTCCCCCAGGACCTACCTACACAATCTCCCACAGGGCCAGGGGGCTAGTGACAAATGATAGCAAGAAGCCCGGTCTATGATTTAGCGAATGTTCTCCCCGGGCAGAATTTTGTGGTTGGTACCTTTCTTCTCATGTCGCGCCACCCCACCGAATATTGCGACTCACAGTGCAACGCTCCTCTCGCTGCAACCTGCGCTTTCAATTCTCCATGAGGGGTCAAGCATCATCCCTGCTCAACCCCGCTATCAGGAACCTCTCAACTGACGTCAAGCTACCGGCTTCACGTCGACGACCTCCGACTGACGGCACTCCCACAAATGCATCATCACATCAAAGAAAGAAACTTCATTGTTGTTTTCCCGCTTTCATCTCAACCCGCGTCGCCTAAAGGACAGGCACTACAGAAACCACCCCAAAATGAAAATCAAGGCCCTTAACGTCTACCCCATTAAGGCCCTCCGCCCGATCCCCCTGGAATCAGCGACCCTCACCCCACAGGGCATCCTACACGACCGTACCTACATGCTCTTCAAGGTGAACCCGGACTCGTCCCTCCGCAAGATGCAGCTCTCCACCTTTCCGCAATGCGCCCTCTTCTCCCAGGAAATAGTCTCCTCGTCACCAGCCTCAGGCGAGAGCACCGGGGACACCATCCTCGTCAGTTACAACGCCCCTAACCCGCCCCTGGTGGACAAACACCCCCTACAGGACACGGTTCTCTTTGTGCCCCTCGTCCCGGACACCACCAGCCTCCAGCCCGTCTCCGTCGACCTCCACGGCAGCCCCGCCGAGGCCCTCCGCATGGGCGACCCGTACGACGCCTTCTTCTCCGCCTGCTTCGGCTTCCCTGTCATCCTCGTCTATATCGGTTCCGGTCGCCGCCGAGTCCTCGGTACCTTTGCGCCGGCATCTTCGTCTCTGGCATCCTCGTCTAAGCAGCAGCCGCCCTCTGCCTCTTCCTCCCTCTTGTCGTCCATCACGTCCTACCTCCCATCCATCACATCCCCCGAACCCCGGGGCGAGGAAAAGTGCGACCCACCCTGGCTCACTTTCACCGACTGCGCGCCCTATCTCGTTACCTCAACCTCCTCCCTCTCCCACCCCTCCCTAGCGCCCTTCCAAGAATATTCCCTCATGCCCAAGTTCCGGCCCAACATCGTCGTAGACGACCCGGCCGAGGCCCCATTCGCCGAGGACTTTTGGGCTGAGCTCTCCCTCCCTGCCTCCGGCTCCGACTCTGGCACTGGCGGCTCGATCAGCGCAAGACTCCTCCTCACGGCGAACTGCGGCCGTTGCTCCTCCCTCAACGTCGACTACGACATCGGCCGCGCCGCCGCTGGGCAGGAGGGGACGCTCCTCAAGACCCTGATGCGAGACCGCCGCGTCGACCCGGGACACAAGTACGCGCCCGTCTTCGGACGGTACGCATTCCTCGCAGTCGACGGGGACGAGGAGAAGCAGCAGCAGTCCGAAATCCGGGTCCATGTGGGGGATGAGATCGTCGTCTCTCGCCGCAGCGACGAACGCACTGTCTTCGACTGGGATCTCTCGGTCTCGGCCAAGAAAGTCGCAGCTGTTGCATAGCATAGCATCTTTTTTTAATCATTTTTTACGTCGCAATACGCCCCTCCCCACCGGCGTGCGCGCCGCTCAACACTTGGATGGCTCCGGTGTCTCTTTCCGCATGAAAGAATGATGGTTGTCAGATATCAGATGTTCGTAAACACAGAAAGTAGAAGGTAGTATCCTGAAAGGGGGGCTTATTCACTGTAAAAAAAGAAAAGAAAAAGAAAAAGAAAAGACAAGACCACTAGCCTGTGAAGACATCGTCGAGCCAGAGAGGAGGAAAGGGGTGCCATACAACAGCCTTAAACACCATGTAACCCTCTCGGCCCCCTTCTTATGCCGGTTGTCTTTCTCGGTGTCGCCATTTCCTGGTTATAAAAGTGCAAGAATGCCCAAATCATGAGATTAGAGCCGCTACTTGCCCGCTTTGCCGCTTTCTCCACCGACACCCCCTCTCCCCCTCCGACTAGTTCTGCATAGGTATCCCGTTCCTCGGCTTGCCTATCGCGACAAGATACCTACGGAGGGGTAGCGTAAGTAGATGGGGTACAAACTGGTCAAACCACGAAGTTGGACTCTTGCGTGACTTCCGGCAAATTGCCCTTTCGGGAAGTCCGTATACTATGTAGACAAACGCGAAACTCAGACAGCTGTGTTTCTCGAGGCATTGCCGGGGGGTTCAACCCACCCGCACCAGTAAACCTGCATGGCAACGGGTGGGTAGGGAGGAGAAGATGAAGAAGAAGAAGAAACATGGAAGTATTTACCCGATGTCTTCGACGCGGGGCTGATGTATGTATGCGGTTTCCCGTCGTCGCGGCTTCTCGAACTCATCTTCTCTTCAGGTCATATTACCAAAGCTGTCGAGGCCGAGTTCAAACTTCCCTCTCACATGTCAAACCAGATTTCCCGCCCAGGGTCTCTTTCGCCCGTTCGTTCACCGTTGGGCCACCGCCTGGCCAGGTTTCGTGACCATACTGACGAATCGCTCGCCGTCGGTATAAAGAAACAGCCTTTCCTGGGGGCCTTCGTCATAACGAAATCTGACATACCTCCCCAAATTGTGCATCGCAAGTAGGAAAGGAAGAAAGAAAGAAGGGACTTGAACATTGCTAAACGAACGGGAGAGATTGCCAAAAACAAATTAAAAATGAAAATAAATAAATTCCCGAAATAGGGCCACGCCGTTACATGACAATCGGCTTTCCTCGCGGGAACCCTCGCTGCTCCCGAAGGGGAATCGGAGGGGGAAAAAAAAGAACACAAGAAAGGACAGTGGCATCCTCGGGGCGATCTGGTCCGTTGCAGCAGCTGGGCTGTGCCGCGCCCGTACAACCTGCCAGATGTACATACGAGCAGCCCACGCCATGCAGTGCCCCCCCTTCTCACCCTTGGTCTCCCACGCCGCCCACACTTCTCGGGCATTTCCTTGTGCAACGGAAACACAGAAATTCCCTGGCAGAAACATGATGAACCCTTGTGACTTTTCCATCGCTGGTATATGACACCCGTTACGCCGATTCTTCACCGACTACACGAAGGCTTGAGGCACACACACACACATGCATACATACATAGCCCCGGGGCTGCACGCCTCCAGATCGGGACCCCACGGTGACACATCGGAGGGGGTTTCACCACCAAGACGCCCCTCTCCAATCTGGCATATGCAAGACAGCCGTTTAAATCAGTCAATCCCCGTTTAAAACGACACTCGGGGCGGAAGTGGAATGCAATAGCAATCTCGGGTCGAGAAATGGATAACGACCCCCCCACTCTCACCAACAATTTGATGAAAAGGACAGGCTAATGATGAGTGGTCAAAACGAGCACTGGACAAGAAATGGCAAGAGGTCAGTGGTGTAAATACCATAGGTATAAATAATAAGAAAAGTCGAATTGACAAGTAACCGCCGTCCAGTCCGCCAGCATTTGCGTGCTGATCTAACTTGATCTAACCCCCCTTTTTTTTCTCTTGTTCGCCATGCCCCCTTCAAACCGCTTTTATAACGCCCCAAGTCTAATGTTGGAGAGATAAATTCCTTCTCACCAAACACCCTATCCGCCTGCGGCACTCCTCCTCGATCCCGCCGCCACATCCTCAACTAATCCCACCAGCCACATGATGGATGTCCAAAGGGAAAATAAAGAAATACGTGTCATCAGTTTCCCGTTTGAGGGAGGGGTGTTGGGCTTCGTGCCGCTGATATTAACTCCATTGCCGTGTGTCGACCAAATGTGAAATGCGAATGGACAATGCATATTTTCGTCCTTGCAGGCGAATCAACCAGTCGTCCAGCCAGAACCTCGACGAGTGATCTCCCTGCTAGTTTCGACCTAGCCCGTGCTAGCTGTTCAGACTGTGACCGTGGCAGGATGCTATCGTACGGGCTGAGCTGTTAACAGAGGCGCTAGAACGATGCCCTGTGAACAGGATGTGCTTCCCGCTGGGGCCGTCCAACTGCAGCCGGCTGCATAGGTGTCTCAGCTAGAGGATTCCACGTGTGCCTTGCAGCACGGCAGGATTCAACACCACTGAGCTAAGCCAGAACTAGGACCTTGCCGGGACAGCAGGGGTGGCGGGGCCGGTCCTGCTAGTAGCTAGGGAGGGTTACAAAGAGAATGAAATGTAAGAAAGGAAAAAAAAAACAAAAAAAAACAAAAAAAAACTAAACTCAAAAACCGAAAAGGGAAATAGATTCATGGCGTTCATGGGGCTAGTCGCGTTGCCATTGGCATGAGTGAAGGGATCGGAGAGAGGGGGTAGATGGCCGAAAAGAAGAATCTGGTGTGGTCAGATCGATGTCGTCTAGCCTGCTACTTTTGGCGGCGATCGCCAGGGCGCTCCTCAGTTGCATGCATCTGGTTCTGCTCGCCTGGGTAAAGAATTATCACAGTCGTACAGGGTATTGGCGGAACCTAGGCTTGTGTTAGCAGGTGTAACAAGATGAACTGACAAATGCCACATTCGCAACTGCTACAAGGCTTTTACTTAGGATGCGCATAGAGCGGAATGCAACAAGAAAGGGTGATAAGATCGAGATCGGATAGGGCGAGACAGATATCTGATGTTACAGTGGTGATAAGAGGGAGTTTGCGTCATCAAAGGCAGCTCGTCTAAGACGCTGGTGGCTGACCGCCTGGGGCAAGGACCGGGGGAATGTCTTTCGAACATACCTTAAGCGCATCCAACGCAAACCCCACCCCCCACGTCGGTCTCTCCCTTCGGAGTTAAACACAACACTGTCCTCTCCAGTGGGTAACGTCTCAGGGCGTATGGGATGGCAATGACGCCCAATGATGCATTCGACGTGGGAAGTTCAGGCGCTCTGAGTGCAGGGTCGGCACGTGTGAATTTTGCAATACCGGCATTCGAAGATGCACCAGTGAGGGCCTGAATGGCATAGGTTGCAAGTCCACTGGATCAAAGTGCTATCCGACTTGATCATCTTGAAAAAGTGGGCGCAGGCGCTCGCGACGGCCATGGCGAATAGATAATGGACGAAGCTTGGGTACTCAGGACGTGGTGTTCGGAAAGTGTCTGGGCCGTGCTGAAGGCCGCCTCGTGCGTTGCGTGGTCAATGTTGATGTGGTTGTGGCTGTCTTAGGTCCTGTAGGTCGAGCTTGCCGTTTGCTGATGGGGTGATTTTTCTTTTTTGGTTTCCTTTTCTTTCCCCTTCTTTTTCCCCCCCTCTTGTGGTTGTGAAAGAGACACTTTTGGTAGCAAGTGGCAGGGAGGCAGTCTCCTGAGCTTCAGAAAGCTTCCCTTTTGGCCCTGAAAGTTTGAGTCAGCCTCTCTTCCCACATTCAACTTGAGTCTGAAAGGCGCTTGAGGTATGCAAGGGTTTTTGGGGAGAGGGCTACCAATCAATCTGGTAAATTTTGAGCTCTGCCTCAGAGAGGTTGGCAGTCGACGTAGATGGGGGGAGGGGCAGGTTGAAAGCTGCGTCAACGGGTGCAGTGTAGGAAGTGAGGACCCGGCTTATCAGATGGTGAAGAGATGAAGATGAAGAAGTATTATAAGGCTCTGTGCTGCTTTTGTGGGATGGATGTAACGGCAAGAGCCACGCCGTGAAAAAGGAATTTGAAGAAAGGAAAGTGACGAGCCCCACGTCGAGGTGCCGCCGAGGAAGGCACTGGCCGGTCCGAGAGGCTCTTTTCCCCTTCCGGGCGAGTGGAGAGAGAGAGAGAGAGGAAGGAAGAAGCCATATAAGATCGCAAATCAGGAAGGCGTGCACGTAGTAAGGAAGATCGGGGAGGATGACGAGCGAGGCGGGCCAGGAAGGTACTAGAAATGATGGATATCTAGGAGAGAGAGAAAGATAGAGAGAGAGGGAGGGGAAGGCGAGCAGGAAGGAAGCAGCGTGCTTTAGATAGGGGCACGTAAGTAGGAAGAATCGAATAGATAAACCTTACCGGTTGGAGGCAAAAGGCAAGATTTAGACAGACAGGCTGAGGTGAAGGAGGCGAGGCGTGAAAGCGAGCGTCTTGGTGTCGATGAGACGATGTATGAAAATGTGTATCTTTTGGCAGCGAAGCGTAGGTGATTCCTTATTCTTCCCAACAGCCAATGCCAGCCAGGCAAAGACCACCAGCTGCAATTGATGTCCAAAGCAATTGCAGTAACTAATTCTGTGTGATGAGCCGCGTAGCAGCACTGATGTATAAGTTGAACGAGGTGAAGTGAGGTGACGGGAGGTGGAGGGTGAGCTGAAGCAATGCGATGTGGGATGATAAAAGTCGATGGAGATAATGCAACTCGGACACTAGCATCGTCCATCTCTCTCTTGGCTGGCCGTCTGGCACCCCTTATATGGACGGATGGATCGCCCATGAAATAGACGGCCCGGGCGGACAGACAAAAAAAAAAGCGTCCGATTGTAGGCAAGGTTGGGAGAAATCGGCAGGCCGTGACAACTCCTGAACTCTAACCTGCTGGTAGTAGGTTCCCGTCGTCCCTTCGGCAGAGTTGCGCCCTGTTTGTTCTTTCCGTTCGGATACCAAACCCTGTCCCCGATCCACAGCGGGAGTGTCGGATTGCGGACTGCCTGTCAATTGTCCTTCACGGGCGGTGTCTCTATAGCGCGTAGGGCTGTCAAAGACGACTGGCTCTAAGTGGATGGCTGGTGCCGTTGCCGCAACTTGTGACGGGGCGAAGGTGTGAGGAGCGCCCGTCGAAAGGCAAAAGGGGGGGGGTGGATTGTTCAATTGACCTATTCCTCCGCCGAAATACGGATACACTACACTAGAATCCCGATCCCACTGAAGGTGGTGACAGAAGGGAGGAACGGACACTCTGGAGTCAACGCGTCAGGGACGACCCCTGCCGCTAATGGGGATATGGGCCTGGAGACAACCAGCAGCGTGTCGTACATACAGAAGATACAGCAGGCCAAGTGGTGATATGCACTTTCTCGCTTCCTCTCAATCAATCTATCCGAAGAAGCCTGACGACTATGTGGCTTAGTACTTGGTATACGGTATTCACGTGCATGTGTATGTCGTGGTCCCATTACACTCGGGCTTTGCGGGATCGTGACTCTACGACTCCTCACATCTGCGATACCATTGCTGATTTGTGCGTATCTGTACCTACCAACGGCGGTCAGCCGAAGCAGCGAAGGCGTCTTCTCGGCCCTTCCACGTCTTGACACCTCACCCGACTCGCCCCGAAAGACCCTTGCATCGGGTGCCATGACAAAATGCCTTCTGTCTGCTATGGCCCGGCCCGTTTCTTTTCTTACGGCACACACGCACCCGCACACACTCATGTGCTAGTCACTCCCTAGCCAAGGTACGTAGTGTGCGATGGTGGTGTGGCGCCAAGAGCCATGCATACTAGGTAACTTCTTTAGGAATGACGAATAGTGATGATAATAGTGATGATGTTTGCTTGTTTCTTGATGTAAAAGTGTGGCCGTCTGCCTCGACGCCCCTCCATGTCCTGCACGCCATGCTCCGGCATGAGGCAGCGTGCAGCGCCGCGGCAAGGGATTTGATAGAAAACTCGACTGACAGGGCCCGCAAGAATCTATCCATGTATCGTTCACCTCCAAGCAGACCGCAGCTAGCGACGGAACCGTCATGTATGGGCCCTCTCTTTCGTCTTCCTCTCGTTCCGTCTCTCTCCCATCTGTTGATAGTACAACGGTATGTCACTCGGTTGGTGTAGCACGAACAAGACTGTCGCCGCGACTTGTCATATCCTCTCCGTCAAACTTTGGCAAAGTTCACCGTCCAGACTTTTTCGTCGTAAGTCGTCTTCAGGCAGGAACGGCCCATTTGTCCGCCTGATATTCCTGTTCCTGCTTGGACCAATCATAGTCAACCGGTGTTGTACTCCGACAAGATCAGGTCATCGGAGACCACCCTCCAACGAGTAATTGATCTGGCGCCCGCCTCTCGATTTTGCCTTGGTAATTTGACATCGATCTACATCGCAAGTCACATACCACCGACAAATCTCTGAGATCCCTGTAACTCGGTTGCTGTGTCTTGGGAGTTTGGGTTGCGGCACGCCCGACTTTTCCGCACTAAGCAATATGCCGTGGTGCTGGCAGGCCCCTGCGCTGTCAGGTTGAGCCTCTGTGGGCCGCCCATGTGTGGTACCGGGACGTTGCCGGCAGGCTAAAATTGTCTCCTCCTTGAGGAGGGGTTAGCCTCAACTGCAATGTTTCTGTTTGACATTTAGGGAAGGAACCCTGCCCTGTCTACCCAGCTACAGGGTTGTCTGGCGTGGGCCAGTGAGTTCTGACATGTTACATACCGTACATGGTCCCAAAGTCAATGTGCCCGCGCGCGCGGCTTGAGCAGTAGTTGACAGGATAGGCTTGCAATCAGACGTGACCGGGGGAAGGGAAGCTGCCATAGCCCTTGGAAGAACCGACAGGAGTCTTTTGATCATATCTGTACCACAGCAGGTAATTGGTGGAGTGGTGCACTAGCGGCACGGAGCATCCCCCGTCCCCCGAGCCGTGGGAGTGATTGGCGCGTTCCAAGAATGATACACGTACCATGTGCGGAGCACACTCTGAAGTCGAGTACGACATTCCAATTGGGCACGGCGGCAGTGGATCAAATACAGTACGACCGGGCCTCCGGATGCGCCATCCTTTCTGTCTTCAGACTACCTCTGTCGATAAGCACCTCGACAATCCAGTTAACGGGGGGACCAGGAGGGGATTGCCCAAGTCAGGCCTCCCGGTTGTTCGAGACGCCTGCCAGGCCAGCTTCCACTATGACATTGTAGCTTTTTGACAGAAATAGGGAGCTGTTCGTTGGATACAACTTACAAGGCTGCTTGGACGGTTAGCTAGGCAGTACCTGTGTATGAGTGGGCAGGACATCTCCAGCATCAGTGCCCCTCCGGCATCAAGCGTCCGGCCAATGGCGAAGATCCTGCTCACCGTGTCTTTGCGCCACGGTTCTTCATGCGGCTCAGGGGTTCCAAGACAGGTATGGTGTGTGTGTATGGAAACCGTTCTCGTGCTCCCTCTGCGGGAGTGTTGCCCCGGGAAGGGACCGTAAATGTCGTCTTGACACGCCTCGTTATGCGACAAGATGTGCGTGCGTGCCTCAGCAGCTCTGGATAGGGCACATGCCGTAGGTACAGTACCTGTATCTTGCTGGAAAGCAACTGCCGTTTTGAAGCGAGAAGCATTGTGGCCTCGTCATGCTCTGCGGATGCTGCGTGCGCATCATGAGGTGGTACTTAATGTCCTCAAGGTGACGGCATGGAAGGCGGTTGTGCGCGTGGCATTTGAGTCTTGACCGCATTGAGGCAAAGCCGCAGCAGCTTTGCAAGGTAGCAGTTCGTGGTTTCTGGTTGTGGCAGATCCTTTTGCTTCCTCCTTCGTTGCCCACTTATCGCTCGTCGAGCCAACCCAGAGTCGGATTGCATGCCACCACAAGGATAATTCCCGGACGTACGAAGGACCACAAGGAGGGCATGCCGTCGCGAGATGGCCATTGAAGACAGGGGGCCCGTGTTCCCATTCAGTGGCTGCGCGCGCACGCACGCAGGCACACCAAGGACCCCGAGGAGAGGCTAGAGAGTCTGATGACCCAGGAAATCGTTTGTCCGGGAGACGAAGTGGTCCTATCGACCCCAACGGCTTCAACTGAGCCGCATATCCCAGTTGGGATCGGATGCTATAGATGCTCATAAGCGAGAACCATGGGCTACTGTTACCGTTACCTTCGCTGTTCCTGACTAGGCTTCTCGGGCCAGGAGCCGGGATAGGTCAAGGAGAAAAATGCGGGAAAGTAGATCGTCGACGCTATGGCGACACGGTGAGCAGAACAGTGGATCACCCATCTCCAGGTCACCTGTGGCAAAACCGCCCCACCTCCCCCCTCAAAATTACTGCTCGCGAAAACGGCATCCGACACTGGATCAAACAATCAGGCTGTGTTGCCGAGTTGGCAAACAGCGAGTGTGACCCGGGTTTGAACCCCAGAGCTGGAGTTCTGGGCCCTGTCGATGACAAGCCGAGTGATTCGCTGCGCCGCTCGTAGTTTCCTCGAAAACGATGAAGATTTGGGAAATAGCAGCTTGTCGGCGAAATGCAGTCAATCCATCAGTGAAGTATTCCATTCGAAGGGAACGGCTCCTGGTGCAGCGTATGACATGTCCAGTCAGGTTTGGAGGAAAAGAGGGAACAAAAACAGAGGCCAGGCTAGCTGTTGTTGTCTCCTTGCCTCTGTCCCTCGCTTGAAAGGTGCAAGCGACGATCGAGTTGAATGGCGTCCAATGATGGATGAGCAAGGGTAGCAGTGTGATGAGCAGGCAAGATGACAGCGTTCGGTGTGATGCACTCGAAACAGTAACAGTCTTGAATACAGTCGCTGCGTCTTCATCCGATAACTAGGTACCAAGGTAGGTATACAGACCTACCGATCAAGGCAGCGTCAACCTGTATAACGTGCAATCGGTGCCTGCTTGAGTTGCAGTGTAAGTTCTCGGTCAGAGCTTTGCTGGCAACTCAACCCACATGACGCCGGTGCTGATGGTGGGGATCCTCGGCTGCAAACGTACCAGCTTGGCAGGTGGTGTCGTTACGCGGAGACAATACGGTGCTTTCTGCTTTGTGAGGTGGTAGTGTATGAAAGGGCGAACGAAGGCAGGCGCAACGGACATCCCAACAGTAACAGATATGCTCAGACCAATCCATCAGAGCTCCGAGCAAGCCCATTCATTCATTGGACCTTCCCGCCTCGTCAAAGATGGTAGGAGGAACCTCGGAGCAGCGACTACTACCTAGATAAGGTACTTTGGGTACCCAGGTAGTACGATGTACTTTCCTTCTCGTGGCGGCCCAGACCGACCTGATACTTGCCCCACCCCCCGGATCTGGGGTTCGTTTGGCGACCGTCACATGACTTCAATGCCGTCCCGGCTTTGACCTGTCACTAGGTACGTCGAGGTATCTACCTTGGTAGGTGCCACAACGTGCATCTCACAAGCCTCGCCAGCCTCAGCCAAGCCCAACACTGTTGTCGAGACTCGAGAGAAAGGCCACAGCAGAGCATCTTACTGCTCACTATGCTTGTCAGCTATGAGCAATCGATGCCCAATCTACAGTGTCTCCTTGGAGCTGTGGCGATGGATTCGAAGCTTACCTATCCGGGCCAGTTTTGGCATGTCCTGAAAGATCATGCCCACCCAGTAGCGGTTTGCCCCTGATTGAACAAGCCCAACTTCGAGCCACAGCCTGCTCTCTGCAGTGCTCCTTCTCCTCCTCCTCACTGCTTCTCCACTTCTAGGCTAATTGAAACCGACATGGGTACTCAAGTGTGATTCGATGATGCCGCCGGCGAGAATCATCACACGTGGCGAAGTCGGGACGTTTGCCTTCACACCCACCATCTCGACGAAGCGAGAGCAATTCCATGGTATGTACTGTGTTTTCATCTAGAAATCTTCCATTATGGCGTTGGGTATCCTTGAATACGTACCTCAGTCATGGTGTGTTGCATTCTCGACAGGTAAACAGCATATCTAAAGCCTCGAGCTAATGCGGTGGTAGCAAGCATGCAAATGCACTACTACTGTTGTGACGGCCAAGATCTGCATCTAGCCACAAGGGGCAGCCTGCATCCTAGAACCAGTTCCCGGATTTCCTGCCTATGGTGGTTCCATCTTTCTCCCCCAAGGCCCGATTTGTAGAACGGCCCATTCACACAACACACAGTGCACATCGCCACAGGTTCATGGGCAACAACGACAAGTCCCTCTACCGATGCCCGTCTCTCAAGCCAAGTCTTCGCCGGGGCCCGGCCCCCGATTCTAGGCTCCGGAGGACATGCCGAGATTCTCTATTTCGTCCCAAATCCAAGTGGATTGAAAGACCCTGCTCCGGGGCACCATCTAGTGCTCTCCGCTTCTACCTTTCAAATACCACTCTCCCAAGACCTGGCCAATGAGTTTCAGCTCGTTCCGCTGTTTGGTGATGTAACAATGCGCTCGACTTAGCCAGGTCGCCCACGTCACTATGACCGACAAAAACCGGCCAGCTGATAGACGCCTCGTTTCGTCAGCAACAGATACCACCAATCGACGGCTTTGCTTTCTCGTCAGTCATGGCAGCCAGCTCGGCAGGGGTCTTGTCCTAATACATCACTCATCCTGCAGAAAAGAAAAGATCTTCATTCGACGTTTGTTCGCGGCCTGCCCCAACGAAAAAGATCCGCCTCATGGAATTCCCACGGAGTCAGCGGTTTCGAGATGTCGAAGAAAAGAATACATGGGCCCAATACACCATTTCCTGGTCCATAAGTGAAGATAGCACGCCCGTCCTCTCAAGACCATCATCATCTTGCTATTGGCAGGTATTAACCTCCGCAATCTCATCCTTAACACCCACCTTAAGGCCCACGTATCCATTCTCGACTGATCAATGGGGGCCTGCTTGGAGTGAACTGGGTAGCCCTGCGTCTTGAGGCGTACGATTCTCACGTATCACGAGCGAAGACAGCCGGCCTGTGTGAAGGGTCTGTTCGGTCCAACAGACACGATCCCGGTGATTTCGAAGTTGCTAGGGATCGTGACCGGCTTAGGCCCTTGTTCGACTAGCCCTCCGGCAGAGAGTCTCCTCACCTCTCGTAGCACTTTGGCCCAGCATCTTGGACGGGGACCAAGAATGCAATCGGGCAACTCATGAATTCACCACAGGGGGGGGTTGCAGAAATGCCGTGTGCCGTAAGCCATCTTCTTGTCTGATCTGTCATGGACATTACGAGGTGCGATACTGCTGCTCGCTGCCGTAGCATTGGGACCGCGCCATCAATGGAACCTAGGTAGGTACTCTGTCCGACTCATCTAGGGGACTTGGTGACTTCACATTTAGCTTCTGGGGACAGCCCAAGCCGCGTGGCGCCTCAAAGTCAACTCAAGACAATGCGAAATATCGTCACACTCTTGTTAAATTTAGAAAAGCCATGCTTTTGAGGGTGTTATGCTATGGTGCGCCTAAACTTACTGCCCCTGACTACTGTTCCATTCCTGCTGTTGTTCTGTATGTGATATTGATCATCATTACCCGGGAGGCGTATGTGCAACTTCATCGCTCGCTCGACTCCGCCGCCTGAGGGATGGTATCCGCACTTAACCTGTAACCGGCTCTTCGGGCTCCATGGCAACGGACGAGGCCGACGCGAGGGCTTGGCCGGCCTCTACGAGCAGCTCAGGCTCGGCCTTGGCCTCGTCCTCCTTCTGTGTGACAGCTGCCTGTGCCGGTGTTGACTTCGGCTTGGGGTGTAATGCCTTCATCTCCAGACCCTCACTGTCACTATCGCGTCTCTCATGGTCCTCGAAGGAGAAGAGATCCGATAAGTTGATTGCGAGGAACGTCTTGGGGAGCTTGACTCTGCGACGGTCGTTAGCAGCACGTTCAAGCGCCGACAGGGCAAAAGCCTTCGGCGGCGACTCACTGGTTGAATTTGGCCCTCAGAGTGCGAATCACTTGCATCCAATCGCCGTGAGGGGTCAGGCTGCGGCGTGGAGCGCAGCTGATGCAGTGCTTGCTATCCAGTTGTACATCAAGAGGGTCGAAGACGTGGCATCCAGGACTGATGGTGATTCTGATGCTATAGGCAAAGGTCTGCTCTTCTCCGCCATCGGGTGTGTCGGCAGGGGCCTTGGTCTCGGATTCGTACAACTCGAAGCAAATCTGAGAAAGGTAGTCGAGCTCAGGAATGGTGCTTCGCTTAATCTTAGTCTCGATGCCTCCTTCAAAGATGCAGTTAAGCAGTGTGTAAATATGGGACTCCTTGGTGAAGTAGAAGAAAGATTTGGCGTCGTTCGACGCTTGCATCTCTTCGAGATCCTGAACGATCTCCTTGAGCAGGGGCAGTGACGTCAGGAGACCTATCTCGAGTTTTTCGCCATCGGAGATGCCGTACTCTTGGGGGCAAATGAAGTCAAAGAGCACCTTAGCGAGTTGGTATAATTCCCGGAGAGGTTCGAACCGAGCGTCAGTCTTTGCCTTGGTCTGAGTGTTCCCCTTGTAAAGGTGAAAGTACTGTTCCGGCGGGGCTGCTTCGGCGTGTCGCAAGCCGTTAAGGAAGGATCGCCGTCGGAAGATGCGTCTGACAGAGGTCGAGCTTTTATTGGCTTCGCTCTTATCTGCCTTGTCGCTGGATCCCGAACCGTCCCGCCGCTCCTCGCGGGAGTCTAGCGACGATTTGCCCTCATCCGAGGCCTTGTCAGTAGCTTTGCCATCCTTGCTACCCTCTTTGGTACCCTCTCTGCTTTCCTTCTCCTTGATGCCGTACTCTTCCTCCAACATGGCCTTGGGTGGCGTGAAGACCCATTCCAAGAACTGCCGATTGTGCAGGGCATCGAACTTCATTGTGTCGTAGAGTTCTGAAATCTTGCTAGGATCGACCTTGTCCCCGTCGCAGAACTCGGCGAAAAGTTTCTCCCAGCGCTCCCGAAAGAGTTCTGCATCCTCGCCACAGCACCATCTAGGTTGGATATTGCTCACCGCGTTTGCTTGGGACAGTGACGATGATGTCGAGCCTGTCGAGACCGAGCTGTCCCCGTTGGCAGGCTTCTCTGTACCGGGGTTTGCAATGGCATTGTTCAATGACGCAACGGCACTGCCGTTATGCAGCTTCGTGTAGTTATAGTGCATTACGCGGCGATGGAAGTTCATCAACTGGACAACGCGAGTCTGGACCTCTGACGGTTCCGGCATTTTCTCTGGCCAGGCAAATTGAGGAGGTCGCTCATTGCCCTTACGCAGGAGACCCTTCAGCTTCTTCTTGACCTTATCCATCTCGTCCTTAGCGGCATTCGAGTCGTCAAGCAAATCTTTGCGGATCGTTATGAAGTCTTCGGGAAGATCTTTGCGGTCGAGGAAGGCAGAAGCCCAGATCTGCGCACTGGTGGTAACTCGACGCTCGGAGCTGCTGAAAACGTGAACCTCATCCAGCACGTCACGATTCAGCAAGTTGAAGTCGTTTCTCATGTTCTCGCCAAGCTCCTGGGCCTGGTACCGTGCTGAGTGAGTGGGCTCACCGCCCCACTTCACAATGAGCTGAAGCTTGTCCAGGACCAGACTCTCCTCCGCTGCCGTGATGCGGGACATGGTGACACCAGAGAGAGAATCATGCCTCTTCGGCGGCATCCTCACTGGCGAAGAGTTTTCTGTCTTAGTAACGGCGTCTTCGGGCTTTTCCGCGAAATCTGTCTCGACGCCCTCTTTCAAGACCTGTGAGAGCTCGTCACCTGATGAAACGGCAATTTCTTCTGTCTTCTTCTTTCGGAACATGGGCTTGATCTGCACCTTGGTGCCGGCCCACCCGCCCTTCTTGACCAGGACGTTGCGGAGAGACTTGAGCTTGTTACGATCCTCCACGCCCGCCCTCAATGCAACATCAACGGCCTGCAACACGCTAGCCAAGGCTGCCTCGCCAATGAGCAGCACCTCCTCCTGGTGGCCTTTAAGGAGTTCAATAAAAGGGGCTGTGTGGAAGGTGAACTTGTACTTCTGCTTCGGAGTACGGTCCGCGTGTCGAATGACAGACACAATACCCTTGAGTTTCCAAGAGTGCTTTGGCGGTGGCGGTGGCACGGGAGTCTCTTCAGGCGGCGGTCCCGTTCCCTCTCCTTTCAACGAAGGCGCGGCAGACGGTGTGGCTGATCCTGATGTGGACGGAACACTTGCTACGACAGGGTCGACCAGAGGAGGTGGGGGTGGGAGTGTCGGACTTGTGCACGAGCTTGTGACGGACGAGTTGAGTGCGCTATCTGACTTTTGGGTGGCTACACTCGTAGGCGCGTGCTTCGGTTCCTGTGGCAGTTTCTCGGAGATGGCTGAGATACTCGTTACGGATTTGTTCTTGGCCGGTGGCACAGGAATTGGCTGAGACTCCTTGTCCTTGCCTCGCGAGGCCAGCGGGTCGGCAATGTCCGAAGGTGATGGGGATGGCGCGGGGGAGGTCACGCCGCCTCTCCGAAGTCTCTCCTTAACAAAGACGTCCTTGAGAATGTTGGCGCAATGGTCGTAGTAATCGTCATTGTCCTTGACAAAACTCCAACCGTTGACGTCAATCACATAGCTTTTACCGCCAGCCCTCAAGAAGTCGAAGCCACAAACTCTCTGGCCGAAGGAGGTCGAGATCTTGCTGGCAATTTCCTTTTCTTCGGGATCCAGGGCCGTCACATACCGTAGCTCCTTGCCATGCGTGTTACGCCTGACAACACCATCGACGACGGGCGATTTGCGAGTCTCGGCATGGCAGTAGTTGGGCCCAACAGTGTAGGCCTTGACGTCCTCAGCGTTGTCGACTCGCATAAACTTTTCGTAGATGTAGCTGTTCTCCGGTTCCAGAATTGCGCGGGGAATGTTCAGGTCCGGGTCGTATTCCGAGCTCTTGTTGCCGATTTTCCGAAAGAGCCTGCGGGCGCCGCCGCCGGTGGACTTGGGGAAGTAGATGATGATATTGTGGTCCTCGCCGCTGACGGGCTTCTCTACGAATGGCTTCTTGAGTAGAGTGCCGTCTACGCTGAGAATGTCGCCGTCGTCAAGCAATTCGACCTTGCGAGGTAACCTGTTGTATCCCAACTCTTCGGGGTCCAGAGTGATACCAGTAACCTCCTTGATATGCTTAGCTGTATCGGGGGTTAGGATCTTGGGGCCGCCGTCGCGGTTCACCTCGATTCGACCTGGAGTAGGAACACCAATGCGATCGAGAATGTTCAAGCAAAGACGGCGATCCCAGAGAATTTTTTGCATCGGCACATCGTTCACACAGAATGGTTTCCGTGCCTTGACGTACGCAATGGCCTTGTCCAAAGGGAAGCCATCCGAATAGAATGAGATTAGGTAGTCGCTGATAAGAGTGTTAGCAGGAGTTTTTTCAAAGTACACAACATACACAATATTGCGACGTGATGGCTGGAAAAGTTCAGGGGCAGCATCGTCGGTGTGCATCAACAGCTTGACAATGTTGGTGGTGGAGGGGAATTCCTGTGATGGCACACTTGGCTGACGAGATCGAAGCTATGCTGTTTTGGCTCACCGAGCCACCTGGGCGAAACAGAAGAAACAATCCAAACTTACCACATAGGCCAGTTCTCAACCTCTGCGAAAGGAAGGGAAAAATTGGTTAGCCATCTATGCTCAATAAAACGCATGCTCTCGATTTACACGTCCTCCCTTATGACCATGTTTCTTTCGTATTTGTAATTCTCCAGTTTTTTGAGAAAAGTTTTGAGGGGAATGCAGCGCTCACCTTCGTCCAGGATGACCTTGTCGCCAAACACGACGACGTCGAACTCGCGGTTCACAATGAGGCGATTCAGTATGTTTCTGCTAGGCTTGCTACGAGCCTTGACGTCCAAAGCGCAGACCCCAATGACACCCCACGGCGCCGGCTTGACTGCAGGTGCATTAGAGCTTGTTGGCACACGTTGTCGCGGCGCGCTTGTATCTCTTGACTGACCCTCTTCTTTCTCCTTGTTGCTGGTGTTACTGTGGAAGAGCCCTCGATCGCTGCTGGGGCTATGGCTGCTAGCGCCAGTGCTCGCGCTGAGCCTGCGCTTATTTCGGCTACGAGAGCGAGTGGGCTGAGGCCGCTCGGGGCGAGGACGCTTGACGACATCGTGGTGAGCATGGGTGTTGGTATCGCGCGGCGTCAAGTGATGGCCGCCCGGGGCGGAATTGCCATGCTGCCCGTTGGAGGAGGTGGTGACGGTAACATTGGAGACCTCGGCGCCGGGCTGAGAGGCGTTCGTGACAGGTTTTCCCGACGACATGATGCCGGAAACGGAGCGCGAAGGGCCGCTGTCGGAGCCGTTGGTCGAAGCTGCAGAGGACTGGGTGGCGGGAGCAGAAGAGGGAAGGACACCGCGGGCCGAGGCCAGCGAGTAGACGGAGAAGATGCTGGAGACGGAAGTGCGCTTTTGTTCCGACTCGGAAGAAAACGAGGTGCGAGTTGTCAGGGCGGTGGAATCTGGGTGGTGCTGGCTGGACCCAGACATGAGGCGTGGGGTATCGAGGTCGTCGGCGTCGGCAAACTGGAGAGCGGAGTCGCTCCAAGCGTCGAGTGAGTTGTTGGATTCGCGGCGACGACGGCAGAGAGAGGTTCGAGGACTTTTCAAGGGAAGCGAAGAGGGCGAGGGCTTGGAGAGGTTGGCAGTAGCAGAGTGGGCGTCGGTCGTTCCAGGCTCAGCATGTCGGCTCTTCCTGCTGGCGGTGGAAGGGATGTTGAGAGAGTGAGAGACAGAGCGGCCCGGCCTGGATCGCGGAGGTATCTCGGTAGGCGCAGAGGTGTTGTTCACGGCAGAGTGAGAGGACGACAATGAGGAATAAGGGTTGGGATTGAGAGGAGAGGCAGGTGCAGGTGCGGGTGCGGGTGCGGGTGCAGGTGCGGATGCGGATGTGGGTGCAACAGCAGTAGGAGAAGCAGGCGCGGTGAAGGAAGTCGAGCGAGCACTATCTACAGATGACTGGGGGTTAAAATTCAGTCGGTCCATGGTACCGGATGCGACAAGACAAGAGCGATCAGACAAGATTAGGGAAGGGGGAGGGGAGCGAATGCTGACTCAAGGAATTGCTGAACCGTAAACCGTGGACACTAGAACCTTGCTGCTTTCTGCCTTCTCTCTCTCTCTCTCTCTTTTTTTTTTTTTTTTTTTTTTGTGCTCGTGCTCTTTGTGACGATGTTTTGTTCCTTAACCGGCACTGAAGCGGCGGGGGCGGCGACCCTAAGAAACGGGTGCGGAATAGGATGGAGTAAGTAGCAGACTCTTCTCTTTTTTTCCCCTCCTTCTTCTTTCCAATGCGTGCGTGTGTTGTCTAAGCGCCAGAAGCAACAAGAACTACGGCAACAGGTTTTTGGAATTCAAGGAACAGATAACAACGTTATTGCAGCATCTAGACGAAAGGTAGGTAGGTAGTTGGATACATGGGTAGTAAGTAGTCTTGGAGATGACGAGGGACTGAGGTGAAGAAAGCGACGCCAGATGTCCAATTGCCCTCCTCATTGGACAGCGAAAGGGAGGGAGAAAGAGTGGAAGGTTTGGGGTCACGCGACAGGGATCTCTTGCCTTCTTGTCTCCCAGGGTTCGCTTTTGGATACGATACGTATCTCACCTTACACCAATCATGCTTTCGGACAGCCACGACAACAATTGCAATACAAAAATGCGATGCAGCAGCTGCAGCTCAGTTATCAACTTGATGCCTGTGCCAAGACATGGCAGAAGCGGCAAACACACAGACAGGTTAGAACAGTTTTGGTAGTAGAAAGTTTTGTTCTGCACACAGAAATATACCCTCATGAACATTTGTTGTAGAAACCCAGTGAGACCAAGACATAGGTATACAATTTACACATATAGGTACAAGTCTAGGTACTTGAGTATATGCGCATATACCTAAGCCTGTCTACCTATGTACAAGTACCTGTATACATACATGCGTACAAGTCCACACACGCACTGGAAAGGGGAGGAGGCATGGTGGAAAGGGAAGGAAACAAATAGAGAATACTTTTTTTAAAAAAAAAGGTTAAAAAAAAAAAAAGTCCGGTCTTTGGTGGGGCTGAAATGCGATGACGTAGCTTATGACCCTGCACTTGTCAGAAGTGCAGTGACTTGTCGTAATGCAAATTAACTAATACTGTAGCCAGCGTTCAACAGCAGACGCCGCAAACTGCCCAAGTCAGATTTGACCTTTGACGCTACGCCTAAAGGCAAACGAGACCACCAAAACGCAGCTCCTGACACGTCAACGCCATCACTATGAACACAGGCCGCTTCGTTCGTTATCAGCCTACTTGTCCCTGCTTTTTGTCTCTCCTCCCTCGGCACAGCAAACCACATGTGCACCAAGAAGAAAACAAAAAGAAAATGAAAGGAAAAAAAGGACAATGTGTTGCACATACTAACTGTACCTATGCTGCCAGGTACATTAGATACACTCAATCATCTATAGGTAGATGGTCCACTACAGATAAGTACACTACAACTACGCATTGAAACGGTAGTCCTAGTCACTTCACTGATTTCTTACAGGGCATGTCGAAGAGGGTCAAATGTACACGGTACCTTTTTCTTGCATCTATTTCAACGCTTCAACTTGATTCGAGCTAGCTGGGCTTACAGCTAGAGTATATACTACTATTAGGACGACAAGCACGTGATAAAAGCCCTTCATATAATCGCCTTCAAGCGGACAACCCACCTTGCAACGGCGTGGTCCGCTATTCAAATTTCGTCTCGGTACGCCCTACATCACCTCACGAAACATGTGTCACGGTGGCTTTTCCGTCTTGTGTCTCCTCGTCTGTCGTCGCTGGCGCCCCGGCAAGATCTTCCCTCTTGGGATACGCAACCTTGTGCACGGTATACCACGGCCGGTTGAAGAGGCTCTCCATCGACTCCAGAGACCTGCCTGAAGTTTCCGGCATCGCCAAATAGACATAGACGAGGGAGACAGGGCAGATGGGAGCGAAGAAGACGAAGGCGCCATACCGCTCCGTCGCCGCCAAGAGGGAGGGCATGGCACGCGAGCAGCCAAAGTAGAAGGCCCAATGGAACGCCATGAGCACCGATACGCAGAGCGACCTGATCCGGATGGGGAAACCCTCCGCGCTGACAAGGTACGGGATCGAGAACCACCCGATCGACCACGCGATTGCGTGGATATAGATGACCACGATGGATGCCTCGCTTGCCCGCCGTGACGCCGGGCTGGCCGAGATCTCCTCGGCGCTGCGGCCGTTGGTGACCTTGAGGTAGATGCCCACGAACAAGAGAGTGATGATCTGCATCGTGATACCGGTTATGAGCGACCGTCGTCGGCCGATGAAGTCAATAACGAAGACGAAGAAGACCAGCATCGAGACGAACTTGACGATAGCGTACACTCCGGTCGCCAGAAGACGGCCTTCTTCTCCCTGTATGCCGAGGTACCCAAAGATGGAAGGGCTATACTGCGTGATGGCGTTCGCCCCGGACCATTGCGAGAAGAGGTGGGTGAGAAACCTGAGGATGAAGCGCCGCCTGTTGGGCATGTTCGTCCACGTCTCCTTGGCAAGGTCCAGGACTGACGCGCCCGCCACGGTCTCCATCTCGTGCAGAAGCTAGACCTCCATGACCGGGAACTCTTCCCGCACGTAGGGGTGATCCGCGGGGAGTTTTCTGAAGTCGCAGAGAACCCTCATGGCCTCGGCGGGCTTGCCCCTCGACAGGAGGAAGCGGGCCGACTCGGGGGTCAAGAACGTTCTCAGGCCCCACAGGACCGCTGGAACGATTTGCAAGGCCGTCGGCAGTTGCCATCGCGTCTGGGTTCCGGCAAAGTGCTTCGTGATCCCGTAGTTGAAGAAGAATCCAAAAACGACGCCGAGCTGTTGGCAGCAAGTGTATTGGAGCGTCAAGAGACCGCGGATCAAGCGGGGAGCAATCTGGTGGTTAAACTGTTAGCGAACTGTTGCAGACCCGGCATTGCAGTGGCCATGTATGACGTACTTCTGAGATGTAAACTGGCGGCAGCACCGTTGTGGCACCAATGCCCATACCAGTGACGACGCGCGATACATACAATCCCGCCAAGCTGCCAGACGAGAACGTTTGGCCAAGGATACCGGTAATGTAGACCAGGGTGAATATCTGCAGGGTCAGCTTGCGGCCAAGCTTCTCAGTGAGCTTGACACAAGCGAGACACCCGAACACTACGCCGGCCGTAGCGATTGCCACGATCCACCCCTTTGTGTTGGAGTATTCGCTATCGGACTGCTGGTCGACCCCAAACCATTTCTTGAACACTGCCATCGTTACGAGTGAGGCTATGTTACCTGGTACGATCCATAGTCAGCCAACGCCCCATCGGTTCGCCCTACGTTCCTACCTTCATCAAACCCCTTGACAACTCCTAAGAAACTCCATATCAAAGTACACCCGAACAGGTACCAGTTGAAAATCTCCCTCGGGCTGTTTCTGACGGCGGCGATTGTGGCACTGATCAAAAACATGGCGCAAAATTGGGGACTACTGCTTGGAAAAGGTGACAGTATGAGCACGTCTGAATTTCCGCCGTGTGAAAGGGAAACTCAAGCTTTTGCTAAGATAAAGGGGGAAAGACTTGGCTAAAGCGGTGGCACTCAGGAGTCAAGCAGTTGACCATTTCAAACAATCCCCAGATTCCTACTCCGCAATGCGGGGGGGGGGGGGGGGGGGGGGGGGGCTCTGGGGTACAATCCAAATCTGATATTGTGTTCGCCTAAACACATTGTATTAGTTTTTTGACCAGGGAGGGTGGTGAACAAAGTCAGCCGCCTCCGTCGGACTGGCTCCGTGGTCTCCCACCGGACCACGTCCGTAGTATCGTGCAAGACGACACCCCTGCCACTCTGTCCCAGCTCTGTGGCCGTAATCGGCTCATAGACACAATATCCATTCTGCATGTACTTTCTCACGTGCCCATCATGTATGTAGTCTACCTCATTATAGGCCACAACGGGTGTCAGGATGGCTGTGTCATAATTGCTCGTGCTACGCTAAGCACAATGGTATGGTCAAAGTTACTGAGAGCCAACTCTTTTTTATTTATTTAAAATGTCTTGCACTGTCTCTACGTATAATAATATACCAGCCGACCTCTATATATCTACCATACCTAAGATACCTAGGCACCAGCGATTACATAGCTGGTCAGTTTCGAGTACAGGTAAAGCGACGTAGGCGAATTCGTATTTCAAAATAGCACTATCCGTAACATCTTCCTCGACTACTCTCTGAACCCGTGAAAACCTTAAGAACGCATTGCTTAATTACTCTAACCCTAGTCCTACATCTAACCCTAACTCCAATGCTTCTAATACTTACCTCTCACCCTATGTGTCTTTTTTTCTTTTCTACATCCTAAATGCCTTTTTCTTTTCTTTTTTCAGAGAGACATCTGGTGATGTGAGTTGTTAGTGCACTTTCATGGGCAAAGCTATAACTTCTTTCTTATAGAGTGCCTCTTACTAGAAGCGGTTAGATGCCGGAGCTGTGTCCCACCCTTAATCGCTTGAAGGACCCCACCGGCTCAACCCCGGTGAAAAATAACGTCCGCGATAAGATAAGAACCCTCGTTCGAAAAGGTCCAGAGTCCCTCGAAAAAAATCTCGGGGCGCGACCTTGACATCAACGGGAATCAAGGCCCCAAAGGAACCAGCGTCCGATTCGTAAAGTTCCACATGCCTTCCACAATGCCTCACTCAGAGAACGAGGGGCCTCTGGTCAAGCGCCAGAAACTCAATGTCGTTTCCAAGCCTGCGGCGGCCATGCGCCAGTCTTCCCGCATCTTCGCACCCTTTCGAGTTTGGCTCCCCTCCTTCCGTGAATTTATTGCCTTCTAACGCTAATGTTTCAACACAGACTGTCGGTCTTGTATCCCCCACAAATGTTCCATTCACCTCGATCCCTCTCGGAAAGACGACGTTCCAGATCACAACATCCGTTGGAAGAGCTCTGCAGACCTATGACCTGAAGAGAGGTCTCAACCTGGTCTTCGTCACTCGTCCCCAGACCCCCGCCGACATAACGGCCACGCTCGCTTGGAAGGAAAAGGTTTTCGCAGCATGGGGTGATGTCAGGAAGGGCGAGAAGCAGGGCCTCTGGGCCTTCAAGCGCGGGAAGAAAGTTGAGGAACTCGAAATCCCCGAGGATCTCAATGAACCTATTCAACAGATCCTGATCTTCGGTTCATGGATTGTTGGATGCGCGGTGACGAGACTCGAGGTATGGAAGTCGGCAACCTTGGAGCATTACACTACGCTCTACACTATGGCTGGCAAGAAGGGCGCCAATGAAATCACCGGCGGTATCACCAACATGCCCACCTACCTCAACAAGATCTTTGTCGGTCGCAAGGACGGCTGGGTCGAAATTTGGAACGTGAGCACCGGCAAGCTCATCTACACCATTCTTCCGCCCACCCCTGACTGCGGCGCTGTTACCTGCATTCAGCCCACTACCGCTCTTTCGCTCCTGGCTATCGCCTATGCCAATGGCAACCTGGTGATCCAGAACATCCTAACAGACAAGACCATCATTCAGCTCAACGCCGGTCACGAGGACGAGCCCGTTACCTCCATTTCCTTCAGATCCGATGGTATGGGAGCAGGCGATGATGGCAGAAAAGATGGCGTGATGGCGACTGCCACGGCTGCAACAGGAGATGTTACGTTCTGGGACCTGAACAACGGAGGCAGGGTAATGGGTGTTCTGCGCAGTGCGCATAACCCTCCGTCTGGAAATGGCCCTCTTGTGCGGGGAGGCGTTAGCAAAGTGGAGTTTCTGTCGGGTCAACCCGTCGTTGTCACAAGCGGGCGCGATAACTCTTTGAAGACTTGGATCTTTGACGAGACTCCTTTCTCGGCAATCCCGCGCATTCTGCACCAACGCAGCGGACACGCTGCCCCTGTCAAATGCCTGCAGTTCCTGCCCTCCGATTTCGAAGGTGCTGATGCAGGCAACAAGTGGCTACTCAGTGGTGGCCAGGATCGAAGTCTCTGGGGCTGGAGTATGCGCCGCGACGGCCAGAGTACCGAACTCAGCCAAGGAAACATCCGCAAGATGGCCAAGAAGACTGGAATTCTGTCTAACAAGGCTCTCGCACGCGGCCCCACAACAACTCTGGAAGATCTGAAGGCCCCCGAGATCACATGCATTGCCAGCTCTCTCAACCGCGACGGCGGTATGGGCGCCATGCCCGGCAACCAGCCTATCTGGCAGAAGCATAGGGACCCGAAGAAGAAGCTGGACGCCGAAGTCAGCGGGGCGACGGGCTGGGAGAGCGTTGTGACAGCACACAAGAATGATGCATATGCCCGTACATGGTTCTGGGGTCGCAAGAAGGCCGGTCGGTGGGCATTCCCCACGGGCGATGGTTCCCATGTTTCTACGATCGCGATTAGCCCCTGCGGCACGTTCGCCCTGGTTGGCTCCGTGGAGGGTGGTCTCGACATGTACAACCTGCAGTCTGGCCTCCACCGTCAGCGCTTCCCCTCCAAGCTTACTCCCGCACAGGCCAGGGCGATGAAAATGCAGCAGCTGAAGCAAGCCGACAACGTCGTGCAGCTCCACACCGAGAAGGACAGCAACTTCGCGCCCGGCACCGGCAGACACACGAAGGCGATCACAGGCATTGTGGTAGACTCCATGAACAAGAACGTCATCACGTGCTCTCTCGACGGCAAAATCAAGTTCTGGGACTTCCTCACAGGCAACCTCGTTCACCAGATCGACTGGGCACCGATGACCGCCATCACGGGTTGCAGATATCACGCAGCCAACGACCTGATGGCCTTTTCCTGCGACGATAACTCCATTCGTGTCGTCGACCTGGAAACCAAGAGGACGATCAGAGAATTCTGGGGCTGTCAGGGCGCCATCAATGACTTCTGCTTCTCCAATGACGGCCGCTGGGTTATCGCTGCCTCGCAGGACTGCGTCATCAGAGTCTGGGACCTACCCACAAGCCATCTCATCGACGCCATCCGTCTCGAGAAGCCTTGCACGGCGCTGGCAATGTCGTCCACCGGCGAATACCTCGCCGCGACAATCGAGAACGAGCTCGGCGTCGCCATCTGGACTAACAAGACCCTCTTTACGCACGTCCCTACGCGGCAAGTTTCTGACAAAGAAGCCGCGCTGCTCACGGGTCCTACGACATCCGGCGAGGGCGGCGAGGGTATGTTGGAGGCGGCCTTTAACGGGGACGAGGCGGACGCCGAGGACGAGACGATCGTTGCGCCGACCGTGGACCAGCTCAGCGCCGACCTGACGACGCTCTCTCTGGTTCCCAAGAGCCGTTGGCAGACGCTCCTTCACCTGGACCTTATCAAGCAGCGCAACAAGCCCATCGAAGCGCCCAAAGCCCCGGAGAAGGCGCCTTTCTTCCTCCCCTCTGTCGGCTCCGGCAAGCTGCCGCAGCAGGCAAACCTGCTCGAGGGCATTGCAGCCTCTGAGGCCGATGCCGCCACGGAGTCCAAGTCCCGCATCACCAAGCTCGAACGCGGCCGCATGCAGGAAGTGTTCACCAGCAAGCTCAACGACGGCGCCGCTTCAGGCGACTGTAAGTTATACATTATCCCCATCGCATTAGTAACACATGCTGACGTTCCAATAGTCGACGACTTCATCTCTCACCTCAAGTCTCTCTCCCCCTCGACCGCGGACCTTGAGCTTCGCTCCCTCTCGCCCGAGGACAACGGCCTCCTCTACTTTGTTCGTGCGCTCACGAGCCGCCTCATGGCCCGCCGCGACTACGAGCTCGTCCAGGCCTGGATGACGGTGTTTCTCCGCCTGCACTTTGACCTTGTCATGGCCGACGCGCAACTGCTCGAGGCGCTTCGCGAGTGGAAGGCCCTGCAGGAGCGCGAGGCAGGACGGCTCGACGACCTGGTGGGCTACTGCAGCGGTGTCGTCGGCTTCCTGCGTAGTCCCAGGGCGTAAAGTATGAGGGGTTGTTATTATCGTTGCAGATAGTGAAAAGATGGAGGGATGGCGTCAAAAGGCAAACACCATTTAAGAGAAGGGAGACACGAGTTGTGTAGCAGGCATTGATCTGGCTTTAATATAATCTCAATACCCGCATCAAAGGTTTTTAGGGCAACAATACCCAACTTCTCGTATGGTGGAAAGAGCTCTCACCGGTATCCGCTGCTTCTTCCGGGCCCTAATGTTGATTAGTGTCCCCTAGTAACTTATGTTTGTTGGACAACCGAAGCCCAGCTCGAAAGGCTTCAGGAATTCCGATTTCTGCCTTGGCGGCCCCGGGGGCTGGCCGACTGATTCACTAGTTCGGCCAGAGCGCTGGTTCCTCAGGACGGAGGGGGGTAGGGGGAATAGGGTTGCGTGCTCAGGCGATCCCGGCTCGCCTCGGTCAAGAGGGCACCGAAAGGCGGCAGTGGGAGATGCGACTTTCTGGTTATGCAGAGAAGGTCGTGTTTCCCTTGTCGCGTCACCGGGCCGGGCGCCCCCCACCCCGGGCATTTCACCTCAATCAGTCCCTCAACTCGAGCGAACAATTGGGTCATGATGTTCGCCCGCGCAGCCCTGGTGCCTCGCTCTCTCACGCTATGATGCTTATACTGTATTTTTCCGACTGTGTTTAGAGTATCATTGTGTCCCTGCGCGAGCTTAGGTGGGATCACCTTGGATACGTACCTCAGTATACATCGCCGCCCCTGCCTGCCAAAGGTGGCCATCACAAGCCTCTAAAGCCCTGTCCAACTTTATCCCCGCCTACCTTAAGCGAAGGCCAAGCTTTTCCCGCATGCCTCCCCTGCGCCCCTCCTCGACTCCATCATCCATGTAGCCCAGGTCCTTCTCCGCATGCTCGGATAGATCGCTAATTTTCTTCGTGCGGGGAAACTTCTCTCCCTCCCGGATGAATGAGTGCCCACGAGGATACAGATGGTGTCCGGAGATTACATACCCGAGGGTCACCGTTCCCTTCCCAAGTCCGTCCGCACCAAAGACGAAGAAACATGGGTGCTTCGGGAGAAAATGGCGCGCGCTCATATGATATGCACCTTCATGGCCTCCTGTCGCACCCTTCCTTTCTTTCTCAGGCGCGCGAGAGTAGAGCTCCGACGAGTTCAAGTCGAGCTACACCCTCGTTGTTTTGAGCACGCGACAAGTCCAAAAGCCACACCCTAACGATATGCGTGTCTCCTCTCTCCGCGGCGCGGCTCTCGCCCTTGCCGCCCCGGCCGCCGCGGTCCTCAACGCGACAGAGACCTCCGACCGCCTCATCGTCGCCAACGACCGCCTCTACGCCGCCGTCGCCAAGCCCGGCGGTTCCATCGTCGAGCTCACCCTCGACGGTGTCAACCTCCTTGGCACCACGTCCGGCAGCACCGGCAAGGGCCCCTACCTTGACTGCTACTGCACGCCCGAGGGCTTCTGGACCCCGGGGAGCGTCAAGCCCACCTTCGAGCTCTTCTCGGGTGAGGACTCGGCCGGCATCCCCTACGGAGGCGTCAAGATGTCCGACACCTACGCTTCCACCGGGCAGGTCCTCGAACAGTACTGGTTCCTCCGCGAGGGCGAGATGGGCCTGCACATGTTCAGCCGGGTCGCCTACCACAACGAGGAGAAGCCCTTCCTCCGCAACCTGCAAGAGCTGCGCACGCTCTTCCGCCCCAACGACCCCATGTGGACGCACCTCCTGACGAACCCGGCGCAGTACGCGCCCCTTCCCTCCGAGGACGCCGTCGCGGCGCAGGTCGTCGTCCAGGATGCCACTTGGTACCTGGGCAACACCCCCGAGGACCCTTACGTCCAGCAGGAGGCCGACTGGTTCACAAAGTACACCTTCCAGGACACGTGGCGCGACATTGATGCCTACGGCATGTACGCCGACGGCTCCAAGACGGCTGACGGCTCCGCCTACGGTGCCTGGATGGTCTTCAATACCCGCGACACCTACTTCGGCGGCCCGCTGCACTCGGACTTGACTGTCGACGGCATCGTCTACAACTACATCTCGTCCAACCACCACGGCAACCAGACCCCCAACATCACAAACGGTTTCGACCGCACCTTTGGTCCGCAGTACTACCATTTCAACAAGGGGCCCGCAGGCACTTCCATCCACGACCTCCATGCCGACGCCACTAGGCTCGCCGACCCGGAGTGGAACGCCGACTTTTACGACGACATCGCCCACCTCGTCCCCGGCTACGTGCCCTCGACCAAGCGCACTACCTGGAAGCTGCACGTCGACCTGCCCCAGGGCGCCAGGAAGCCCATCGCCGTGCTGGCCCAGAACGGCGTCGACTTTCAGGACAACGTCTTCGACACAGAGGCATACCAATACTGGTCCGACATCGACGCCGGGGGCTACGCCACCATCCCGTGCGTCAAAGAAGGCACCTACCGGCTCACCATCTACGCCGACGGAATCTTTGGCCAATACGTCAAGGATGACGTCCAAGTCGTCGCCGGCAAGGTGCAGACGACCCACGCGCGCTGGCGCGAGGAGACGGCCGGCAACGAGGTCTTCCGCATCGGCACGCCGGACAAGTCGTCGGGAGAGTACCGCCACGGATACGCCCGCGATGAGACCAAGCTGCTAAGACCCGAAGAGTACCGCATTTACTGGGCGCGCTACGACTTCCCCGACGAGTTCCCCGAGGGCGTGCGCTTCCGCGTCGGCGAGAGCGACCCAGCTAGAGATCTCAACTACGTCCACTGGGCCGTCTTCGGCGGCAAGGGGAACTCGAAGCGCCCCGAAATATACCTCGGGGACGGCAACGTCAACAACTGGACGCTCGTCTTCGACCTCGAGGAGGCCCAGGTGCGCCAAAAGCGCTACGGCACCTTCACCGTCCAGCTCGCGGGCGCCAAGACGGCCGCCGGCAATACAGATATCTTCAACGCCAGCGAGCCGTACTCCAATCTCAGATACACCGTCAGCGTCAACGGAAAGGACCTCGAGCCCTGGGTGATCCCGTACCACCACAGCAGCTCGTGTGCCGTGCGGTCGGCGGTCATCTGCTACAGCATCGCCAATAAGTTCGTCTTCGACTCTAAGATGCTCAAGGCTGGCGAAAACGAGATCGTGCTGAGCTTGCCGTATGGCGCAAAGAACTACGAGAGCGCGGTACTGACGGAGGCCGTCTACGTGCAGTACGACGCTCTGCGGTTGGAGGTCAAGTAATAGACCTCGGAGCGGCCTCTCAATATAGGATAGAGGCTGATAGTTGTTAACGAGAAAGAAAATAATATGATGATCCGTCCGAATAAGCTTGACCTACCCGCCATGTTCACGAAACGGTTTGAAACTTTGGCTCGCAGCCGGGTTCCCGCCAACAATGTAAGATGAAAAGAAAGAAAGTGCGTGCACGCGCAGCACAAAGCGGCTGAGTAAGGATGAGGAACGCAACGTTCAGGTGAAACCGTTCGTTTCAAAACTGCCAAAAGTGGGAGTTGCCCGTGTCATGGCTTTGTTTGCGATAAGGCCCCGACGGCGACGGCCACCAAAAGCGCAGGAAGGGCCGTTCCAGGAGTTCAGGGGCTTGTTTGGGCCTGCGGTTTGGTCCCCTATAGGCGTCGCAAAGGCGTGGAATTCGGAGGTGGTTGTTGATAGGGTATGGTAGCCGGAAGAAGAAAAAGATAAAATTCGGGAACTCGGATTAGCAACCTTCAACAGCCGAGTGACAGTCGGAGGACTTGTCTTGGCCGGCCGGCCGGCCGCGCGTAACCCGGCCACACCATTCCAGGAAAATCAACACCAACCATAATGTCCGCGTAAATGCAGACGGTCAGTCGTAGGATCTGCGATGCATTGCCGTGCAAAGGCATGCCGTGTAATGCCGAGCCATCCTGAAGATGCATTGCACAAAGGTCAAACAGCGAGTGAAGCGCTTTACCGGGGCGCCATGGCGAATGCTCACCGGTTCTCATTGTGTGTGTGTGCCGGTGGCCCGGTGGAGCTCTCCGCGTATGGCTGACCTTTGAAGGTATGTCCCTGGACCAATGCGTTTTCGTTAGCTGCTGCTGCTGCATCGTCATTGTCGTCGTAGTGGTGGTGAAGGTAGGCAGCATAGTTGCATTCCCTCAGTTGTCTGTGAGACTGGTTCTGCTTGGCATCAAACCAGCGAATTGGTGCATATTTAGGCCACGGATGCCGGTCCATCGTATCCAATGGCGAGGAGTCCAAGGGGCCTACTCTCGTGAGCAAGTGGCAAACCAGAGATGATGGCCAAATCGAAGGGCAGGGTCATGCTTCCTTCGAGGCTGATTCGTGATCCTCATGGTCATACCGGTAGCGTAACTGCCGTGCTGCCCAGGTTGCTATATTGCTGAAGCTGCATCCCTGTCAGGTCGGAACTGGCAGTTCAGAAGGCAAAGAAAGGGTGGGAGCGATGACGAGAATACGGGAATCTGGCGTGGTACAAAAATGATCAGGACCAGTCGTATACCCAGGCAACCAACCAACTAACCAACCACGAAAACCGCGATGTGGTTCCCGGCAGCAGTGCACTTGGTACGCTAGAGAATGAGCACCACCCACCCCTGATCCTGGCATTCAGCGCGGGTGGCCAGTCGCCTCGCCGAGGCAGATTTTGGTGGTGCATAGGCACCTAGACTACGGTACTACCTATGGGGGTACGTATGCATATAGAGGCAATTTTGTTGGAGCCCTCGAAACAAAGCAAGCCCTAGCATTGTCTCGCGATGGCGTTCAGGAGAAGGAGAAAAGAAAACTCTTCCGGGGTCTCTCCGCTGCATTGAGCTCAACACTCTGCGCCGCGTCGGCGGGAAATAAGCTGTCAAGCGAGCGTCGAATGAGAGAGCGCGAAGGCGGAGACTCTCAGCTCTTGATCGACCGAGATGGTGAATCGGGTTCCGTTTCCAGACTGTTGACTATTGTTTGCCAACGTTTGAGTAGATGGCACAGTCATGCACCATGCGATGACAGCATTACTCGCTTGGCAACAGTCCACCTGAGTCGTAGAGTGGTCTGCGTCTGCTTCCCGATTGAGTCCGTCGGCGACAATCTTGGTCGTCCACAAGGTTGCTGATCCTTCCGGTCGAGGTAGGGCAAGCAAAGCTAGCTAGCTAGCCAGCTATACGAAGCTTGGGCTGGGTTGGATGAGGGGATGTGCCGGCGACAAGGCTACGATGTTGTGCAACACTGCACGATGACGGGAGCGGTGCCGGTGACTCGACACAGCACAGCACAGCGCGAGAACAGAATGCGAGTCTGAATCATCCGAATCAGTCACGGCAGGGTGACCGGGGGGTATTTCCGGCATTTCGTAGTGTATCCTTTTCTCGATCATTTCAGTCGGAGCGAGCTAAAGTGCAACAATATGCAATACTATAAAAAAAGGTACGTCCCTTGCCACACCAGCACTAGCACCAGCAGCCGCCTCAGGTGGCTCTGATAGTGTAGGGGGCCCAGGGGAACCAAAGACGGCCCCGCACGTGGCAGTGCGCGATGCGCATATTTTCTCCATTGGGAGGGGGTGGCAGGGCTGTTAGGGCCAAGGGATGCCTGCCACTTGTAGGTATGTACAGGTGGGTAGTTTGAGGATCCCCTGGTCAAAGCACCACCCGATGTTCCTTATCGCTCGATAAGAGGTACGTACTGCGTCTGTCTCAGCCCCTTCTCGCGGTAGGACAGGACAAACCGTGATCTCAGCATAACGTACAATCTCGTCTGAAACACCGTCTCCTGCCAGTCACCTAGACGATTTCAGCTCCTAAGCTCCCCAAGAGCTCTTGGTGCTGGCGGTCGACCCTCTTTCCCGGTCGAACTTGTTCCAGCCAACGACGGCGCTTAACACTTTAGTCTTTACCCTCAAGGAACCGCTCGCTATCCTTCTCTCTACGGATACACACACACACACACACACTCTCTCTCTCTCTCCCTCTCTCAAAACCCTGCCCTGGTCCTGTCCTCTCCTGCCCCGTTCCGTCTGCCCCTTTGTGAGAGCATGGGATGAGCTACTCGCCAAAAGAGTGAAGCTTGGATCGGATGAGGAGGGAGCACAGAGCTGAGAGTAGAGATACTCCATCTGGTTGGTTTTCTTGGGTGTCGTGGCATGCTGTGCTCTGGCTCGACCAGAATGCAACTCCTGGTTCCGACTTCAGATGAAGTTTTGTTTTGTGCTTGTTTCCAGGGTGCGAGCAACAACATAGGCAAAGACGATCATGGCGCTGTCATCGCAGGATTCAAAGGCCAGCAAAAGCCGCGCCTGCGCCGGCTTTTGCCCATCCTTTCCTTCTTAATACCTTGCCGGCATTCCCGCTTCTTCCTGTCCAGCCTCTTCATGCCCCTGCTCCAGAGTGTTGCTTCTCCGGAATCCCGCTACCAAGATTGACTTCCGGGATCAGCGTCGCACCCCCTTCCTCATCGCATTGCCCGTATCCGTTTTCCCACCCACCCTCTCCATCACTGCGTTGCCGGTCTACCTGTTATTCGCTCCAGGGCTGCACAAGGGGCACATGGACCCGGATTCCCGTTCACCCCTAATATATTTACCATCCCGGCCCTCCTCCCCCGGAAGTGGCCTCTTCTTGTTCTCGCTGTTGCAGCCAATACATATATCCTCGCCGCCCTCTGCTCCGACTTCTCTACATCTACTGGACAAGGGCAGCCGGACCATCTCGACTTTCTACTCAACTCTCTATACTTAATACTCACCAATATGGTAGCCAATATCGGAGGGCTCGCTGCCCGTGCAGTCTTCTTCATGTCCGTTCGTCCTATTGTTCAAAGGGCAGACGTCACAACTTACACCAACAATGCCGCCGACGCCATCCGGACCCTTCAGAACTCATGGTACGATGTTGGCTCGGGTCTCTGGGACAATACCTGGTGGAACAGCGCCAATGCCTTCACAACCCTCGCCGACTTTGCTGTCCTGAACCGCGATGTCGCCAACCAGCTCAACATTGGAGGCATCCTCAGAAACACATTCAACCAAGCCCAGAAGGCCACAGCGACGGCCGCCAAGACAATCAACGCGGCTGGCCTTGTCACCACTTCCTATGCCATCACCAAGCGCGAAACCCCCCTGCCCCTCGAGGCCCGCCAGTTCAGCGCTCAGGGCTTCCCCAATTTCATCAACAAGTTTTATGACGACGAAGGCTGGTGGGCGCTCGGCCTGATCCGCGCCTATGACATTACCAGAGACCAAGACTATCTCAATATGGCCGTGCGTATCTTCGCCGACATGCAGACCGGCGGCAACACCACCTGTCAAGGCGGCATCTACTGGAGCAAGGACCGTCAGTACGTGAATGCGATCGCCAACGAGCTCTACCTTAGCGTCGCCGCCTCGCTCGCCAACCGCATCACCAATGACAAGGCTAACTACCTCAACATCGCGACGGCTCAATGGAACTGGTTCAAGGCCAGCGGCATGATCAACGCCAAGAATACCATCAACGATGGTCTGGACAGCAACTGCAAGAACAACGGTGCCAACGTGTGGTCGTACAATCAAGGCGTCGTCCTCGGCGGTCTCGTCGAGCTCAGCCAGGCCACCGGCGACAAGTCGGTCCTGACAGACGCTACCAACATTGCCGAGGCTGCTATCAAGCAACTGGCCGATAGCAATGGCATCCTCCATGACACGTGCGAACCCAACTGCGGCTCCGACGGAAACCAATTCAAGGGCATCTTTGTTCGCAACCTCCGGTACCTACAGGCCGTGGCGCCTCGGGACGACTTCAAAACATTCCTCCTCAACAACGCTGACAGCAACTGGTCCACGAACCGTGATGCTCAGGGAAGGCTCGGCGTCGTCTGGTCAGGCCCCGCGCAAGGTGTTTCCGGGCCGACTCACAGCTCGGCACTAGACTCGATTGTTGCCGCTGTTGCCGTCGCGTGAGCAATCTCCATCTTCACGGGCCGTAGACAGTTAGTCAGGAGTTGGCTATTGAGTGAGTTTACAGGATCATCGCTTTAGACACTCCATTTTTATGCATCATCTTTTATTTTCGGCGCACGGAAAAAGGTAATGGGCTAGACTCAATGGAGATGGGGATACCCTCTGATACGGACACTCCCTCGGTACCTGGGGCAGGACAAGGGTCCAGGCGCGCTTCGGGGGTTTATTGTTAATGATGATTTTAATGAGTAATGATACCACAGTTCATCGAGTAGTTCTTGTGTTTACTATACATAGGCTCGGTGAAAGGCATGCAAGCCTCCACCAGCAGAGAGGTGTTGGATAATACATGATCTTTCAGTCCAGAATTACTACCCAGAAGACATATGCGACACTATAATAGGGCGCCATAGTGAGTGTCATACGCTCACTTCTTCAGCTATTCGATAGCTTGTTTTCTCTTCTGTTGTATTTTTCTGTTTTGTCTCTGTTATAGCAGCGAACATATAGAGATCGTCATGCGACTTGGATGTGCTATATAGCAGCAGCACTGTTCAACTGCTGCTAGGTCCAGCAGATGGTCGAAGCGCCAACGGTGTCGAGTCGAATTGAGTTGCGGGCAGATGAACAAGCTTTCAGACTAAAAGAAGATCTGTCGACTGATTATCGGCCCGGTGCTGCACGGTGAATGCTGGTCGAGGGAAACTTATTTCTAGCACTATGCTGATCACTTCTCCTTTAAATCGCCCGAGAAGATCGCTCGGGACCGTGGGATCATTCGGAGGAAATTGAAATTGGAGACCATCGTGAGGTGTTTCCCCTGGCCGCGATTGCACCGGGCATGTATGTACCCGATAAAAAGCTAACAGAATCGAATTCTATGCCGATAGGCATGTTATGCCGATAAGTGCAGTGGGAAGTTTTTGCAGTGTGGGGTTTGGTAAGGAGACAGACGAATGCGCAGTCAACGATCCGCGCATCCTCCCATCTCCAAACCGGCATGCCCCAAGCAAGTTCAGGTTCGCCCATGCCACCTGCGCACAAACCCAATGTTCGAGATGGAAAACCCCTCCCGTGACTTCGGTTGACTCTCGAATTATCACTATTACGAAACCCTTGCTGCAGCTGGCTGGTCGGACGAACTGAAATCCATCAACCTTCCACAAGCAGAGCAAATATACTTTACGCAATGAGACATACGCTGTACCTACCCTTTCGCGTGTGTTCCGTACGACACGGCAAGGAATAAGTAAACACCCGCGCTGGGAATTCCATGACGTATACTTTACCCAGCTAGGCGGTGCGGCGGAACTCTCGGGGGGGAGAGGTAGGTATGTACAGCCATGCATCATGGGGCTCGGGCGCGTAATTCGCGTCTCATTCCTCGGCCTTTGTGCTCTCATTCATAGCGGCGCCTCGAGAAAGCTACTTTTCGTCCCTTCCACCACCGCCGCCGCCGCCGCCAATACTGGTCCGACACACCATCACGAAACCAGCTTATCCGGTCTGCTTACCGCGCACCGCGGCGGAGTAACACTGCGAACTTGTCGTCTCATCTTCGGCTCAGCTGTCCTTCTTTCACTCTCTGCGGATCGATTTGCTGAGACGGGGCTATTGTCTCAAGTCCATGGCGTCAGCGTCTGCCATGACAGCCGCCACCGCTTCGAGCGACCCCTTCAGCCAGATCCTCAAGGATCTGGCCCTCATAGCGCTGAGCCTCGCTTTCTTGCCAATCAACACAGCCCTGCTCTTCGCATGCTATGCGTGGCAGCGCCTGCGCCCCGGCCGGGCTCCCGAGGGCGCTCCCAGCACTGCAGACTGGCCTATCTCGCAGCACCGCAAAACCATCCTCGTCACCGGCGTCGGTATGACAAAGGGCCTTGTCCTGGCACGATTGTTCCACAAGGCTGGCCATCGCGTGGTTGGAGCCGATTTCTCCCGCTATGCCTGCGGCAGCCAGTCCCGCGCCCTGTCCGCCTACTACGTCCTCCAGAAGCCCGGCCGTGGAAGCTCCGACTCGTACCTTGACTCGGTGCTCAGCATCGTCGGCCGGGAAAAGGTCGATCTATGGGTTAGTTGCTCGGGTGTCGGCTCCGCCGTCGAGGACGGCATCGTCAAGGAGGTCCTCGAGGCCCGCACCAGCTGCAGAGCAGTACAGTTTAACGTCGCCCCCACCAGGATCTTGCACGAAAAGGACTCATTTATGGACCACACGCGGGAGACCGGGCTGCATGTGCCAGAGTCCTACCTCGTCACCAGCCGCAACGAGATGATCGCCGCACTCGAGGGCGCCGCGGGGCTGTCGTACAACCTCGACAGGGAGGCCGCCAAGCCGAAGAAGGAGAGGAAGCCGCGCTTCATCGCCAAGTCGGTGGGCGTCAACGACAGGGGCCGCGGCGACATGACGCTGCTGCCGCTGCCGACAGAGAAGCTGACGTACGACCACATTTACCACCTCGAGTGGCTGGGACTTTCAGACAAGGAGCCCTGGTTGTTGCAGGAGTTCATCGACGGGCCTGAGTTTTGCACCCATTCGCTCGTGGTGCGCGGCGAGGTGCGGGCCTTCGTGGCGTGCCGCTCTGCGGAGCTGCTGATGCACTATGTTGCCCTGCCGCCAGACTCGTCGTTGTCGAGCGCGATGCTTGAGTTCACGAGGAAGCAGGCCGCCTCTTTCGGGAAGAGCTTCACTGGCCACTTGAGCTTCGACTTCATGGTGGCCAACACGGACGTGGCCATGGCCAAGATGAGCGAACCCGAGCAACTGTTGCTGTATCCTATCGAGTGCAACCCGCGAGCGCACACGGCCGTCGCGCTGTTCGGGGACACCTCGGACTTGGTGGGGCAGTATCTCGCTGTCCTACGTGACGACGAGTCCTCGGACAGGTCAGAGACCGATGTGGTGACGCCGCGAAAACCGGCAAGGTATTACTGGATCGGCCACGACCTCTTTACGCTCCTACTGCTTCCCACAGTGCGACTACTACTTTTCCAAATGTCCTTAGCGGCGTACGGCCGGTCGGTGTGGGCGTTTGCCGAGCACGTTCTATTCTGGAAGGACGGCACGTTTGAGCTCTGGGATCCGCTGCCGGCTTGGTGGCTGTATCACGTCTACTGGCCCATGATGTTCTGGGACTGCATAGTCAATAGAAGGAGCTGGAGCCGCATCAACGTCAGCACGACAAAGATGTTTGAGTGTGACTGAGACCCGGGCACAAAATAGAAATAAGCGACTCTACAACTCAGGTACTGAATGAAACGGGCTGTTGGGTATAATCTGGGTCAGAAAGGCGCATATGGATGACGCGATCACCGAGCTTCCGAGGCCGCAGAGACGGCCTCTCGAACCACGCACTTACTAAAAGGCATTATATGAAAATGAAAATGAAAATGATTAAAATGGAAGAAAGCCACGTTTGATCGCAATAACCAGTCCGAATCACTGATCTCCGCCCTCCATGCGCCAATCAACCTACCCCTGCGAATTAGTACCCCCAAGACATAGAGTATTAAGGACATACTAGAAAATGGGATCTGGGACTACTAGGTTGGAGACTATGTCAATTCCTACGCCCTTTGCCCGCTCATGATGTCGAAAGGGTCAACAAAACCATGGTCCCGGAACCGTTCCGAGGTCGTTCCGTGGCCCATTCCGGAGGATCCCCGCCAATCACCTAGTTCAACCCCGCCCTCGTGCGGCTCAACTTTCATACACACGCCTCCATCCGAGCCCACCCTCGGAAGACCGGGTGAGTCGGCGATTGACAAGGAGGGTGGGGTAGATAGTAGTTGACGACAACGCCCCTCGGATACTCAACCTGGCTAGGAGGGGCCGGCGCTTGATTGGTGGCGCTGTTCTCGATGCACCCACACGCAATTGACTTCGTCTTATATCTACATCTCTAGGTAGGCGTGGCATAAGGATGCTGGGAAATATTTTTCACTTTCCAGGACGTCACGACGAACCTTGTGGCATACTCGCTTCCCAATCTACAACCCGTAAAGAAGGAGACTTAGACACACAGCATGGACTCATCCGAATTCCGCGCCGCCGCCCAAGAGGTTGTGGAAGACAGTAAGTAAGCCTCTCACCTCTCATTCTCCCGCCCTCTTCATCATGATAGTTTATCATCATTATCACCACGAACTCCCTTATCGACTAATGCCTTTCTCCAGTCACCAATTACTATGATACTATTGCCTCCCAGCCCAAGGTTCTCCCCTCCGTAACGCCGGGCTACCTCCGCCCCCTTCTTCCGGCCTCGGCCCCGGAGGACCCGGAGCCTTGGCAGGCCATCCACGCCGACCTCCAGTCGCACATCGTCCCGGGCATCACCCACTGGCAGTCCCCTTCCTTCCACGCCTTCTTCCCCTGCTCCTCCTCCTACCCCGCCATGCTCGCCGAGCTCTACTCCAACGCCTTCACCGGCGCCCACTTCAATTGGATCTGCTCCCCGGCCGTCACCGAGCTCGAGACCATCGTCCTCGACTGGCTCGCGCGCCTCCTCGTCCTGCCCGAATGTTACCTCTCCACCGCCCCGACCCGCGGTGGCGGCGTCCTCCACGGCTCCGCCTCCGAGGCTATCCTCACCGTCATGGTCGCCGCCCGCGACAAGTTCCTCCGCGACGCCACCGCTCACCTCCCTGCCGGCTCGGACGAGAAGGAGGAGGAGACTTGGCGCCTACGCTCCAAACTCGTCGCCCTCGGCAGCGAGGCCGCCCACTCGTCCACCAAGAAGGCCGCGCAGATCCTCGGCGTCCGCTTCGCCACTGTCCCGGCCCCCGCCGAGGCGGGCTACGCCATGTCCGGCACTGCCCTCGCCTCCGCCGTTGCCGCCCTCCGCGCCAAGGGGCTCGAGCCATTCTATCTCACCGCGACCCTGGGGACGACCGACACCTGCGCCGTCGACGACTTCCCCAGCATCCGCGATGCGCTATCACCCGACGAACGGGACCGGATCTGGGTCCATGTGGACGCGGCATACGCCGGTTCGGCACTCATGCTTCCCGAGAACGCGCACCTCACCGCACCGTTCGCCGCCTTCCACTCCTTCAACTTCAACCCCCACAAGTGGATGCTCACCAACTTTGACTGCTCGGCCCTCTGGGTCCGTGACCGCGCCTGGCTGGTCGAGTCGCTGAGCATCAAGCCGGCCTACCTGCGCAACCAGTTCTCCGAGACCGGCCTGGTGACCGACTACCGCGACTGGCAGATTCCCCTCGGCAGGCGCTTCCGGAGCCTGAAGCTCTGGTTCGTCCTGCGGGCGTACGGCGCCAACGGGATCCGGGCGCACCTCCGGCGCGGCATCGATCTTGGGGAAAGGTTTGCGGAGATGGTCAGGTCGAGAGACGATCTCTTTGAGATCATCACTGGGCCGAGGTTCGCGCTGGTGGTCTTTGCCTGTAAGGGGCCGAGTCGGGATGAGAGCAACAAGGTGACGGAGGCGGTGTTGGAGGGTGTGAATGGCGAGGGGGTGATTTACCTAACGCCGACGACGTTGCATGGGACTTATGGCATCCGCATGTGCACGGGAAGCAGCCAGATCATTAACGAGGAACATGTCAAGAAGGCGTTTGATATATTGGTTGCGGCGACTGAGAAGACATTGGCCCAGCGGAAGTAAGCTCGACATCCTGTGCGTACAAAGGAACGGATGGACCCGACCATGGCCTGTGACTTCACCGTCAAATTTAACTTCTTGCTACTTGTTTATATGTTAAAAACAGTTAGATGCGGTCAAAGAGCAAGACACGCCTTCTTGGTACACTTCGTCTTGGGCAGACATTAGTAGTCGAGTGGCTAACCAACGATGTAAACGTTGTACATTGTGGGTAACCAGAGGATGTGGTGACATCAGCAACCACGTCAGATTGTCCCATTTTCTTTTAGTTATGCCAATTGATGAATCGAAATTCTTATACGTAAGGTGAAATCATACCAAAATTCTCATAATCAGCGATATGAGACATGGTAACAAAGCAGTGGTGTGATTTTATGAGGCCAGTAGTACTGTGGAAATGCGCGGTGAATTTCATATATATGTGACAACAACTAAGCTAATGCTTCGCCGTTGCTCTCATGTAGTGCCAAACCCCTCGGTCTTCAAAATGATACAAATGCACCTTGGCTCCGATTTCTGTGCTATGCTAGTCCCCCATAAAAAGCGTCATTTGCCATCATAATGTCGTTTAATTTGATGTTGTGCATTGTTGTGTTTTACAGCCAGCCCTCCGTCACTGTGGACATTTGAATGGGCTGAAGTTCGATGAGGTATCCTCACCAGTCGTCCCTTGAACGAGACGCTGGGTTGCTTCGGCTGCGCTTGTGCTCATCGTACCGCCGACCATAGCCATAACCCCTCTCAGACTGGTCAATGGCACGAAAATACTCCCTTTCGTCCCTAATGCTGCCATTCCTCGCACTTCCCTCCCTCATTCGCATCCTTGGCTCGGGGGGTTCGCTCTCTGGAGGTGCGTAATCCCTCACCGACTTGTACTCTCTCTCATCCCAATCCTGATCGTAGTAATCCATGTCACTCCGATCATCCCGGACGCTCCTCTCGTCACGGAAGCTCCGGTCATCCCTATCCCTTTCACGATCTCGATCCCAGCCGGCCTGGCTCGGACTGCTCCGCGGCGGACGGGAACGCGACTGTCTCTGTCTCTGTCTCCGCCTCTCCTCTCGCCGGTCCTCTTCTTCGTGCCTCTCCTCCGTGCGTCTGAGCGACTTGTCGATCCCGAAGACAACTGTGGCGCCGATGAGCCCGAGGGCGAGGGCCTGGCCCCAGTCGAAGCCGCCGGTTTCTTTTTCAAACTCTTTGCGTTGTCTCCGGCTTTGGGGTTCCGCTTTCCAAGGCCTGGGATCGGGGGGGAGGAGTTTGGCAGCCTTGACCATTTTGTTCTAGTCGATTGTTCACTGGTAAAAGGTTGAGGTAGGGTGTGATTATACTTGTGTTTCCGTCTAACACGACTCAGAGTTCGCCGGCGTCTTCAACATATAGGTGCGTAATGTTGCAGTCGTGGCAGACTAATTGAAATAGTAGCTGCGCCTTTTGGGGGAATATATAATACTCAAAGGGCCCAAGGCCTTTGAGACCTAATTGAGACAAAATATGCAGGGGAGATTGTTGACAGTGGACGTCCCGATAGCAACCAAATCTGACAGAGAGCGCTGGCTGACAAACTTCGAATTTATTTAGTATCAGGCACTCTGGGACTTCTCCCTTCGGAGTCCGGCTTCCTAGCTACTACGCCTTGCAGGTTCCAGCCCCTTCACCGCTAGGTCGATGGTCAACCCCCGCTCCATTAACCGACATCTGATACGCATGGATCTTCAATGCCCGATGCTTGAGAGCTTGCCCATTGGGTTGAGAGTGAAGGCTTGTCGTCACTGTGCGGCATGATGTCATGGGCTAGCCCAGAATCGAGTAGTATTCATCTCCAAGCCGTTGACGTCAGATCCCGATTTAGCCACAGCTCCAGCAAAATGAGGCCCGTAGCGGCCAATGAAATGGCGCTCTTGAAAAAGCTTCAATGCTTAAGAGCCAATAACTCAAGAACATTGTGAGACATTCGCTTCTCCGGCCCGCCAATATGCGGTTGATCTGTGTTACCCACGCGACCGACGCAAGGATGCCCTTTGGATAATTACTGAACCCTTTGCCAAATGGCTGGGTTTAATAGCGCAGCTTCTGAGCGGAGTACACCGTTACGACAACCTTCTGCGCAAGCAACATTGCAATAGCGGTATCCATCACAGACACTCTTCATATTGGTTGTCTAAGTTCTACAAATATACTAAATGCTGGCTCTTCTGGGCGCCATGGTCCTCCTCATCGCCTTCTTAGCCTCGGTCTCTTCCATAAAAGGCAGCGCACCATCATCTCTTAATTTCTGCAGGAAATCCTGCCCATACTTGTAGCCCATTTGGTACAACTCGTCAAACTTGCCAAAGTCGAGCGTACCATAGTCGTCGATGGGAGGTCGCATGTAGAAGCAGCCAGGCATCGTCTTTGCCCTTTCCAAGGCGTCGACACTCGACACGTAGGCCAGTCTAGCCTGGATCTCCGCTAACGTCGGAGGATTGGGCGTACCCGAGAACGGGTTCCACCTGTTCCAAAATGCCCACACACCCGAAAGTGAATCACCATACGCCTGCGGGGTGTCATCATCGAGAGAACCAACGTCCACGGCGAAGATGGTATCCACACCTAGCCTTTTCATGTGCAAGACGGTCAGATTATCAATATAACCACCATCCAGAAGCATGTTGCCTTCATCGCACAGTGGTGGGAGCAGACCAGCCAAGGACATTGATGCTCTGATGTATCGCCATGCGTAGCCGCTAGTGTGGTACTCGATTCGACTTTTACTGATGTTTGTTGTGTTGCAGTAGTACTCCAGCCAGAAGTCCTCGATCTGAGTCTTGCCGAATGCTTTGAAGATGCCACGATTGAACTCGTGCCCAGTGGTGTACGAGGCAGTTGGGTACGTGAGGTCCAGCGCGAAACGCCACATACTGGCCATGCGGCCCGCGAACTTCTTGGCGAGACCAAAAATTGGAACCACGTCGGCATGGCGGGCATAGAGAGCACCTATGAAGGATCCGATCGAAGTTCCACCGACAACATCAATGGGAATACCGGACTCTTCCATGGCCTGGATAATGCCGATTTGGGTCAAGCCTCGGGCTCCGCCTCCACCAAGGACCAAGCCAACTGACTTACCACAAAGCCGTCGGGCCAGACGGTGGAAATCACCCTTGAACGGTGCGTCTGGAGAGTAGAAGGCGCTGTGTCTTGTCTTCCTCGAAGTGTACTTCTGGATCTCCGCCTGGATGATCTGGACTCTCTCCTTCAGAGTCGTGCTAGTCCTCTTGGAAGGCGGATGCGCAGGAAGGATGTTAGGTCCGAGAGGCATTTGCACGTGGTAGTGTCCGCCATTGATCCACATACGATTCCTCAACCAAGCTCTGGTTAAGCCCGATTGAGAGTATCTTTCGGGATGGAGAAGAACAAGGAGCTTCCTCGCTGTCGACTTCATTCCCAGCATGAAGCGCTCGTACTCACCAATCTCGGGGGAGCCCTCAGCAAGACCCACTAGCAGGATGCAGTCAGCTTGCGTGATGCATGTCTGAGTCCATGGGGAGTTGACATTGGTATCTGACAAATGGTTAGCATTTTTGAATATGCCGCGTGCGCCATTGAAATATTGCGGAATTGGTGTCAAATCAGGAAAAAATTAGAGTTAATGTTTGGCCTTCAGCGGGCTTTGCCTCGGGAAACAGGTTTGTTCATCATGAAAGGGACGGGTTGCGTAAAGTACAGAGGTGGAACCGCTTACCTGCGACGTAGACAACCAGACCGTACTTCTCTTCCAGGTCAGCCAAGTATTGAGAAAGCTTGAGCTTGCCCATTTTATTGAAGGCATGTTTGCCGAGATGGTTGAGAATTGCGGACTGGTTGAGAGAGGTGGCACCATTTGCAGGGCCAACCTGAGCCAAGGCGTTCATCAGACGGTTGCCGAACTCCACTACAGGAACACCAGAAGTGACAGGCAGGATAGCGACTGTCCTCAGGTTAAGGGAAGACGAGCCCTTAGTGATCGTATTCGTATTACCCACCTCTTTGGAGAGGAGCTGAGAAGGGTCGTCGACGAGATTCCTCATGCGCGACGCGATGATCTTCGAAATCTTGATTGTGATGTTCGGATGCTCTTGAGCAAGGCTGTTGAACAGTGTGCGCGGGAACTTGACCAACTCAGTTTGTCGGATGGCGTGGAGCGTACCGGGTCTGACAGACTCGGTCAAGACCTCCAGCTCACCAACACTCTCGCCTTGACCGTACTCGGCTCGGACTTTAACACCGCCATCTTTCCTGTCTTGAACGAGACGGAGTCGACCGTTGAGGACAATGTGAATAGCCTCGCTCTCTTCGCCTTCATGGAAAAGCACCTGGCCAGCATCAACTTGCTCCCAATCCAGAGCAAAGTCAATGTGCATAATGAGACGCGGCAGGAGGCTAGTCAATCGCTTGGCCATTGTCAGCAAGACAATAGGATAACGATCAACGATCCGTTCTAGGGCAGACAGTGGAAGGAATCCGACGTATACATCTGTCTTGGCCACCACGTCAATGAAAGATCGGTATGACGACACAGTGCCGACGTATCCTGCGAGTCCGCCGGGCTTGATGAGTGATACACTGCGACGGTACGGCTTCTTGCTCTTCGTATCCATGTTGTCCGTGGAAAATCCGGGAGAGCCATCCATCCCTATGTAACCAGCATGCAGCGATGTTCTGCTTGAAGACTGCAATATGTCCGCCGAAGAATCCTCCTTGGATGTACAAATGTCGAGGAATCCATCTACGACGTAGTAAAGACCGGGGTTGCGTTCGCCTTGCTCAACCAGTACTGATCCCTTTGGGAAAAAGACGATCTCAACGTCATCCTTCATGTCATTCGCAAGAAGGTGTGCGTTGGGCGGTGTGTTCAAAGTGAACCCACCAGATGTCATCGATTCTGTATCGCCATCACCAGAGGCATCAAAAGGCCCCATGAGGCCGAATGCATTGTTGCCAGGCCCCGGTCTTGGCCGTCTTTGATCATAGGAGAAGAGCCGAGGGGAGCCTTCGACAGACTCGGCTTCACGTGAAACGCTGCCATTACTGCTGAGACCGATCGCCTTGAACATGCATTCGAGGATTGACTGACGAAAGATATTATCTTCGTCCAGAGATTCTCTGCCATCAACTGATGCTCGGGAATGTCTTTGGGTCGCGAAGGGGTTGAACGAGCGCTGAGCGAGAGGGCTAGAACCATCATGACGAAGAACATTGGCAACGTCAATAGGACCAGTACTCCCGCCTGACGGTCGATGATCACCGTATCTCGCGGATTGGATGTTAGCCAAAAGATCGCCAGGACTGGTATGCGTCGAAGCTCTCTCTCTCGGTGGTGCGATGGTCGTCGCAACTTGGGAAAAGGACCTCTCCTTGGTGGCCATAGAGTGTTTTACGGCATCCTTTCGAAGGGTCGACGTCGATTTGCGTCGACGATGAGCGTTGGCGTTGTGAAGCGCTATGCCCTTGCTTTCAGATTCACCGCCAACTCTCTCCCGCTCTCGATCGAACTTCTCCTTCAGACGCTGGAGAGCATCACCGCGGAGCATGTTGGGCAATTGGCAAGTGGTGAAGGAAAGCATATTTTTTTCGGTCTGCAAAACTTCGCCAATGAGCCCCAAATAGTTGTAAGCTGTCGCCAACGTGACTCTTTGGAAGCGGGAAAGGATGACCTGAACGATGTGAGATGTTGCCTTGGGATAGACCTTGGTCAGGCGGCGGAAGGCGCTGGCCGGAATGATAGCGATGGTCGTGTCAACTGTCGCTCTAGCGATGATGTCTGGATGGGCCGAGCCAGACGTTGCTCGACTCAGAAGTGGAGGACGCTTGGCTTGGCGGGCGCTTCCAGAGTTGTCCAAAGAGATGGGCGGGATTCTGGCGCTACCAGACAAGTTAGGCGTAGCAGCCCGCTTCGGAGGCTCCTCAATCCGCACGCCAGGCCCCTCCTCCGCGTTCTCGGGAAACTCGGGGGTGACAGGGAATGGGCTAGCGGGGTCCGAAGGCATACGGCGGAAAGCGGTATTACGCGGGAATGGAGATGTTCTCAGACCGGCGCTGCTTGCCGTAGGTTCAGGGGCTTCGTCATCCGTTGACCGAAGTTTGACATCCTCTGTGAACAGCGACATGATAGAGAACAGAGAAGACATGGGTGCCCCGTTGCGAACTTCTGTGAGAAGTTGATATCTCTGCTGTCCATGTAGCGACACATCCTCCTCTTCCCCGAGATAGGTAGAATCGGGCCCAAAGTTATCGCAGGAATCTAGGTCCATGGCTCTGGCATTTCGGCCAGATTTGACAAAGATTTCCACTAGACCATCCACAACGATACAGAATCCCTTCTCCTCTTCCAGGTTGAAGGTCTCCCCAGCGATAAGCTTACGAGTCTGCATGCTTCTCGTCAGCTCGTGGAAGACCTGTCGCTCCAAATAGCCGAAGATCTTGATGGCACTAAGAAACTCGTCCAGGTAGCTTGATAAACCAGACTTCTTGCCCTCGTCATGCGTGTCGGGAAAGAGGTCAACGTCAGGCTCCTTTCTCTGAGGCTCCGGCGGAAGTCGGGAATACATGTTGAGGATGCGGTATCGCACCACCCAACTAACAGCAGATATAATAGCGGCCATTATGACCATTCTATACGCATGACGTTAGCAGAATCTCAAGGACTTATACGTACGATGGTGCTTACAACGTAGTAGCGTTCATCGTCACGGTCCAGCTTGTTGAGAACATGGTGAAAAGGAGGGTTGGGATGGTAATGGTAACGATCCGTATGGCCCAGTAGAGGATTGAGGAGATCAAAGACAGAATGGCGAGGATCAACCGGCCAAACAGACCCAACCAACTAGACGACCCCTGGGCTGCGACGACTTCCTGCGCGCGCGTAAAGGCAGAAGGCAGGGCATCGGAAGAGGTTTTTATCGTTGCCGACAAGCTTTCTGACACCGCGTGAGCGGCACTCGAAATGTCGGAAGACGACATGACTGCGGTGTTGTGGGACGGGAAAGGCCTTGCAGCATAGTGCAAAAGCAAAGGGAGTAAAGACAAGTTACATGATTGGAACGCGCGACCCTGGGGGCTAACTGGGCGCGTGCCAGCGAGGGAAATGTTTTAAGCCCGTTGTTGGTGGCTGGGTCGCAAGGCCGAGGGTGAGGGGTGGTTGGTGATTGGAAGGAAGAGAGAAAGAGAAAAATAGAAAACGGAAGAAAACGAGCTTTTTGCGCTTGTGGGGGGAGCTTGAAGAAGCTTGGAAGTCCAAGGAACTCGGGCGGTCAAAAAAAGTGCCGCCCCACGCCGCTACGAAGTTCCAGGGCGGAACGTGCAGGCATCTGACGCCAGGCGCTAGAGGTGCTCGCTCAGCGATAGCGCTGTTGGTAATGCTGCATGGAGGGGTACAACTAGCTTAGGAAACTTCAACTTCTGAATATCTAGTTCTAGTCCGCGACAAACGGTTCAGACGCCACCAACTCCTTAATTCTATCGTTCAAGTGTACACGGCGAACCCAAACCAGATTATTCGGTAAACCCTACCATGCCTTTTGCGCAGCTTGTCCTGGGCAGTCCAGGCTCCGGAAAGAGTACCTACTGCGATGGCAGTAAGAGCCACCCTTGCCAACGCATGCTTCGCGGCTGCGAAAGCTAACAAGACACGTCTAGTGCACCAGTTCATGGGCGCAATTGGTCGCGCATGCTCTGTCGTAAACCTCGATCCCGCCAACGACCACACAAACTACCCGAAAGCACTCGACATTCGCGACCTGGTGAAGTTGGAGGACATCATGGCGAGCGACAAGCTGGGGCCGAACGGCGGCATTCTCTACGCTCTGGAGGAGCTGGAGCACAACATGGAATGGCTCGAAGAAGGGTTGAAAGAGTTCAGCGAAGACTACATCCTGTTTGACTGTCCAGGCCAGGTCGAGCTATACACACATCATAACTCTCTGCGCAACATCTTCTTCCGGCTGCAAAAAATCGGCTTCAGAGTTAGTCTCCCAGGTACCACCGGTCCCCTGATCAACCTCACTGACCTCGTAACAGCTTGTCGTAGTACACCTCTCCGATTCTTTCTGCCTCACACAACCCTCGTTGTACATTTCGAACCTGCTTCTGGCCCTCCGTGCCATGCTCCAGATGGACATGCCACACATTAACGTCCTTACCAAAATCGACAAAGTCGCCTCCTACGATAGCCTGCCCTTTAACCTCGAGTACTACACCGATGTCGACGACCTGTCATACCTGATCCCGTATTTGGAGGAGGAATCGCCGGCGATGCGCAACGAGAAATTCAGCCGATTGAACGAGGCCGTCTCCAACATGATTGAGAGCTACAGCCTGGTCCGTTTCGAAGTCCTAGCGGTGGAAGACAAGAAGAGCATGATGCATCTTCTCCGTGTGATCGATCGAGCGGGTGGTTACGTATTTGGAAGCGCAGAGGGCGCCAACGATTCCGTTTGGCAGGTCGCCATGCGCAACGAGTCGGCCATGATGGAGATTCAGGATATACAGGAGCGCTGGGTCGATCGCAAGGCAGAGTATGACGAGCTGGAGCGGAAAGAATGGGAGGAGCAGGCCAAGATACGGGAGGCGGAAGATCCGAACGCGGACCCGACCCCCCAGCAGGGTGCGGCGGATTATGATCCAGACTTCGGCGACATGTCAATACCCGCGGATAGTGGTGTAAAAGTAGTGCGCAAAAACAAATGATACCCTTCAGCCGTCTTCTTCACCCATTTCATCCTCGTCAGAGACGTCTGACGCGTCAAACATGACAGTGTCTTCAACTTGGACCTTAGGTTCGGTGAAAATCGGCAGAGCGCCGCTGGTAGTGGCCGCGGCAGAGTCCTTGGCGGCGAGCACGAGCTGTCTAGCTTGTCGAACGGCCTCCTCTTCGGCCTTGCGAATAGTGCCGCTCACCCTGACGACCTTGAAAATGCACGGTTTGCCTTCCCCTGTCTTAAGCGGCACGCATTTCATGAAAGTCAGGGCAGCCCAAACGAGACGGTAGTGTGCTCTCTTCACTTTCAGAATGAAAGTTGACGTTGCAGGAGAAAGGTACTTGACTGCTGCATAATTAGGCACTGTTTGGACAAAACTTGAAAAACCACGCTTACCTTGAAGGTTCCCCTCGATAGCGCCAGAACCATAGTCGCCGAACAGGATAGCAACTTCAGCTCTGATGGCCTTCAGCAGGGACTGGGGAGTGAGACTGCCCGTTGTCGGTTGATGAATGACGACAAAGTCCGGGACATTAGACGCTTGCGATTTCGAGTCCCCTGTTAGATATAGAATATTGACGAGAAGATATCTCTCCTTGATTCGGACCATTCTGGCGCGTGGGTGGCAGTGTTCTTCCGTGACTGAGTTGGCTGCTGAGGTTGACATTTGAAAAAGTTCATGGCCGGCGGTACGTACCGCACTAGGCGCGACTCTGGCTTACAGATGGGTCCTTGTGGTGGGACGCTCTTCGTACCCCTGTACGTCACTTACTAAGGCGGGGGAGCTTCACCACCCACCGGCAGCTCCCTTCTGTGCCTACGAGCTCCTAACGTCACCAAGCATAGTTCACTAAAGTGATATCGGACGTATTTGTGGTGGTGTGCTCAGAAATTTTCGGGTCTTTTATAAGAGATCTTTGCCTTGAATGTTACGTTTTTTACCGACGTTCTGACATCTCCTAGTTACGATTTACACCATGACTGACGCCCCTCTCAAAGTAGCCATCCTGATCGTCTCGACGACGGCGTCCAAGGACCCTTCGACAGACAAGTCTGAACTTGTTCTAAGAGATTTCATCGAGAACGAGGGCGGCGGAAAGTGGAAAGTCGCGGAAACCAAGATCGTGCCAGACCATGTGCCCCAGATTCAGCGTCAAATTATGCTCTGGGCAGACCTGGGCCCCATCGAAGGAGTCAATTTGATCCTAACAACTGGCGGAACTGGCTTCGCAGTATCAGACAATACACCTGAGGTACGATGAATGAAGTCGGAATGGAATGTTCAATATTGACACCGCTATTTAGGCTGTAGCAACTCTACTTCACCGGACAGCTCCGGGTCTGGTCCACGCAATGCTGGCCTCGTCTCTGGCTGTGACCCCATGTAAGAGAAGGTAGCACTTCACCCAGAGCCATACTGACGGCAGCAGTCGCTATGATGTCCAGGCCAGTGGCTGGCACTCGCAATACTACCGTCATCGTCACGCTGCCCGGCTCTCCCAAGGGTGCCAAGGAGAACTTACAAGCCATCCTTAAGACGTTGCCTCATGCATGCGTCCAGGCCGCCGGCGCAGACTCTCGAATCCTTCATGAAGGCGGAGTAAAGAAGCTTGAGTCGGATGCTGGTATAGACACAAAAGCCATCTCCACGGCATCAAAGCCTCAGAAAGACCACTCACACGACCATAACCAAGACAACAACCACAGTCACAGTCACCGCCAAGGCCATTCCCACGTTCATAGTCAGGAACATGGGCACGGGCATGGGCATGGAGGCCTCGTCAGACACACGAAGCCAGGCGATAACCCTTTGTCTAACGACCCGAGTCTTGGCCCCACACGCAGACATAGAGAGTCACCATACCCCATGTTAGAGGTAAATGATGCCCTACGACTCATCAAGGATTTTACCCCTGAGGCCGAAGTTGTGACCTCCAAACTTGGCGTTAATCTTGTGAACTCGGTGCTTGCAGAGGACGTCACAGCGAGAGAAAATGTTCCGGCATTCAGGGCGAGCATTGTCGACGGGTACGCTGTGGTCGTGCCAGAGGATGGCAACATGAAGGGTGTTTTCCCTGTTACCGCGGTATCCCACGCCACACCCGGTAATGTGAAGGGCCTCAAGGAAGGTGAAGTCGCCAGAATAACGACAGGAGCCCCTCTGCCCCCTGGTGCCACTTCCGTCATCATGGTCGAGGATACCGTCTTGAAATCCATGACTAAAGACGAGAAGGAAGAAAAGGAGGTTGAGATCCTCGCCGACGGCATTAAGCCCGGTGAAAACATCCGCGAAGTCGGTAGCGACATCCAGGAGAACGACATAATCCTCAAAAAGGGAGAACAGATCTCTGGCGTTGGTGGCGAAATTGGCCTCCTCGCAGCCGTCGGCGTCGCCGAAGTCAAGACCTACAAGCGCCCGGTCGTCGGCATCCTCTCAACGGGCGATGAGATTATCGAGCCGGATCGTCCTGGTGGTCTCCGCCTGGGCGAAGTCCGCGATACGAACCGCATCACGCTCATGTCCGCCGTGCGTCAGTGGGGTTTCGAGGTCATCGACCTTGGCATCGCGCGCGACAAGGCCAACTCGCTCGAGGAGAACTTGCGTGAGGGCCTGCGCCGCAGCGACCTGCTCATCACCACGGGTGGCGTTTCCATGGGTGAACTCGACCTCCTGAAGCCGACCATAGAGCGGTCACTCGGCGGCACGATTCACTTTGGACGCGTGGCCATGAAACCGGGCAAGCCGACCACCTTCGCCACAGTGCCGGTCAAGACAACGCTCGGCGAGCGGGTCACCAAGGCTGTCTTCTCGCTACCCGGAAACCCGGCCTCGGCTCTTGTGACTTTCCACCTCTTCGTCCTGCCAGCGTTGCACAAGCTCTCGGGAATCGAGCCTCTTGGGTTGCCCAAGGTACCTGTGACCCTAGCTCATGAATTCCCCCTTGATAAGGTGCGGCCCGAATACCACCGCGCGATTGTCATGGTAGGGAAGGACGGGTCGCTTTCAGCAAGCAGTACTGGTGGCCAGAGAAGCTCAAAGGTCGGCAGCTTGAAATCTGCGAACGCGCTGCTTGCTTTGCCAGCGGGCTCGGGCCCACTGAAGAAGGGAAGCAAGGTTGAGGCCCTTTTGATGGGAGATGTCCGGGCAGAGCTTTAAACATGTAGACGAGAAACGCCTAGCTTCAGTAGACAAGTAACCATATGCTAATTTGGTTCACAAGTACAGTCAAGAGTAAGGACGATAAAACTTCAACAAAGGTACCACAAAAGACACATGCAGGTCGGGAATATCAATATGTGCACCGAGTCCGGAGTTCTCGTACAGAAATCATCTCGATGAAAAGCTATAATACTTCCATAGTGTACAATACAAAATATCCTCGCCCTGCCCGTATGCCATTAACGCCAGCCCAAGTAGTCTTGGTGTAATGCAGTACTCCACTGTACATCGTGCCCGAGGCCGGCATTTGCTATGCTGTCCGTAGTAATCTCCTTCTTTTGAACCCCTTGATGTCATTTACATCGCGTGTCATATTTATGCCTTGCCGAAGGCGTTGGCCTTGCCGGAGACAAGGAGACCGATGATCAGACCGAAAAGACCGAGGACGGAGCTGAAGATCTCGACAACGAGTATCTTGACAAAACTGTGCGCCGGATGATTAGTTAACTAGAACGCCGTCGACAATGATCCAGGCAAGACTTACAGTGTGGGGTCGGCGGCGTCGGCCAGCGCGGCTCCACTGCCGTTGATGCCGACGGCGACACCGCAGATCAGGTTGCACATTCCGACGGTGATACCGGCCCAGAAAAGGGCGAACCCAGTGTAGTAACTATTGCCGTCGTGCAAAGTGGCACCCTGGACGTTCTCGAGCTGGGCAGAAAAGACAATGGCCATGATGACGCCGTAAATGGCGACAACTTCGCAGAAGATAATGGAGATCAAATTCTTGGTTCGCACCCGGGGCGCCTTAACGCCCGCGCCGAGAATGGAAGAACCGGTGATGAAGATACCCCTAAATGGTAACGGCCCGTTAGAAATGTCCCACGATACTGAAGGACGGATGCTTGTGCGTACCATGCCGCGCCTACGACTGAAAGACCGATGCAGAGGGCGATGCCCGTGTCCGCCCACGCATAGGGTGAGATAGATTCAAGGAATTCGCCGACATTAAAGGCCTCGCCCGATCCTGTGAAGAGCATGTCTGTCTGTGTTAGCTCGCGCTGTCGCGAATCGCCAGTGCAGTGCAGGGCAGGTCCATACAAGCTCCCACAACGAGGAGGGTGCTCCCCATGCCTCCCAGGCCATACGTGAGACTCATCGTGGTCGTTTCAGCGTGTATCGTTCCCGGTGTCGTGGATGGTGGTTGACAGAGGAGGTCTTGGTCGTTGCAGCTACGTCGAGCTCTCTCTAGTCGGACAGGCGAGGTGAGGTAAGGTATCTAAGGTGCAAGCAGAAAGCAACCCAGAGTTGGCAAAGTCACATGACGTGAACACCCACTGTTTCCTTAGGTAATCCGCGGCGAAAGCCTAAGGTACCTAGGTACTTGCCTCGCGTTGCCAGAGTCAGAGTAACAGGCAACCACGGATAGAGCAGCAACGGACCCACTTCCAACACCGCTGAGTAAGCTGGGTCCAAGGATATCCTCAAACAAGGCCAGTATAAATACAACATTGCCTCTTTCACACTCACAACCACCTGAACCGACGCCCGCCCACAGGAGATCCAAGACAAATCTCCAAGATGGCAGCCGCACCTCAATCGTTCTACGAGCTTTATCGCCGTAGCAGGTACTGCGCCATCCATGACAATTACTACACACATACTGCTGCATATAACTAACTCATGTATTTGACTGCAGCATCGGCCTTGCGCTAACGGACATGCTTGATGATCTTATCAGCGAAGAGCGCATCCATCCCCAACTGGCGATGAAGATTCTGGCCAACTTCGATCAGGCTATAACAGAGGCTCTGCAGAAGAGCGTCAAGGCTCGTCTCACTTTCAAGGTATGTGCAGCTGGCTTCGTTGATCCTTCTTCGTCGCCCTCTCCTGTCGTTGGCCTTTGGGCCCTGCCATCGGAATTCTGTGTCTTTGGAGGATATCGCGCTTCAATGTTGCAAGAATACCCTACACGGCAGATGCGCAGCCAACATCATGGCCATTTGTCCACGTAACAAATGCATGCTAACACTGTTTTCCTTGCAGGGCAGCTTGAGTACCTACCGTTTTTGCGACGAAGTCTGGACGTTTCTTATCAAGAACGTCCAGTTCAAGCTTGATAACGGTGGTCAGATTGTCACGGCCGACAAGGTCAAGATTGTCAGCTGTAACGCCAAGAAGCCAGGCGAAGGGCCTTGAAGGGTGGGCGCATACAAGACCGAGAGGGCCAGCAGCGGCCTCATCCATCTTTCTCATACACGGGTGGATACGCATTTTGGGACACAGGCGACGAAATCGATGAGCGCCCCCCAGTGCCTGCATATATTTGGCGTTCAGGTTCATGGTCTTATGATGGCACCGGGCTAGGGACAACTGGGAGTTTATACAAGATTACGTTTGTGATACCACAAGAGGTTTTATACAGCATTGCGCACATGGCTACAATGGGCGAGTCAATAGACTGAGTGATCGCATGGGGAGCGTCTCATCATCCGGGTTCGTGGTTTTGCTGCAAGAGTGACCGACTCTATAATGGTTGGGTGAATCCCCCATACAAACACCTCGGCAGCTGTCTGTCGCATGTGCTATTGACCATGTGCGCAATGCTGCCTCTCGCCTTAAATTATTCTTGCATGGTTCTCACTAAACAATGCGATATGTCATCGCTAGCACTCTACGTCATGTCGTATACGCTGTCCCCACTGACCAATCAAAGTCTTTTCTGTTTGGCTTCGGGGCACCGTCGAATGGCAACTTTTGGCGGCTTGAGAGTTTGCTTTGGCCTTCTGGAAACCTCATGGTCAATTTTGTCGGATGGCAGCCAGGCACTCCCTATACACGCCTGCGAGGGGAAACGGCCGATGCCGGCACGCCGGGTACCTGCATAGCCCGGTGCCTCATTTTCCGGAACCGGGGGCAGCACGCGTTTGCGTTCTCCTTCTCATTCTCCCCTATCGTTAGCCTCAACGGCCTGTGCTTCTGTATGTCCAACGACACGATTTCCAATTGCGCCCCTTGATTCGCGCAGCCCCTTTCGTTTCTGGCATTTATTGCCGAGAACCTTATCGATGTAAACTAGGACAACACTAGGTGGGGCGAGAGACATCACCGCAGCTCTCAAGACGGCGTGCAACTGGATTTGCTCCTACCGGGATCCCCTACGCACTCTCCTTGCGCTCTTCAATCAAAACTACCGCTCACTGGTCGTTCTCCAAGCGCCTGTCATCTGGCCTCGCTGCTGCTGCTGTTGCCGCTGAGTCTCTTCGGGCTTCTTCAAGCGCAAAACCTCCTACATGTGGGGCGCCTTTTTGTCGTACTGTCACAGCACAGCGCACCTTACCTCATCCCATCGCCAAGCATAGCACCGTCAACCCGTCGTCCGTCTGCCATCCATCCCATCCTATCCCCAAGCAAAGCCAAAGCACAGCAGCAAAACAGGGGTCGCTCGCCCGGCAGTAACATCCTCTCCTTTCTCTCCCCCCTTCTCTCTCCACAATAATGCTCCGCCAAAGACAATCCGCCGCCCCCAGTCACCCTCAAAAGGCACAGATACCCACCATGGCCGCCGCAACGTCAACGACCCTGGACAACGAGCACCGCCCGCTGCTCCCGCGCCACGAGGACGACGCGCGCAGCAGCAGTAGTCAACAAACTACCGAGGCAGTTGACAACGACGAGGCGACGAAAAGTATGGTCTGGGCACGGCGGAACCAGTGGATTGTCCTCGCCGTTGCGAGCGGCGCCTGCGCGGCGTTCAATGGCGTCTTTGCGAAATTGTGAGTTGCCCACTTCCTGTTCCGGCTCAATCAGGCGTTGGGCGCAGTGTCAAGTCTTCGCGAACCAACTTCACTTGGATGAGTTTTTCTTCCTCTTCTTAGTAGCTTTCTAGAGCATGCTCGCCTCGGGATTGTCTTGACGCCAATTGTCTCAATCCCGATGCAACAACCTAAACAATTTCCTGTCCACTCAGCACCGGGACTTCCGCTCACAACCCCGTAGGACCACGACTGATCTGACAACGACCATATCGCAAGCAATCTCCAACTTCCTTCATCTGCAAAACATTGAAGGTGCTTTTGAGGTTATCTTGCGAGCCGTAAGCTCATCTGATCGCCCCTCGTCCCCGCCACACTAACCCGTCTTGAAGGTCTTCTTTGGTCTGAACCTCGTTTTCAACGGCATTGTAAGTCATTCGCCCCTCGCTTACGTAGGTAGCATCAGTCAGCTAACATATTCCCATTAGATGTGGACTCTCTTCACAAAGGCTCTCGCCAAGGGGCAATCGACCACGCAGGTCTCCATCATGAACACGTCAACCAACTTTGTCATCACCGCCATCCTCGGCTTCGCCATATTCGCCGAGGCCCTGCCGCCCCTGTGGTGGGTTGGCGCTGCCATGCTCGTCGCCGGGAACGTCATCATCGGCCGCAAGGACGAGGAGGCCGACAAGCCCGGCGGCGACTATGCGCCGGTGCCCCAGCAGCCCGGGCTCGCTACCGTGCCGCTCGATGTTCCGGATGAAGACAAGGACTCCGAAGATGAGGACATTGTTGATTTAGGAGATATGAACTCGTCTGAGCATCACGCTTGAGCTGACCTAGAGAAATCTGTATAGGATGCCGATTGCATATGTCTGCACATGCAACACAAAGAATGTATGATACATGTGGTAGACGTTCAGATTCTATACCCTACAATCGTTTGCGTTACAATCAGGGAATTGGGGGAGCTGTATCAGGGATTGGATCCCTATGGCCTCTTCCTTCCGTAACATTCTTGTGATCTATTAACCCCTGGCTTCTGGTCACCCGGACCATCACACATCCCAGAGCTATCATATCACGATACGGACGAAGCTGGTCTGTTACTTTTCAGCGGATTGCTGCTGAAATCGATTCACATCTAATGCTCCGAGAACAAAGCCTAGCCATGTGTGTATATGCCCAAATAACGCCGACCAAGAATCATGCTTCCTGAACCATATTTGAACTCCCAGATCTCAGGCCATGCGTCAGATCATACAAGAAAGAGAACATCACCGGTTATCCAGCTCTACCGCACCGTCATCGATAGCATCTTCATCGCCATCCAATATATGCACACCAGCTGACCGGCCACCGCCATAACTTCCACCCATACCCCTTCGCTCATCAAACGACGATAGCCGCACCCGCCCGCCAGACGCCATTGACACTTTGTCAGACACCCAATTCGCAGCACGCCGCATCGCGCTCCACAACTTCTCCTGGCTCTCTGCGAGAGCGGAGTCGTCGCGCAGGTTCTCGGCGTGCTCGGCTGTGAACTGGTACTTGAGGCAGTCCTTGACGGTCACAAGACCCGACAAGCGGCCGTGGTACTCAATCAACACAACTCTAGGGCCAATCTTGCGGAAGAGCTCCATGACCGTCTCGAGAGGTAGCCGCGGGTGCGCTGTCACGGGAGTGGTATCAATGTACCGGCTGAAGTCGACAGATGTAGACGACATCGAGTCGAAGTTCACCGTCACGGTAGTTGTGAGCGGGGCAGCCAAGTTAAGGGCTGCCGAAGGGGGTGAAAAGGTACACCGGGCCTGCGGGCCGATGGGCCTCTCACGCCTCACCCGATCAATGGCGTAGCGCAGCTCCGTGCGACCGATGTAGCCGATAAGGATCTTGGAGGCTGCATCCTCGACGATAGGGAAACCTTGGTAGGTATCCTCCTTGAGGAGCTTCTCGAGCTCGGAGAACGGCATGCCGCTCACCGGCAACGATGTAATCTCTGTCCGCATCACCTCCGAGACGGGAACGCCAAAGTTATGTTCCTCCTTGTTGTCTAAGAAAGGGAACCCACTGAACCAGATCATCCTGTCAGCGATGCCGCCCTTGCCAAAGAGCTCACTGACGATCTTGGTCACTCCGACAACGATCATGGTGGGGAGGATGTACGTCAGGGCGCCAGTGAGCTCAAACATGATAACAACCACAGACACGGTGATGTGCATGATGCCACTCAGCGCTGCGGCGGCACCAAGGAAAGCGTATGTGCCGGGTGTGATGCAAGGCTCGTCCGGCTTGCAAGCCGCGAAGAATGCACTCGTGGGGTTGGCTTCGTGAATTGCTTGAACAATGATGCCTACTGTGCGGCCGAACGAGGCTCCGATAGCCATGGATGGAACGAAAATGCCAGCCGGCACCTTGCAACCGTATGAGATGATGACGAGCAGGACCCTCAAAACCGTGGCCAGAGCCAGCGACAGAATGTTCGAAAGCCTCTTGTCGGACTCGCATAGGCCGTGGTAGTCCTCAGCTCCCTCGCACTCGAGAAACAGGATCTCCATGCTCTCCGTCATGTCGATCCTCAAGAAGACGTTGGGGTAGCAAATGATGGCGGTTCCGGCGGCGAGTATAGTGGCCTCCGCGATGGCGTACTTTGAAAGGTACTTTTTCCTGAAAGCCTGTACCCGCAGGTTCCACTTCATGACGAAGGCACCATAGAGGCCGCCGAAGATGCCTAGAATAATGTAGAACACCACCTCGAAAAAGTGCCACGACCGGTCGTAGCGAACCTGAAACATGACGAGTTGTCCCGTCCTAAAGGGATTCATGGCTGCAAGCACAGCTGTGGCTACGAGAGCGCAGAAGTAGCTGCGCCACAACGTCTTGAGGGGGAAGTAATTCGACATTTCTTCCAGAGAGAACAGTACGCCGCCAATGGGGCTACCAAAGGCAACGGCAACACCGGCCGCCGCACAAGCGCTTAGGATCTCCCGCGTTTTCGAGGCGTTGCGACGGTACTTTTCAAACAGCCGTGAGATAACGTTTCCGGTGCACACGGCGTAATGTACACTGGGACCCTCCTTTCCGACGGACAGACCCGAGGCAATGGCCAGCGGCAGGCAGACGGACTTGATCAGGAGCGTCCAGAAACCTAGGAAGCCCTTCATGACGAACCCGGCAATGATGCATTTGATCTCGGAGATGCCGGATCCTGCGGCGTACGGCGCAAACGACTTGACGAGAGTGGCCGAGGTGAAGGCGAAGACGGTGCCAAAGAGGATGTAGAGTATGTAGTTGGCCGGGGCGAATCCCGTCCAGTGATGCCACTCGTCGCAGCCGTTGTCCTCGCCCCAGCAGCAAAAGTTCTCGTTGAGGTAGAACGCCGTCGTACAGTATCCCGTCTTGATATCAGACAGCCACTCCGTTATGATGTTTAGAAACGCCGCGTTCAGCCCGATGGCGACTCCGATCAGCGTCACGACCAGCCAGCCCTGCGCGGCATCGTAGGACTCGCGCAGACGGTACCTCCAGCCCGCCTGGCCGTTATCGAGCATGCCCGCGCGCCGCCTGCGGCGCAGCTTCCTACGCGCCTGTTCCTGAGCGGCATCCTGGACCCAGTCTATGGTGGTAAAGTCCTCGTAACGCTTGATCTCGGCGATCTCGTCTTCGATCTGCTGTTGTTGACGGTGGGCGGGCGCGGCGTCGGCGGCCTCATCGTCATGTTCATCTTGCTCGACAGTCGAGACGGCGAACGAAAGCCTCGAGCTGATGGACGGGCGCGGGAGCCGGTGAGGGCTGTGGGAGAAGGACGTGCTTCGGGAAGTCATTGTCGCATCGGCGGCGCTGTGCGCATGTTCGCGCCGGTCAAGAGCAAGTGAAGTGGGGGAGGGTTCCCAATGGGAACCAGGCCAATGGTCGGCTGTCGTCAATGATAGGTGGTAGAAACCAAGTCAGCGAGACCTCGATGAATTTGAGCTGTATGTTGCAATCTTTGCTCGCTGATCAATGAGAGGTTTGTGATGTTGGCCTCAAGCTGCGGACGAGGCTAACCCGGGAGGAGCAAGGATTACGAGGACAATCATGGTTCCCAGCTAATTAATGGGGACGCCGCGAGCGCCTTCGGGGTGTCTGGGGGCTTCCCTGCAATTGGTGGTACTTAAGCTTGCACTTTACGAATTGCGGCTGCTGCAGCAAGGCCGGCGCGTTTTTAGTGGTCGCGTCTCACTGGCCTTTTTGGCGCGACTTGTATCCGAAGTGACACTCTCCTCAACGACTACCCACCGGAAGACACCTCACATCACGACCAACACCAGCGGCATAGCGACGGTATTCGGATTACAAAACATTTTCCATTACACTGCGAGACGATCATTTACGTAGAGGGTCTCAGAGACGAAGATACTCGCGGCATCAAATCGTTGTTGCCTTACCCTCCTTGGTTGGCACATATACTAAGTCCCAAGCAGGTGGGCAGCTTTCGTTTTATCTCAACTCCGTGCTATTTTTGCAGCTCAAGGTTGCGTCCAAGTGGATGAAGAACAAAGGTATTTGGTCTGTCGCCTGAACGGTGAAAAACTGCGCCAATTCTCTGCCCATAAAAATCACTTATATGCTTGGAGTCCAGGAGCAGATTGACAAGGGGATCGACCTCCAGACAACTTTAAATGTGCTTTACACCTACTATAGCCGCCACGGACGAAGGACTTCACTCTGCTTCATTTGTCCTTTGACCGCTCCTATTCAGACACACAGCCTTATCTCAGCCTTCATCAACGGCACTTACTAACTCTCCTTCAGACTCCTATCCCGATTCTCACCAGACTTCTGGACATTCATCCCCTCATCCCCTAACCATTCACAATGCCTCCCAACAATAATGCGATACCTCCCCGTAAGGAGGCAACAGGCCAACCAGCTCTGCCATGTATGTCCACTATTTTCATCAAGACCCCCTGGGCTTCAGTCCTAACTCTTTGATAGTGGCCCGTGTGAAGAAGATAATCGGCACAGACCCCGACATCGGTATCTGCTCAAACAACGCAGCCTTTGTGATCACTCTAGCGACAGTAAGCCCAGCCCGCTCTCAAAGGCCATCCCGTTTTCGGATCTTTTGTTGACACGCCTAGGAAATGTTTATTCAACACCTCGCCGCTGAGGGCCACAACATGGCCAAGGCCGAACGCAAACCCCGCCGCAACGTCCAGTACAAGGACCTGGGTAAGCTTTCCTTGCGTCACCGTGTTCGGATCAACCCTTACGCCCTTTTACCCTCATCATCTGTCTAATAGTTCCCTTCCCCTCATCCCCCTCCCGCCTCTCGCCCAAACTTCATCTACGGGCAGGGAGCAGAGACCAGGCTAACGGAAGCGGGCCAGCAACCGCCGTGAACCACCATGACAACCTTGAGTTTCTCGAAGACATCATCCCCAAGACCGTTCCCTATAAGCAGATCAAGGACCAAGCCGCCGCCGCCCGCGCCCAGCCCAGGAAAGCCGACCAGGAGCCCAAGAAGCGTCAGTCCACCCTCAAAACCAGCGCCGTCAACGGCGTCAACGGCTCCTCCGCTCGTGCTGCCGCTGCCGTCACCGCCGACCCCCTTACGGCAGCACTTCACTCGGATGACCCAAGCGCGCAGCTCGAAGTCGAGTCCCGCCAAGCTGCCGCTGCAACCGCCGCCGCCGACGAGGACGAGGACGTCGACATGACGGGCTAAGGCCCTCGCCGGGCCGCCCTCGGTCTTCCCTCAGAATCGTATATGAACCCACTTTCATGAGTCGGCTTTCAATGAGGCTGTCGTTGTGCGAAGAAGAAAAAGGAGACGAAAGAAAAAAGGGGTGGTTGTTGCATGCCGAATACATACTTCACCAACGTACATACCAAAACACCAGGAGTTTGTTTGTAAGAGAAAAGCACCATTGAGGAATTGTATGATGAACAGGCCTTTTCTTGGGTTTCCCCAGATGCCCATCAATAAGAACGTCTTTAAAATAACGGAACACTTTTTTGTCGTGATTGAACAGAAAAACGCCAGTCCATGATACGAACACATGCCACCCTCGCCCCCTCCTGCCGGCGTCAAATATGACGTCTGACATTATATGCTTCTCGCTCAGTCCTCCATGGTGGCGTCCCCGTCCAGATGCACACCCGCCGGGATCGTGCCCTCCGTCAGCATCTTCTCCAGCCGGATAATTTCCTGTAGGCTGTCGGCCTTCTTGATCATCTCCTTCAGTCGCTCCTTCTCCTTGTCCGTAAGTTTGATACGCGAGAGCTTGGAGGTGGCCCCACCACCGCCGGCTGCGCCGTTTGAGGCGGCGAGGTCGAGCTTCTTAGACTTGATGCCCATGATCTAGGAGTAAGTTTACCGGTTAGCATTCCCAACTTTTGACGGCCGTAGAAGACTGTCTGGAATCAGAGTTGGATGGTCATACCTTGGACGCTTCGGCCGTGGGCTCCTCCGCCGTGCCGAACAGCTCCCTCGCCTTCTCCCGCTCCGCTTCCTTGACCTTTTGGTAATCCAGGAACCGCACCGAGGGACAGCGCCAGACGACCCAATACCGGTAGTTCTGCACATAGCATCTCTTATCAGCACAACAACCCCCAGTAACCAGAATCCAACAAGAAAAAGGCGAGGTGTATGATGGGGACTAAAAACGCACCTCCTTCTTGGTTACGGGGTTATCCGCCAACACCAGGTGCGTCAACCGCTTGAAGCCCGCCAGCACATCCAAATCTGCGAGCTCGGCCAACTGGTTCGACGCAAGTACGAGCTGCGTCAGGTTCGGAATCGCGTTCGGCAGCGCAGGCTGTATGCTCGATACGCGGTTGTGCGCCAGCAGAAGCGTCTGCAGGCGTGGCGACAGCGGGAAGTTGCCCAGCACCTGGATGTCATTGTCGGTGAAATCGATGGAGTCATGGGGCTGTTTTTGGTTCGGGCACGTCAGCGACTTATTCCACCTCTTCTGCCCCTTCCCATTTCCAGAGATTTGCAGACGGTATCGCGACCAAAAGATAAGAGCCGAGGAGGAAAGGAGAGGGGATGGACTCACGCCTGCAACACCCAGGTTCTCGATCGCCGGGATTCGATGTCCTATTGTTTCCGGTCGGCGCAAACGGCCCTTGCTATCAATTCTGCTCTCCCAAAAAAGTGTAGTATCTGTCCTTTTCACAGGAACGCACCTCGGAGGTCAAGCTCCCGCTCCTTGAGCGGATTCAGGTAGGACAGCGAGCCCTTGATGAGCTCCGCCGTGAGCCTCATCTTGGTAGTCGGCTGCTGATGCTTTAGGCGGTGGTAGTGTGCTGGGGGTTACCTCGGGGGGGATGGGGCTTGTTCGTAAGTAGACCTGTCGCGTGGTTGATTCGCGATCCGTAGTGTGTCGTGGAGGATTTCGTCAGCTCAATGGCAGTTCTTCGTCGCGTCTTATAGTCGCGTGGGTTTGTAGTGGACTTCTCGACAAGGCTGAAAAGCTGGCGGTTGACAAGGCAGCGGCGTCATAAAATTTCCCGCCCGATAAGAGCTATCATCCCCGCGGTTCAGCACAGTGCCTGCGATCTTACATACGGATCGCCTCGTAGTATCCTTCCTACAATATTTGGCCCGCGCACACCGTCCTAAAATAACACCCTCTCACATCGAATTATCACTTTGCGAATGCGCCAAAACGATAGCTGTTTTACCATGTTGGTTATGTATATTTGTATTCGCTAGGTATCTATGTTTGCCGAAACTCCTGACCCAACGCCATTCTGCTCAACCCCTATGAAAACACAAACACCACTCCGGACCGGTCCACGGAGAGCGTCATGCTATACGGCAGCTCCAGCAACGCAACATCCATGATGGAGTCTAGGTGAGATCGCAGAAGCTGCTGCTGCTGAAGCGAGATGACCGTAGACCGTGGCGGCCTGCCGCTGCCTGTGACGCCCTTTCCGCCCACGGCAGCGTTTGGCGCCGTTGGCGCTTGCCTGGGAATCCTTTCCGTATTGAGCGTCATCGTCGTCGTCGGGTGGGATGCCGTAAAGGTTGGTTTCGGATCGTCCCCAAGCAGTCCACTATAGACGATCGAACTCTCGATTCGGGATAAGTCCCAGAAACGAAGCTTCTTGTCCGACCCGCCCGTGATGATGAAAGCGTGCCGTACGTCGCGCGAATCCTCGGAGGCGCCAGTGCCCGCCATCATGGCACGAACACCACGATCCGTGTTCCCGGTACCGCTCGGCTCAATATTGGTAGCGAACCGGCCAAGCATACCCTCCGGTTTGTCCTCGTCCACGTCCCAGGGCTCGTAGCCCTTAGGGCCCTCCTTGTTGCCTCCAACGCGGTATATCTCCCTGCAGATTGTACGCTCAAGGTCCCATACTGTGACCTCACCCTGTCCTGTTCCGCCGGCCACACATACCCACTTGCCTCGTCCCTTACTGGGATGGATACAGAGCCTGTAGATCGAGCTCTTACCGGGAACACCCCAACCCTTGAGCCTCATGCGGAATCTCAGGTCCCACAGGTCGAGGACTCCATGTGTTGTACCGACGCATAGCCAGTTCCTCTTACGGTCCACAGAGAAGCACGTGGGTGTCCCGTGATGAACGGGGTTCTCTAGCGTGTACAGTAGAGACATGGTGCGGAGGTCGATGCCCAAGATTCGGGATCGGTTTGTTGCGAGCAACATGACTGACGTCGAGTCAATCTTGAAGTGTTCGCACCACACTGCATACTCATCTTCTGGCAACTGGTACTCCCGGAGAAGACGCAGTTTCCCATACCGCAAGGTGCCGCTCGCTGAGACAGTTTCCACTTTGACAATGTGGACGCTCCCATCACTTGCGCAACTGATGAAGCAGTGCGTGTTCTCGATGAAGCACAGTGCAAGCACTCTAGCTCCATCGGCATGTTTGTGGGTCTGTCTTGATCGATGCGTAATGTTCTTCTCGAGCCGGGCACTATCCCAGACCTTGACAGTTCCATCATCGCCTCCTGTGATGAAGAAGACGTGGTCTGGCGATACCACCAGACGGTTGATGGCGCCGGTGTGTTCAGCAAACGTGGCAACCATCCGCCCTTGTGGGCGCCATGGCTCGTCACCCGGCTGGCCTACAGAACGGTTCGTCCTGCGGCGAGTAATGGGGGTAACCATCGGTCCGAACTCGACAATGTCGTGCGGGTAGTTATCCTGGTACATTGAGTCGAGCATCTTGAGAATGCTGGGATCCGTGCCTTCGTAGGAGTGGTTGGGCTTTAGCTTTGTTATAGTGCTTGCAGTGCTGATTCGACGATCCTGTGCGTTTGGTCGAGCAAGCGGGGCCTGGGCAAAGGGGCCCTCGACTTGACCGAATGCATTGGTGCCGGACATCCCGGTTTCTGGCACGCTCTTGTTACTGTCCTTTCGATCTAGAAGGCTGAGGGCGCTCGTCTGGTGGCGGATCGCCCTGCGAGATGAGTATGGTTGATCGTGAACCGAGCCGCCATCATCGGTTGGGCTCCCGACCGTCAGCTTGCCCTGTCCGGTTGATACTCTTCTCGGGGGGTCGATCGATCTGGCTCTCGAAGCGTCGCGCGAAGAAGGACCTCTGTCCTCTACAACACGGGTGCGTAGACTGTTTAGCGCCGCAAACCGTCTCCTTCCTGTTGAGTCGTCGATAGTCATAGACGCATCCAGGAGAGCATCCGCAATCGTGTAGGGACTCTTCTGTGCCGTGTCCGAGGAGAACGTCGACTGCTGTAGTGGTTCTTCGTCATCGAAGAAGACCGTCTGTGGAGTAATACCAAGGCTCTTTAGGGATATCACCTCGTTAAGCTTAGCCGGTTCATTGTCCTTGACATCCCGCGACTTCATTGTGCTGACACGCCATATAAATTCCCGCAGGACGAGGAGCTTGAACTCATCATCGGGCCCCAGTCCAAGATTCCGCAGCCGTCCGAGCCATAGCTCATCCTCATCGTTCCGATTGATTTTGCTCAGTGTGTCCTTAGACGACCGGCTGGTTATAGTCTTCGGAAGCGACCCAAAAGAGAAGGAACGAAGCTGCTGTGACATTTTCCAAAATACACCCTTGTCGGTCTTGAGTGCCCAAACCACGGCCTGATCAAAGACAGCCCTTGATAATGGCCGCTTCAGAGCATCCAGCAAGCTGAGCTCCGAGAAGTTAGGCACCATGCCTGTCTTTAGGTATTGCTTGACCAAGGGATACACGATGCACCTAACGTCAGCCGGAGATAAAAAGCGAGTCGTCTCGGAAAGGAACTCTGTTGCTGATTCCCGGATCCATTGGTTTGGATGCATCGTAAATCTTGCGCCGACATCTATGAGCTCCCAGATCTTGGGTTTTGAGAGGAGTCCCAGCCGTGCCAGCTGTGCTAAGGAGTGGAGAGCAGCCTGTACCACGAACTCTTCGGGATCGGTGAGTGCTTGAATCATGAGCGGCAGTATGAACTCCTCGAGACTGACGCTTCCCACCACACTGGCAATGCTGACGATGGTCTCAAAAAAGGCACACTTCAGCATCCAGTCCCGGTCGTTCAAGTAGGTGTTGAGATGGGTCAGGAGGATGTCGTTAGCCTCTGCTGGGCCAAAGAACAAGCAAAGGTCAGGCACAGATGTTAGAAACGCTCGCCGGACACAGACCTCTGGGTCTTCCACGAGTGCTTTCGTGTGCAGCTCAAACATCTCGTAAAGTTCCCGCTGGGCATCATCAAAAATTCCATCAAAGGCGGCCTCGGCCTCGATCCCCGGCTCAAGCTCGGGGTCAGCCACAGTCAAAGTGCCATCGGCTTTCAGGGTTGCCGCCAGCTCTAGATACCGAGCAGCTGTGGTTGCGAGGCTCCCGAGACAAGATGCGTAGGTTGCTCGCACCAACGAGCTTTGTGGCCTACTTGGCGCGATCAAGGCGCTTTGAAAGCGAGGTAGGATATACTCAACGAATATATGCGAGTTGACAGGAGATACCACTCGTACCAGATGGAGCAGCTGAGCGATCGAACGCAATGCTGCAATTACCACCAAATCAGACTTGTCGTTAAGAAGCGTCATAAGGTAGGGCAGCACTCGATCCAGCTTTGCCTCGTCCGTGATTCTCTCGGAAAAGGCAAGCAGAACGTCGCAGGCTCTGATCTTCGGCGCCGCCCTCGCAGTGTTGCGGAGGGAAGAGACAACCAGCGTCAAGAAGATAAGAGTCCCGTCATCTTCAGGCGGTTCAGATGTCCCGGTAATGTATTGGTCGTGATTCGGTATATTCAGGCGGACAGGAAAATGGCCCAATCCAAGCTTTCCAGCCAAAGGCTCGACCTGGCTTGGGCTCTTGTCGTTCTGGTAACCAAGAAAGTAGGAGATCTTGTCAAAGTCGAGGAAAACGCGATCGATACGATCATCCGCTTCCCCCAAGTTCCTCGTCGCACCCGAGATAGGACTGTTCCCAGAGGAAGGATCCGTAATCAACTCCATGTACTGGTGAAGAAAGTTATAAAAGTACTCTGGGAATACCTTCTTCTTCCAAAAGTCTAGGTACTGCTCTGCAGAATACCGGCGCTCCGGGTCGAGCTGGATCATGTGCGATATCATGTCGCGCAGGTCCTTATCCGGGATGCGGCTGATTTGCGAGATGACAGGGTCATACTCACCCTTACGGTACTTGTACAGCTGGCTGAGTGTGAAAATGGGAGACTCCAGGAACATCTCGGCAATGACGCAGCCAGCGCTGAAGACGTCCATGGCCCACGTGAGCTTGGCGTCCTTGCTGTTAACCTCATCGGCTGCAACGAAGCGTTCGGGGGCCACGTAGCACGTCCGGCGGCCAGACGTGTCAAAATAGTATGAGAAGTCACCCGGGTTATCGTCCGGGAGCATTATCGGCTTGAAGGGGGCCGAGAAGTCGGAAAGATACAGCCAGTTCCAAGACGTGACTAACGTGTTTTCCGTCTTGATGTCGCCGTGGTAGATGTCTCGAGCATGGCAGTCGCGCAAGGCACACAGCAGCTGGAAGGCCAGCCATTTCTTCTCGATATCCTCCAGAAACGGTCGAGTGCTCATTCGATCGTAGAGGGAGTTGTAGAGAAATTGTCGGACGAGGTACCCGTTCGTTTCGGTTTCGACGATGCGGTGGTAGCCCAGTGCATTGGGTACGTCGGCCAAGGCGCTGCGTTGCTCTGGAGAATATCAGTCAGGGGTGCATCATTCCAGAATTCCTGTAGAAGCTCACTCTCTATGTCGCGCTTGTACTTCTCCAGCGGCATCGGGGTGTACGGCTTGACCAGCACCTTGACCAGAGCGACGCCATCGTGATGCCTCGCGCGGATGCTCTTCATGAAGCGCGCATTGCCGATGCTCTTCTCATACACAAGATCAGACAGCTCAGGTATGTCGATGCCCGCAGAGCCCGCAGAGGGCGTCGCCAGCGAAAAGCCTTGACCCATGGCGGGCAGCGATAACTCGGTCCGGTAGCTGAGAAACCTATGCGATTACTTGGTCGGCGCGATAGGAAGCTATCATGTTGGAGGTACCAGGTCAACGGAAGCAGTCATCTGACTAGAATATACTCCCAAGGCGAGCTTGTGCGCGGCAGCAGAACGCAAATATGTCTCAAACGCAGGTAGGTAAGTAGGTAGGTAGGTATGTAGTTGAAGCTTCCTAGTAGAGATGCTTAGGTACGATCACGGGTTTCGATTAGGTCACCATCACCAAGGTTAGAGCAAGGTACGCAGCAGCTACATAAGCGAACAGTGGGTGCATCGGCGTCCCGCTGTGCCAACCTCCGACAGGGAAGAGCACTGCGGGGGACCACAACGGCGGGGCTTGGCCTGTGCTTTTATCCTTGTTAAATGCAAATATGATTGGCTTCAGAGGCAGTCTCATCCTAGTAGAAGTTGGTCCATTGTCTTGCAAAATATCTGTACCAAAAGAGCGGCAATGCAGTCTTTGTTTGTGAAAAAAAGATGGCATAAAGTTTACTTCGTTGTATGACTCCCAATGGTAACAGCCACCATCATTGTTCTTCCGGCCATGCCTCTTGGGTTCATCCTCTTTTCCGTCTCATAACGCCTGTGGAGGAAACCTGTTTGACTCGCCGGCAAGTCCTGGTGTATGAGGCCATTCCGTGCGCTCTTGACGTCCGGGGAAAATATCCTGTCAAAAGTTTACTCTGGCTTCTTATCATGACGGCAGTCAAGGCTATGCTGGATCGTGTACATCCGCCTCTCCCTCGAAATTCCGACGAGGATAAATCTATACGCTGGGGCCACATGGGAAATAACGTCGCCGCGACGATCGCAAACCAGGTGCGCTCCACGTTCCCAGCAATATGGTTTGGATTGATGATGGGAATCGGCGGAGGCTGGCCAAGTGCCAAGCAGGACGTCAAGCTGGGCGATGTCGTCGTTTCGAAGCTAGGAAGAAACGACGATAGCGTGATTCGGTGTGACTTTGGCCGTACTGTGGGAGAAGGCCGGTTCGTTCGTAATAGTACTGGCAAGAAGCGGTAAACCTCTTCAACATCGACGCTTCGATAACACTCGGTGATTCGATGCGGAGCCAAGACGCCGTGAATGCGCTCGTGGGGAGACTCAGGAACCCCTCCCCCTGGGCCCTGGCCGTGACATTGACATCATTGTACTTGCGTGTGTATCCATGAGTGATGATCAACCAGTACATTAAACTCTGGCAAGGTTCCTTTGACCCCTCCAAGCTATTTGGCTACATATGGGCCTTCTCCAGCCACAACCATGCCATCATGTCGACCTGGGAGGTGTCGTTTGTCAAGGTCTAAGCCAATAACTCCCGTGTTGCGGAGATGCTTATGGTTTCCGGGTTCTTCGTGAACTATGGAGTTCCCCTCAGCCGAACCGAGAGCGCGTCGTCCAATACCGAAGTGGACGTATTACAGTTCTTGCAAAACACCACCACGCTGCAGGAAACGCTCGGACTCCTGAGGTCCCTTACGCTCGTCTATTTGAACGGCACCATGTTGTCACACTACGCCCGTTGGTTCACGAATGGATTCAAGTGCGCCTCAAGAAGAACGAGCTCGCTGTGAATGATGGCGCTACGCGTCATGTCATGCGTTGGTCGCTGGCGCGTATCCTCAAAGATCGCTCCGACAAGCCCGATTGTTTGGAACACACTTGCCTCGCTCTCAGCGCCGCCGAGCGCCACTGTCTTCCCCAGAAGGCTGTTCATGAGGAGTTTTACTTCCATCTACTATGCATTCTTGTTCACGATGGTGAGATGGTGGCCGGCGCCACGAGGTTTCGAGGGCGCGGGGTGGGCAACTCTTGAATGCCTGCTCATCCACTACGCGGGCATAGTCGGCGTGATGAAGGGGAAGAAATGACGCCTACGCGCAAAGACGAGATTCTCGCAACGTTGTTGTCTTTCAGGTTAATTTCTTCCGCGAAAGAAACATGAAGTATTAATAATTCCAGGACCAGGCCCATACTCTCCAAGTTCGGCCGGGTCGCCTTCGGTCCGCCATGACAGCGACCGAACCTTTGTTTCGTTCGACCCGTATATATCACCAAACGACGTACGAAACAACTTTGGACTGGTTGCCACGTTCGGAAGGGGAATGGAAGAAGAGATTCACCCAAAATAGAGTGTACTGGCCAATGTCTGCGCTGAAATGGCACTGAGTCTCATCGAGCTCAGAGAGTGGTGTAGTAGACATCAACACACCGTCCCGGTTGTCGTGGCGGGGTAATACGTTCCCATGAGGCAGGCCTCTATCGGCAGCTAGCGTGAAGGCCCCTTAAGAACCGTTTTCCCATCAACCTAGCATACGAGATTGTGGCATCTAGAAGCAGCCGGCCTCAGGTCTTCGTCCCCATGTGCCGGCAAATCTGATTAGTTGTTTGCAGCAGCGCGATCTTCCGAGGGTCCATATATCTCTTCGCAATCTCGATTTCCCGTCCCACGTTCGTTGCGGCGCAGCTGACGTAGATCAGAAAGAGCGACAGGACGTGGGACGGAAACCGATCCGTAGCCTCAGCGTCCTCACCCATCGGGGTCAAATCGCAGAGAGGATAAATGAAACTAGCCTGATGAGGTGAAGGTCATCAGATCGTCTGTCAGAGCATGTGGGGGTCGCAACATGAACTAGCCCTGCGATGGTTTAGTCGATTCACAGCACCGATGGAAGCACGTGTCATCGGCAAGTGGAGGTCATGGTTCTCGGAAGATGGGATATTCTAGGGATTGAGGAGAATGACTACAAAACCCTAGGCGATTCCGAGAGAGAGGTCCCCCCACCTTCTCGGCAATAGACGCCCTTTGATCCCTTACAAGGGGTACAACACAGTACAAGCAAAGCATAGGATCAGGATGGTCGAAGGCTCGTTTCACCGTTATGCTCACAACTCGAACGATTCCCTGCACCCACAAGCCGCCGCAGGGGGTGGGTGGGGGGTTGAAGACTCCAGTTAGAGCAGGAGCCCGGGCTAGGTAGAGTGCCAGCTCGATGCGCATCCGCGACGAAGCCGGTTCCGTGTCTGCCTCGGACCCGACAAACCACACGGCTTTTTAACCCCGGGATCGACAGCTACGCTTTCCCTGCACAGGGTGAGAGCTAAAATAGCCAAAATAAGGGAGGAGGAAGACGGTGCACCGCGGATTTGTATCACCCATTTTTGAACAATGTAAACAAAGTAAGTATACTAGTAGAAGATGGCTAATTGAATGGACCTTCCCCCTCACATCGATTGTTCATTATTCACCAGGCAGCTTCGTACAAATGGTGCATCCCACCACGGTCATGATCTCCACTAGAAACGATGGCGAAAGGTAGATAGAGCACCTCATAATAGGATAATTAGCTCAACCGTTTTATTCTCGATGTGTAACGTCTCCAAATACGAAAACCCCTCTCTACTACTAAGCCTCCCGCCCTCTTTTCTCTCGCCGCAGCTCCGGTGATACCTCAGCGTCATGTTGTATTTTACCCACTAAAATACGCGTCCGAGGCGGTCCCTCTCAAGGTCACATGGATATACAAAGATACTCTAACACAGCCAGCAAACCACGGTACAAGCATCATGCCCGATACTCAACATCATAATGGATCCATCTTATCTACCGATACTACATCAGCTGAACCAGACACTCACTTAGAGGACGGGACAAGAGCTGGATTAAGCTGTTCAAGTGTGCGTGACTCCCAGAGTTTCATCCTCCGGGTGTAGCTAAAACCGAGTAGGGTAGTATTGGCGGCGTGAGTATTGACATACACAGTCTGTGTATTATAAGGCAATCAGATAAAGGCAAGCAACTGCATTGAGAGAATTTTATGGTGGTCAGGTTAAGTAAATTGAGTAGTTGCCTAGGAGGATACTGAAGGGAACCCGAGTAATGTGACAATGCCAAGTGTAGCAGCATAGGTTTCGGGACGTAATGGCCGTTAATGAAGATATTTACGGATGTTCCCAAATCTATCCCCCCCCTTCCGGAACTCTGTTCTGTTCTTGATGTCCTCGCCCCTCATCTGGTCTTTAGCCTGGCAGGACCAAGAACGACCAGGGGCGCCCAACCTGTCCGCCGAATCAACTCAACATTAGTCAGGTTGCAGAGGCCCTCCCCGACCTCTTGCTCTTCAAACACCAGCACTTCACCACACCCTGGGTATATAAGTGGAATAGTCAAATCGAAAGGGGAGGACACAGTGCGTGCGTTGTCGTCATAAATTAGAATCGCGTAACTTGATCTCGTCAAAAGCAACTCGCATCGGGTGCCAGAGTTGATCCATCAAGCCTCCGTGCGGTCATCATGATCCGAAGCGACGCCGCGTTGAAGAAAACTTTTGTTCGTCTAAGATTAAAGACATTAAGCGCGTGTCGTCGAGAAAATGTGCTTATCTCGTGTCTATGTGCAGAGAAGGACCCCCGGGGGAAATTGCCCCGATAGTTTTTCGTGAAGCTATGTATGCTTCAAAAGGAGTTGCTGATCGGGTTCACTCGAGGGAATTGGTCGTCTTTGTATGTCGCAGTTAGTGCTAGCTCAATGTGCGAACGCCGTAGCCAATGCTGAGAAGGCAGCCTTTGAGGTAGGGGCGTATGATACGCCCATAAAGCTCTGTCTGCATCTCACGAAAACGATGGGTGACCTTGATGGGCACTGGAGCCTTCGGTCGAGACGTCGCCCTCAATTGTCTTCCTCCAATGTTGTGGCAGACACACACAGACAAGGGGGAAGGCTTTGATCTCGCCGCTGACAGGCGGTGAGGGGTCTTGTCGGCCAGACGTGTTGGATACGCCACTGTCTCGTAGGGCCTGACGTCGAGCTTCCCATTCGTTCGCATGCTCGTCTAGTAAAATGCCCGTCGCCCAACCGTCATCCCAAATGCCGACCACCTTGAGCATGTCGCCTCGTTCGAGAGCAAACTCATCTGGTGCGCGTGGCTGGTAGGCCCAAAGAGTGGCGACCCTATCACCCGGGTGAATATCGTCTTGGGAGTAGTAGTCCTTGAAGAAGGGCAGCTGCTCCGACTGCTGACTAGTCATGCCTTGTGGGGACGACATTCCAGCGCTCGTCGGTGACTGAGGATCTCCGAGAACCGAGTTGCTTGATAAGGAGCCGGTCCTCCTGATATTAGTTGGAGGAGGTCGTAGCACGCCAGCTCTGATGTCCGACTGGGGACTGTCTCCAAACTCGGACGAGGACTGGTCATCGCCTCTTCTCCTGCCTGCCATGTAACCGGCTGCTGCTCCTCCAACGGCGGTGGTTGCCGTAGGACCACTGCTGCGAGTGGGGGGGGCTAGGGCTGGATCCGAGGCGCTCTCCAAAGCCGACATACGAGCGATGCGACCTCCGGGCAAGACTTCGTACCCAGCCGTAGCTTGGCTCGGCGGTATCTTAACCGTAGCCGGCCCTTGTCTAGACGGTGAGGGTTGGTTGAAAATGCTGCCGCTCTGGCTTCCGCGCCTTCTCCTCCTTGCAAGCAGAATGCACGCAAATATCAGTCCGGCGAGCAGCAGAGCGCCAGCAACGCTACCAATCACGATACCGGCAATAGCACCGCCAGAGAGACCTCCCGCCGCGGCTGCCGTGCTCGAGGGTGTCGCGGTCGCTGTCGGAGGGGAGAATGTTACCGTCGGGAAGATGGAAGGCAGCGTGACACCGGCGCATCGCCGGTCAATGTCGGAGTTGTAACAGCATGTGTCGGTGGAGTTAATACCGCCAGATGAGCAGTAGGAGCAGAGTCCGACAGTGCTGTTGCCGAAGCCGCAGTTGTCAGGTTCATTGGAGATGCCTTGAATGCAGTTTGACGATGAGAGGGAGTCGGCGGGGAGGGCACAGTTTGTGAAGTCCGCTCGGATCTGGCTCATGTAATTGTTGCCTGGAGTACCACAGAGGCTGCTGTCCGAAGTGAGCAATGCCTCGCCCTGTGCATATTCGGCCTGTCCAAGCCGTTAACAAGGGTTTGACATGAGCGAGATGGCGATACTTACACATGTGTCTGCGCAGACTGGTCGCGAGTTGGATGCAGTCAGGTTGCATGCATCTATCGAGTTTTGAACGATGGCATTGCAAATGACCGTGGTGGTGAACCGGGCATACAACTCGTCCGGGTTGGTAAGGTTAACGCTGCTGCAACCAAGTAATGTCTGATATCTGATGAAATGTGAGCAAACGCTGAATGCAACTGTGAGCAATTCAGACTAACTTCTCCCGCACGTATGTTGTGTCGATATAGGACAACATCTGCTTATCGAATGTCTCACTGTTGGAGACAAACTGCAAAAAGGGGCTGACGAAGCTGGTCAGTACGAACAACAGCAGAGAGAGAGATCACGGCCAGCCTACAAGATTCCCGCAACGAAGCCTGTTGTCGAAATGGAGGCCGACTGGAAAGCAGGGCAGGTGGTTGACCCTTGGAGCGAGACGCAACTCGACTGTGCTGAAACGAGCGCCGAAGCAGATAGCATCGACAAAAGCGCCGACCTCGCAGTTTGATCCATGGTTCGTCGTCTTGACGCATGCGTTGCTTTTCCGGTGGTTGGCGAGACCATCATCGCGTGGTTGGCGGCCATCAACTTGGGAGGCCTCGAGTAAAAGTTGTTGACCAAGAGGGAGCCTAGTTCATGACCGTCTTTCCAAGGTCTCGCTGCTCTCGTAGTCGGTAGGCTTGTTCACGGGCCAACTCGGACGGCGTCTGCCGCAGATGTGGGAGGGCTACAGTAAAAGAGTGCTGGCCGGTGGCTCCGAGAGATGTTTGACGAGTTAACAGTCTTAACCAAGAAAAAACAAACGAAAAAAAAACTAGCTCTGCCAGGCGTTCAAATGGTCGATGGGAGAGGCAAGGTTGTACAATGGAGCTGTTGTCGGACGCAAAAAGCAGAGGAGGCGGGCTTGGGTGGGCGGGCTGACAATTGGCATCGATCGACAGGCTGGTAGGGAGGAAGGAACTCGACGAACGGGCACACGGGCACTCGGATTAAGGTCGCGGTTGACGTATTGGCAAATATGTCCGAGTGAGAAATTTGGTCGTAGGGCAAGCCCGGTGCATGCAGGAAGGAGGTCAACAGCGGTATGGAGATGGCTCCGAGGCTGAAGGTGTAACTTGGCAGATGGGACGAGATGAAGACTAAACGAGGGTAAGTGAATTTGGTTGGCGGAAAAGACTGGCGGTATTCGGGTAGAGATACAATTAGAGGGATGTAGTTAGGCTCAAGGAGTAGAATAAGCCGACGGGTTGGGGCGGGCGGGCGCTCGTGGAAACGAGTGAGAGAGAGAGCAGTCGATGATGGTGATGATGATGAGTAGTAGGTTGTTGTTATTGTTGTTTGGGGGCGGAACGACGCTCGCAACCACACACAGACAGGCACGTAACACTCAGGCACGGGAGGGAAAGGGAAAGGGGAGGAAGAGTCAAGAGGTGACAGGTTCGGGAGGAAGGCGGGAAATTAGGGAAGAAAAAAATGGAGGGACATGGGCACAGCCTATCATGGAGGCACGTCTTTACTCATAGCCCTGGACCTGGACCTTGACCTTAACCCAGGTAGGTAGTATCTAGGGCCCTAGGCGGCCTTGAATCTGTACCTGGCTAAGGGACGCGGCGGCAAGGTGGAACAAAGAGGTGTGGTGTGGCCTTTCTTCTCTGGCAAGGATCGCACTTCTTTTTGGACGCGGGCCGGGGAGAGCATTGGCCCCGGTAAGACACGCTGGAATGAGGCTGGGGCCTGCCTTTTGCGCGCTATCCGTAGGAGGTGGGATTATAGCCGAGTAGCGCATCCGCGCGACTTTTCTTCCCAATGAGAAGGATCGAGCCAAGAGAGAGACCCTGTCTTCTGTGGACTCTGTGAGTGGCTCTGCATCGGGGGAGAACATGCCACTCCAGCCCGGCCCATGCCTGCCTGGGTGGGTTCAATAGTCGCTCAGAGACGGGTACGAAGATGGTGTAGATTACCTACTATTATATACACTACTTGTAACTATGTCAGGTAAGCGCACTTTCACTACGCAAGTGCACGAACACACTTGCTCAAAAAAGCTGTGTCAGGAACGACCGGTATGTACCTTAGGTACCTTACCCATAAAGTGTGCACCTACTTGATGAAGCACCGCCTGCATAACCCCCTGCATCCCTATATCCCTGCCCGCACGAGGAACAACGGCCACCGGAATCATCAGAAACAGGAAAGGCGGCATGGCCGTTGTTCAGAATTGGTGGAGCACGCGTCCCCCGTCTTGCCGGCCATGATGGTACGTTCATTACCGCTGCCTACCTAGGTGCTGTCCTCAGTCTCCCTATAACCAGAAACACTCTTTTTCACAAACCGTCACTTTAATGTGTAGAAACAGGGCAGTTGACACATGACAGCATCTGGGTCGCCCGGGGTCATTCTCCTCATCTCAACCCGGGCGCCTGGTATCCAACCGTCGTAGCGCCGGCAACCAACTTCTGCCCGTACCGTACCTACGTACCGTTTGCATTCGACGAACACGACGCGATTGTGAGCTGTGACTGAGGGCTCTCTAGATCCGTGTGGTCAGTGCGAGGACAAGGGGAGGATTTGCTGGGCGGAAAGGCCGAATAGGTGCCCGTCGACGACGTATTACATATAGAGTCTTACTTTTACTGTTGATCCGAGACTGGCAGTCTCCTCGTTGACGCTCTCTCACCATCACTCGCGCCGGCTCGTGCCACTGCCATTCAGTTTCAATGATTGCTCCCGGTGGTTGTAGCTTTCTTTGCACACCACTCTGCCTGCAACAACACTCTCTTCCACCAGAAGTTTCGAGTGACCTCCAGCTTAGAGGTGGCGGTCACAGCGTTTGCCAGCCAGACAGACAACGGGCTATGGTCCCTGTTCCGTTCCGACCCTACTGAGCAGGCTATACGCAATCATTAGCCGCCTTCACGTTAGATTCGAAACATCTTGAAGGATGACAACCCGCGCATCTAAATTACATCTACAAGCTGTAAAAGCTCAAGTGTCCATTTGCGCGTTCGTCCATTCAGCTCGATCCATTTAAGAGTTCTGGGGTCCTCGCCCCCTTCCCCCCTTCCACTCATGCACGGTCCACGTAATGGCCAGGGACAACGCTGAACAGCTCACCATTGGCCCCCTCCGTGCCCTGCTTTTGCTCGGTCGGCAACACGGAGCAATGCGTTCGTTGTGCTGCTGTGTGGCTTCCGACCTTCCTTCCTCACGAGTCACAGAACTTGCACAGGTACCAACACTAGCCGCACTGCACTTGCGGAGACCAGACACGGCCCCAGTTGGTTGGCATCGTCGTGATCCAGCAGAATGACCTAACCGAGCTGTCGAACTACAGGTATGTATCTCCTCCAGTCGAACATAAACACACCGGTCTGGCCTAGCAACACGAAGAACGCGCCCAACAAACTCTCGGGTCGAGCAAGCCACACGGCAAAGCGAAGCAATACGCGAAATTACCACAAATCCCCCCCATGTCTCATGTCCAGCAATGACCTGTTTTGATTGGCGAGACAGACTCGACGCTGCTTCAGGATTGGAGCGGGGATGGCATGCGGGCACTGAGCAGGGGGATCGTATCGATCACTGATCCAAGAGACGAAAGTGTAAGAAGCGATGTGTCCCGCCCAGGCTCTGCGCAGTCCGGATATGTGTACAAGTATCCTACATGGCACGGACACGGCCTGGCCGCTGTGTCAGGTTATACTATTTCCCCGTGATGGATGAACATGCTGTTTGGACGATCCGTCCAATAACAACAGGCTGTCCGCAAGTCAATAATCCCGACGGCGTTACGGATACAATGACTTCAACCCACCAACCAACCCCCCTCCCCGCCTCCAGCAACCAAACGGCGCTGGAGGGCTGGATAAACACTGGTTGGTAATGGAATGTGGATGCATCGAAGTCACCAGTCGCTTGCAGTCCGATACATTACGTGCTACTCACGTCAGCCATTCTACACATGTACTGGAAGTTTGTCTTTCCCCGAAGGTTGTGGTGGCTGTCAGGGACAACAACCACTGAAACCCAGCCCGAATCAAGATGGACCTGCTGCGATTGACGCCCCGAGACCATGCCCAATCAGACTTGCTACGGTCTCGAGTCGTCTTTGTTCGTTGAGACACCGGCGCCATGATTCTCAGCCGTAGGGTTGGTAAAATCATCGAGCGTGCATGTCTCCTCTGTTGGAGTTCGCGACTCCTTTGCCTCGTCAACCGATCTTCATCGACGTCGACATAAGGACTAGCTAGCGTGGGCTACGGGCAACTCCTTTCTTCTTCGAAAGCCATGCCAACGTGGCGAGTCTACCATGGCGCTGTGAGTTTGTGGCCTCGAACGCCTTGTGCCCGCTGTAGGTATTCTAAAGATTAACAAAGGACGATCGACTTGAGGCCGTTGCTCGCCGCACACAATACAGCACGCACCAACGCTGCCTGTAGGAACTGGATCACATCCCCGAGTACCGTGTACATGTCCTGCTATCAGCAGGAAACAAAGTCCAACTCGAGATGAATTTGAGAAATGGCCATCAGTAGTTGCTGTTTGCGGGGCAACGGCTTCGAAACAACGGGAGAAAGCCACACTGAACGGATTACGACTATGCCGACGTGCTGGTGTTTATGTGGCTGGTAGGAGATTTAGTTGCGAGATTCCATTATACTGCGTTTCTTTCTAGAGACCTTCCATTGTGGGTTTGAGTACTAGGCATGATTCTTATTCTATGTTTATCCGACCGTAATATGACCAAGAGGGACCGCCTGGGATACGTACCTAGTGTGTATAGTAGTAGGTAGGTACGGGTAGTCTAAAGAAATGGATACTTGTCATTCGGTACCACCCAGAAGTTGCACACATGTGCCCATGATTATTACTTAATAACAGCATTTCATGCGAGTCGAAGATGTGCCAACTCAGCCTCCGATCTGTCACAAGGGGAGATTCCACACTGCACAATGACGACGTCTGATTGGTCTCCTGTTTTCACAAGCTTTTGTTTTAGTTACCGGCGGTTGCGATGACTATTCCACAACGCCATGATCTTGATATGCCCTTCACCGGCAATTGTCAAAAACGCCCCCGCAGCAGCCAACAACGACCCATTTATGGCTGATTTGTAAGGAGTAAAGTCTTGGCTGCGCAGCCGGCTCTTGACCTTACGACTTCTGATTTGACGATGCCAGCCTGGGGTTCCGCACCTCGTCGATGACAACTGCACACGTGAGGCAGCGAACCCGGCTGGTCTCGGGCTGTAACGACGGCGACTAAGAGTTATTACTTGATCAAGTTTGGCATTATCGTAGTCGGGAACATGCCGCGAAGAAAGTCGAAAGCAAAAGCTTAGATACGAACCGCCACTCTCAAGTTCGCTCATGTTCGTCTTGTACCAAGCTATAACTGGGAAGACGTCACAAGTTAGCGGCGAAACGGGCTGGACGCGAACCTCTTCAAATGACAAAAACTGCTGCTATGGCTCACATTCTTCTGCCGCCGGTTCTGCTAACCATGGACGTGGC